ACCTGGTGTTGAAGGAGAGTGTGGGTCAGCTTTCCTCTCCACAGATTTACACACCGTGTTAGAAAGAGGGCTATCTGAGGATTAATGTGCCATAGGCAGCCACTGGGGTGTAAAATGCCGCTAACCTCAATCTGATCTGGGGTCACCCGCTAGACACCCAGAAGGTCATCAGCCATGTGTGAGCCTGCAGCAACACCTGGGCCAGAGTCAGTTCAGCAGCACGGTGCGGAGAGAGAGTCAATAGCTGGGACAAATGTGTGTTTTGTGATCCACAAATAACACCATTAAAAAATGTGTAGGACTATTTGGGAATAGATTTTAGCATGCGACTATTATTATATATAACCTAAAACTTCAATTAAAAGCAGCATTCCAATGAGAAGCAGGTCTCCTTCACTAGGATGTATAAAACCTCTTCAAGCCCACCGAGTGACCCGCTTGAGCGAGTTCTATGCTGCTTAGATCACTACACAAATATAAATGTCTAAACTATAAACTTTTGTCAATGTGGATACTGCACATCGTTACATCAGTTAGATTGTCCACAACTCAATCATTCAGTTAATTTTACAGAAACCATGAGCACCAAAGTATCAAATGATCAAATCAATGATTTCTAATTGATATGTTATTCGATATATAGGAGTAATGTTCATACTGGTTTGAATAAATTATTTAATTGTACCCTTACATATATCTGTTAAAGTGGGTAAATTTGGAGAGTGCGTGCACACATACACACACACACACACACAAACAAACATCTTCACAGTAAGGCATCTATCTTACCTTTCTCAGTTAATTCACAATCCTTCATGGCCCGGTCACAGTCAGAGCTTGTGAGAACAGCTATCGATGACCCACTGAACTTGAGGTAAAGAGTTCGGCTATACATCACCATGTGCCTGAAGACCAAACTCAAAAAGATCAGGGGGTTGTTTTGTCTGCCACAGTGCAGTCTTTTTAGTTTTCAAATTAAAGCTGCAGTAGGTAACTTTTATAAAATAACTTTTTGTCATATTTGCTGAAACTTTCACTATATCTTAACAGTACTACATGAGACTTTATGAAAAGATTTTATAAAAGTTACCTACAGCAGCTTTAAAATACATTTCACTCTAAGTCGTGTCATCATACAAAGTCCTCACTGTGGTAAAAACTGTGGTAAAAACTGTGGTAAAAGTGCTTTCTTTTATCCATCACATCAAAACAATGTTCTAATGTGACTAATGTAGCTTCACAAACGTTTAATGCAAAAAGCGTACAAATGTACAACAAGAATTATCAGCAGTCCACCTATTTTGCATTTATAAACAGTATACATAAATAAACATTTAATAAATAGTTTATAACACAAAATAATGTGTAAGCAGATATATTTGTCAACAACTATAACTCCCCCTGTGGGCACCTAGAAGTGGAGGCTGATGTCTAAATAGATAATGAATGACAAAAGTTGTATTAATATAAAATTTGTCTTCATAGGAGAAATTGCTGACAAATACTGTACATTAATAAACAACTTAAACTTAAAATGCCCTAATATCTGCTTATAACTACATTATAGTGTGTTATATATATATATATTATATATAGAAATTATAAAGTTTTTTTAACTTAATAATTATTAATTAGCTTGTGTAAAGTTCAGTTTGTGTGTTTGTGTAAGAAACTTACCTCTTCTGACAAAAGCTTTGAACAAACTCCCACTTCTCAAAAAGTTATTTGCAACTTTTTCTTCAAATACTCAAAAGCTACAACGTTCTGTAAACTTTGAGAATAAGTGTTGAGCCATAGAACATCTGCCACGATGACAGGACAACAAAAGAAAAAAGTTCCTCTTTTCCTAAAGAATGTTTTCGGAGTAGTTTTGTTGCCACTTAACCATTTGAGGAAGAGAACAAGTCACAATGGTATCCTTTCAGGGGTGAGAGGGAGGGCAAAACAAGGGGGTCACACAAACTAAAATACAGCCAGAGGCTTAAAGTCCACTGAGCATGCGTTAAAATTATCTTTTTAGACTTTAAAGTAAAAACAAATCATGTTTGCCTTTACAGCAGACCTAGTTTATACTTAAAGAAGAATGTAAAAGACAATAAGTAAGTAGCCATGATTGTCTCGCAAGTTCAAAGTAAAAGTGTATCGTTTAGCAAAATGTTGTGCCCCAGGCAACTCCAGTAGTCCCACACAGTTGCCCATTGTCCTGCCTTGTGACTCTATTAGTGTATCTCCTCTCAGCCTCTCACAACACTCTTTTCCTCAGTGAGCTGACTACACCGAAAGTAATGTAGTGGCAAAAAGTCACAAGACCCACTTGAGGCAAGGTTTAAAATCTAAAAAAAAAATACATATATATAACACAGTACTAGAAAATGTGTGAATGGAGCTATTCTCCACTCATAAGGATCCACGACACACATATATTCCCAGCCTGTGAAAATATAACAGCACAGCAAGTAACCCAAATATAAACTCTCACCTGGATTTTGTCAGTTGGAGTCCGTTGGACACTGGAGGAGTTGAGGACAGGTGGGGAACTGCACTGATTTCCCTAAACAAACAGACACCAAAGAGCACCTGAAATTCAAATGCAAGCTGGCATGTAAAGTAAAACTCAGTCATGTCTCTAGATCCTTCATTTGCCTGCATTTGAATAGAGCAAAAGGACGGCAAAATGCTCTGTGTAAGCCAACAACAATGAAAATAAAAAGGATTTTATTTCAATTCATAAACTACAAAATCATTCAGGCAAAACAAGGCCTTCTGTGCCATCGGCTACCTGTTGTTGACAGCAGCATCAATTGAAAACTCACGTTTCATTTACAGTAAACGGGAGGTGGTTCAGCTGGTTTCATTTTGACTGGGGCGCTCACTGTAGCAGAAAATGCCTGCCCTCATGTGGATGGAGGGTCGAGGTGCAGCATCTGAAAAAAGAGAGAAGTAACACAAAATGCAGAGGAAGTATTAAGATTTGTGTGCAGGTTTGTGGTTTGTATAGCATGTAATAGTTACAGAACATCTACTAAAGAGCTTAAAGAACACTGTAAAGCAGTACTACACTGGATTACTATTTCAGACTTCTTAATTTCCCTCTTCTTCTTGAAACTTAACTGATTAGCCTTGTGTATCTCTGGATATGTTGGGGTTTTTTCACCTACATACGGACATTTTTTATTTGCACCCTCCAGTAAGGTCAAAGGTCAGCTAGATGAGAGTACAGCTTTAGGTGTTACAACTATTTATGACCCTTCAGAGAAGAGGATTATAAGTGACCTACTATAAACACTACAGTTCTGCACAGTTGTCCAAATGATCTATCAGGTCACTTTTTTCCTTACATTTTGCAAAATTTGTAACCCAATGTAGATATTATGTGCTCAACATGTTTAATTAACAGCTATAACCATTGTGACATGAAAGAGTTGAGTAAACACAGGTTTACCAATTATATTAATTCAGGTTCAGTTACATTCAGGTCAGACAGAGTCAGGGTGCTGCTATTGTGCATACTGACTCACTGGAAATGCTCTGCTACACTATACGGATGCTGCATTCACATGGATTTAGGCAGGATAGAGGTCATTTAACCTCAAAGCTGCAGTAGGTAACTTTTCTAAAAATAACTATTTGTTGAAACTTTCCCTATATCCTGACAGTACTACATGAGACAGATAATCTGTGAAACAATCAGGTTCCTCTGGCTCCTCCTAGTGCTCCTGATGGTATTTACCAGAATCCACCGGGCCTTATCGAAAACAACCAATCAGAAAGGAAGAGGCTGTGGGTTGGATGCTTGAAGATAGTTGATTGTTGAGTCTCATTCCCAGCATTGGTTTTTGACAACCTAGGAATGAGACTCAACGAGCAATTATCTGTCTTTGCTCTGATTGCTTGTTTTCTTTCAGACATGGTAGATTCTAGTGATGTGACACTTAGATAGTTGATGGTGGTTAGTTCATAGAGACACATCAAACTGTTGGATGCTGCTGTTTTCCACATTGCAATATATTTCTTTTTATTATGTTATTTATTTATGATTATTTATTTTTTGTCCAGATGTCAGGGGTGGGCATTAACAAAGCACATTTACTTGAGTCCTGTATTTAATATACTTTTTTTTTCAGTACTTAACTTGTTATGTGTGTGTTTAGGGGTGGTTTAGGGATAAAAATTGAAAATGTCAATAGCTGTCCTTTTTTTTATTTCTATGCTTAAGTTTTTATAGGTGTTTCTATCTGCTTTGTGTAGCAGAGCGGTTCTACAAACAAGTTAAGCAACTTAAAAATAATTTAAGTGATATATGTGTACACGTAAATCAAAACAGCGCTAAATTTGGCTGAATTATATACGGTATAAGTGGTCAAATGAAGAGCCTTTTGGGAGCCGAAAGAGCCGGATCTTCTTGGTGAGCTGAGACAAATGATCTGGCTCACTAAAAAGAACCGGAATTCCCATTACTAGCAGGTTCCATTTGGACTAGGAAGAGGCAGAGGAACCAGTTTTTTTATTTATTTTTTTACAAATTATCTGTCTCAAAATGAACGTTTCAGCAAATACCTACTGCAGCTTTAATGAGTTCACATGGTTGCTAACACCTATGTTTACCTTACTATTTCACGTCAAAATGTCTGCCACTTTTGCTTAACTACTAAGTCGACTAGTCGTCTCCGCTCTGAAATACAGAATGGATGATATAATCGTTTGTACTTCTGCCAGTCATAGAAATATAACCAGGTCAGGACGGAGAGTCGACGGTTGCTAACACAGGAGTTTGAACCCACGTCCTTTTGTTGTATAAAACGTAACATATTACAACATGACTAGAGTGCCAGCAACGGTATTTCCAATTAACTGTATGTCACTTCAGAAGAACAATAATCGTTCTCCTACCAGCCTGAACTTTCAAACGTATCCTCATGTTCTTGTGTGTGTTTATCAGAGAGCATCCCTGACCGGAACTCCTATTGGCCATTTTCACTGCACCTGTTCGACCCGCCCGCCAATCACACACTTCGGTCGGTGCGCTCCAAGATGGCGGCTTCCAGTGCCCTGCATCATACATCATCGCATTTGAAAGCTAAATATTACTATCTCCCGGTCGCCTAAACTCACGAGGAGGCAGAGCAGAAGAAGCCGAAGCCAGTGAAACGCGGAAACGGTTTCCCCATGCTTTGTTCGCGAGAGGAGCCGGTTTCGGTGTCGGACTAAAGGGGGTTGTGTTATCCGAGTATGGCCACCGACAACAGGATCAATTTTTGGAGGAGAAACGCAAAGGTTCCCGGAAGGTGGGTTATTGAAGCTAACTCTCTGTTTGTAAACGAACAAAGACTAACGTAACATTTCTTTAGTAGTCTCAGACTGATTGTTGTTGAAAATGTCCTCCACAGTCAGTGCAGAAACATTAGTAATAGCCGGTTGTAGCTTGAATCCACTCATAATGAAGTATATTGGCATGTTAGCTTAAACCTGAGCTGTTTAGCTGACTTTAACGAATAAAATATTTGTAAGCACTTCAGGATTAGTCATTAGTTGACCATATTTTAGTTGTGGCTTTCAATTCAGCCACTTTGGGACTTTTCAGCCCTTTCCACCGTCTTGTTTGAGTGTGTGTCTTCATGATGGCCTCCAACTGAGAGACACAGACCTCCATCTCTTTCTCCTCTGTGGTTTAACGCTCAGAGTTGAGGTGTCAGCTGTCACAGTCCGCGCATCGTCCGCCATATGCTTGGCTGTTGACACTCAACACAGGCTGACTACTGGGAGGAAGACTGCACTGTCTTGATGAGGGCCACTGCAGTAAGACTCTGAGTCATAAGGGTACAAGTTGAATGAAATGCATCCTCTGTTTGTGGCAGTTTTATTGATGACCAGCAGCTCACCCACAACAGGTTATAGGGGAATAATAGGTTATTACAAAGTATTAGCCCCAGTTTTGAGTACATTTAAGTACATTTGAGTCACAGTGTCAGTAAATATAAAATGATCTGAGAAATAAATCCACAAGGTCATTTAACAGGACTTCTTAAAACAAAACATTTTTTTAAACCCTTTTCTCATGTGCTGATTTTCAAAATGACAATGTAAAATAATACAAAGTAACATCAATACAGACAAATGTAACTCATGTATTTTACATCTTATTTTGGTTCACATTGTATAAATTAGTGATAGGCCAATTAATTGGTCTCCCTATTAATTGGATTATCTAGCCTTTTGAGATAATCGGCACAGGCCCATGCCTGCGCTCATGAGGCAGATAAACAAGAAGGAGACATATCTGCAGGCAGGCTGTCAGTGTGGCTGCTGTGGAATGATCTTAGCACTCCTCTTTGGGAATTTTGGGAAAGTGGTGAAAAAGTTAGTTTGAAGCCGTGTACTATAACTGATGCATCCTGCATGCCTGTATTTGCTATCGGCCATTGGCTGCCCCCCTCTCTAAATCGGACAGCCTCTATACATTAAGCATATGTTGAAATGTGTAATTTCCAGCTGCCATCCTTGTTTGGATTACATGGAGTCACAGCTTTGTAACAAGTATTTATTGCTGTGCACCTCTGGGTCTTTCAAACATTGCACAGTAATTATCTTTCAGAAAAACGGATGCTTGCCACTGTGACTTAAATGTAATGGTAATAAGAGAGACACAAACTGGGGCTAGACTAGTCCCAGCCTGTAGAGCTTGCTCAATAGGCACTATAGCAATGGGATATAATGGGCACTGAGGACCTGTAGGCATTCCCATACTCTCTTTTCTTTTAATCTCCTCACCCTGCACACTTATGGAAAATGAAAATTCATCAGACTTTATTGATAAGACATGACCTGTGTCCATGTGTCTATGTTTATATCTTTATTGACCTGCGTGTCTTTACGACTCTGAGCAGCCCGAGGAGAGGATCTCTAAGGAGCAGGCGTTGCTCTCTTTGTCACACACACACACAAACGGCGGTGGGTGGAAGTCTGGAAACCCAAACACAAACATATGTTTGAACAGGAAAGCGAGCAGCTAGTCTTGCTGCCTGTCCTTGAGCCGCTCCTGATAAAACAAGTGTGAGGCGGGTAAACAAGAGACTCTGGCACTGCCAGATAATCAGCAGGCCCCGTTCTCAGCCAACAGGCTTACTGTCAGTTTGTTCATGCAAATGGCACGAATTAGCCTGACGTCTTTTAGCCCCAGGCGTGAGAAGCCACCGCTTGACAGAATCCACATACTAGTAGGGTTTTTTTTGTTGCTTTGTGATATTCACACAAAGGCCTCTCAACTGCTTTCAATGAAGCCTTATCGTGATTGAACTTTCTAACTTTTTTTTGGATAAACAGTTATATTAAATTTAGTCTTAGGCTGTCACTGTGGTGGGAAATGAGTAGTGATTAGAAAATTCCTTTGTTCCCAATCTATAAACTTAACCCAGAGCACTTTAGGCAACATCACGTCTCCCACTAACTCTGACCAAAAGCTGCCCTCTACTGACAAACTGTCTGAAAAGTGAGCTTTATTGTCAGATTATTTGATCACAAGACTTTAATATCTGATTTGTGCTGTTAACACACACAAATGTGCATGCTTGGCTCCATTCCCACACTGTGTAACCACAATTATAACTGAAGTTTGGGGGTTGAGCATAATAATAATAATAATAATACATTTTATTTGTAAAGCACTTTTCATAAAAGAAGTGCTACAGAAACCAAGAAAAAAACTAAATAACAAAAAACACTGAGGGCAATAACACATTAAAATCAGCAACCAATAATAATACAAGTGATAAAATGCAGCTAAAAGAGGAGTTGAAGTGCATAGTGAAATTAGAAAAATCTAAGGACAACTTAAGAACGCCTGCCTGAACAAAAAAGTTTTAAGCCCTTTTTTAAAAGTGTCCACAGACTGGGGTTTTCGCAGATGTTCAGGGAGGGAGTTCCAGATGTGAGGGGCAGCGGAGCAGAAGGCTCGGTCTCCCATGGTGCGGAGTCTTGAGCGGGGCTGATGGAGGAGGTTTGTGCTTTGGGACCGGAGGTTACAGGTGGATGAGTGAGGGGTAAGGAGGTCTTTGAGGTATTGCGGGGCGTTGCTGTAGATACAAAGGTGGGTGATGAGGGCGATCTTGTATTGAATTCTTGAGGTTATGCATCATGCATTATTAATCCAGAAAAGGGGCTGAAACTAACCATTGTTTTCAATATCGATGACTCTGCCAATTATTTTCACATCAAAAGTCGAATGTTTGTTTTGAAAAATGACTAAAAAGATTAAAATAGTTGGCAATTCATTTTCTATAATCAACTAACCGTTGCAGCATTATCCAGTAATTCTTTTGTGAAAAAGTCTTACATTTTGAATGGGGTTAAGGAGGCTGCTGCTTCTGGCTTTCTGTGAAGGCAAAGGAACTTTGTTGGCAGTTGTGGGTCTGGCCCAGGTCCCATCCTACAGTACCACCCTTGACTGTGTCTGCTTTGGAGAGACGCTTTAAGAACATTAAGATTCTCACATCCGCAGAACATAATGTCCACCACAGGGTGGTGACAACAACGGGGGCTGTGCAAGCTGTCCTCTAGTTCTGTTCAATACACACTAAAAAAAGCCCAGTCTAAGCAAGACAGGGAAGGAAGGGGTTATTTAATAGCAGGGAGCAACTGAGCTGAAAAACTCTAAAAGAAAAAATGTTTAGATCTATACACATTTTGTAATTTAAATGAGAGATTTGACACAACAAAATATCATTTTTATGAATAGTTCATAATATGAAATATATTGTCAGTATACTAAATGATAGCAAACGGGTCCCTTAAGGAAAAGGTTGGTTACCACCGTTCCATTAAATAATGTACTTCACATTTACTTTTCTTCACAGAAGTGAACCAAATGCTGACATATATATATATATATATATATATATATATATATATATACGTTTTTGTACACGCCTTAAAATCAAGAAGGCCTCACGACCCCCCCATGAAGCTTTGGTAACCCTTAGTGGGAGTCCCGAGTTGGGAACCACTGACATACAGTTTATAGAGTGTTTTGTCTGTATATAGCTTGCTTCTTGTTCACATGGACTTTGACAAAGGGTCGTGCATCAGTATAAGGTTTTTTGGGGAGTTATTTATTTATTTATTTTTGAGTTTGCAGTAAACGTCTCTTTTTCCTTTGTATGCTGTTTTTGTCATGCACCTATACCGAACTTGGGTTGGATGTGCACATTACCCACCTTCTTGGCTTATAATAATACTGAGTGAGCACAGTATATATGGCAGCCATATGGTGAATCCAACATGTCATGTCAGTAAATTTGAAATAGATTTTAAGGGGAGTGAGCTATTTACTGAGACAAAAGGAAAATATGTGTTACAAGGGCAACAAGGACAGGACTTGCTGGTCAAAGACGGGGAAGCTGCATGCTTTTTTCTGCACAGAGGTGATTGCATTTCACATGTCATCTTCTACAGTGTACAGCCAGTTTATGGAGCACAGCATCCACCTCTCGACCCACGATTGCGACGCACGTAAGTGCTAAACCCAGCTGGACTGCATGGCGTCGTGTCACCCACATGGATGCGTTTTCTTTGCGTCACTCCCATTTTTTTGCAGCACATTGTTCCATGCTTCGAGTACTTGAACAAGTGTGGATTGCATGCAGCAGTATTGTTTCAGTGTGACCCAGTGTTTGCATTTCCATTGTTGAATCTGTTTTAGAGACTTTCAGTGTTTTATTGCCTTTTATTGTTGGATTTGTAGTTTTGTTCCTTTTGTTCCATTCTGTGTATATTAGCTACCAGTGCTTCCATGAGTGAGACCGTTCAATTCTTTCTTTTTCTGTCTGTTTGATTTCTGGATCTGTCCCTCTGCAGGTATCCCAAAGACATAAAGCCCAAGTTCAACAATCTCAAGTCTAAAAAGGCCTCTAGCTTCCATGAGTTTGCGCGCAGCACCAACGATGCATGGGACATTGACGATGAGGAGGACGAGGATTTTCTCGGGACCCACGCTCCAATTTCATCCTTGCCATCAGGCCTGCACTCCACATCCATGCAGAACCAGGTATCATTTTTACCATGGAACTATTATGGGCATTGAGTTGGTGTGAAATGAAAGGAGATATTCAGGTGTCTTTCCACTCAGCAGCAGCAGAACCAGGCAGGTGTCACAGAAACTGGGGTGTCACACAGGCTGCCAGCTCCCAGGACAGAAGCTCAAAACCTCCAGGATGCGCAGGAGGAGGACACGGACTGCGAGCACGTCAACGGCAAGGTTGTCAAGTCCAGTAGTGACGCCCACCTCAACGCGTCCTCAGGTATGTGGGTAATATGTGTCAGCAGTTTCTCGGGTTTAAGAGCTATTGAGCAGCTTATCAAGTGATTCACAATGAAGCTAATTACAGACATTGTCGGGGGGGGAGCTAGTGGGATTATATCAGGCCACTAGCATGAGCCTGGCAGGACATTTTGCAGTCCTAAAAATGTTTCTCCAAATGCTCTTATCCCCATGGGCACTAATGTGTTTTCAGTGACCAGACAAATTACTACAAGTGAGTTTATTAGCACATTAATCACATTTAAAGGTCCAGTGTGTAACATTTAGGAAGATCTATTGTCAGAAATGGAATATAATATTCATAGGTATGTTTTGATTAGGGTATAATCACAAACAATCACATCTCAATATAAAAATCATTGTGTTTTTGGTACCTTAGAATGAGCTGTTTTTATCTACAGAGGGAGCAGGTCTTCTTCTATGGAGTCCATCATTAACCTTCATGTTTTTACTGTAGCCCAGAATGGACAAACCAAACACTGGCGCTAGAGAGGGCCTTTTGAATTTTTTGCAATGGGAAGGGAAGTAACATAAAAAATATATATATTTATTATACATGGATCAGAATAGTTCTTAGAGACAAAAATAGATGAGGCAAAGCTACTAAGGAAAAGGGCTAGTGGATGCTGTTTGAATCAAAGGAATTAATATAACCAAAAGAGGAAGAGCTTATAACTTACTTCTTAAGAAATGAAAAATGAAAAGAAAACCTCACTAACCAACTCAGCTTAATAAGACAAAAAACACTACAAACAGGCACCCCTAAACCTAAAAGTGTCTCTAAAATCAATACTTGTCTCCAGGTAGAAAACAAGTGCCTCAGCACTAGTTTCACAAGTTAATACCAGATTAATACCAGATTAATAGCTATCAGCCTGACCTTAAACAACAAGAAGCATGTTGCCGAGCGGCCCTGACTCTCAGGCTGCCCAGGCTTTTATAGTTTCAGTTCCCTAAATTGCTGTCTCTGGATTGGAGAGTTCTTCGGCTCAAGAGGTAGGAGTAGGAGAGGTGAGGATAGGCCACACTGCTGAAGCCAATCGAGCACTGGGGACCACACATCCTACTTACATACACACAGTCCTACGAGAAAAGGTTAAAAACATGGGGGGCAGTGTCTGCTGCAGCCTTAACATCTACACACTTGGAATGCGAGTGGTATTCAGTTAGTTCCAATCTGCAACCTGACTTTTAGATGCCACTAAATCTTTTAGATTTTCCCCAATTCTCTTGTGTTGCCCTGTGCAGTTCGCTCCACGCTGCAGAAGCAGCACACTCTCCCAGTTCGTCCCATCATCCCACTTGTTGCTCGCATCTCAGACCAGAACGCATCGGGGGCACCACCCATGACCGTGCGGGAAAAGAACCGTCTAGACAAATTTAAACAGCTGCTGGCTAGTCCCAACACCGACCTGGGTATGAGAGCAACACAGCCACACACCTTCACAAGGCAGATATGGAGCAGCTAATGGTTCCAAGCTGACGCTACACTCTGGGTTACAGCCGGTTTTGACATGTGTGTTTGTATCTTGTTCTGTGCTGTCACAGAGGAGCTCCGGAAGCACAGCTGGTCGGGCATACCAAGAGAAGTCCGGCCAATCACGTGGAGACTTCTCTCTGTAAGTCTCATGACCTTCAGTTTTTAAATATCACATGCTCTGCTCCTTGTTGCACATTCTCAAAGCCTCTTTGAAAGTCCTGGATACGGTTTTAAGTTTCTATGTAGCCAATACATTCCTTTTTAGAAAATGCTTACATCATGTCTAAAGCCTTATCCTTGCAGGGAGCCTTATCTCCTCTCTTTTCTCTTATCTCAAATGGCCGGCCTGTTCTGTTCTGTTCTGTTCTGTTCTGTTCCTCTGAAACCGTTCACATAATCAGAACAAAGCTTCTCCTCACTGGCACTTTCTCTCGTCGGTCTCTGACAGGGCTACCTGCCGGCCAACAAGGAGCGCAGAGAGCTGGTGCTAAAAAGAAAGCGAGAAGAATACTTTGGCTTCATAGAACAGTATTACCATTCCAGAACAGACGAGCACTATAAAGACACATACAGACAGGTAAAGAGAACTCATGGAGATAAACCTTTAGACTGCTACTACTCATCAGTCAAAACATCAGCACAATATGATATTTATTAAATATTATCAGAACCATGCATGCATGTGTTATTTGCTTGGGTAACATCTCAATAATCTCTCTTCCTGTTAGATCCACATCGACATTCCAAGAACCAACCCTCTGATTCCTTTGTTCCAGCAGCCCGTAGTACAAGAGGTAAGATCTAAGCTACCGAAGAACAGTGCGATTACAAACAGTTCAAATATCTATTAGTAGTTCATCCAAAGTGCACATGGGTGATTTTTTGTTTTACCATTGGAGAGTCGTTCACTCTTAGTGTTGTCTGTAAACCAAGTTGGGACAACACAAAAATACACCAAAGTAAGGGATACTTTGGTGTATTTTTGTGTTCAGTTTGTTTTAATGCATCAGTCAAAATTAAAGTGAAGCAAAATCAGTGGGTTAGTCAGTTATCTAGCCTAACTCGGGTTCTTCTGAAACTGGCTGGCAGGGTTCCCACGCGTCCTGAAAAATCTGGTCTTGGAAACACCTGGAAATTGATTAAAATAACAAAATGTCTTGGAAATTAACTGTATGGTAAATGGAATGCACTTGTATAGCACCTTTCTAGTCTTCCGACCACTCAAAGCGCTTTTACACTACGTGCCACATTCACCCTTTCACACAGATTCACTCAGTGATGGCAAAGCCAAACAGGAACCTACTTATTCATTCACATTCACACACCAATGCACACATTGGGAGCAACTTGGGGTTCAGTATCTTGCTCAAGGAATTGTGAAGTAAAATGACTGTTTTTGTCAAAGGAGGAAAGTTATTTGTTGGAAAGGACTGTCTGACAGAAAAGGTTAAGCAGTGAAAATATTCTAAATAGAGGTGGTGTTGGAAATTCTTTATTAGGAATAACCCCTTCAACCCCTCATTTCAAGGGTGTCCTCATTGACAAGTACAGGTGTAAACTGATGCTGATTTTTTATTTTTTTTTTTATGTGGCCAAACCGCATTTTGTAACTCCTTTCTGCTTCACCAAACTGGGGTCTTGTTTACCGCAGTCTACTGTAATACCATTTTTAATGACTATGAGTAAGTAACTCATACAACCCCACTTAAAAAAACTGAATTATCCCTTTATTCATGTCAAACAGAGATGAGATTGAAGGCACTCCTGGTTTGATCCAACCAACTTTAATAGACTTGGATGTTAGATACCTTAGATAAGTCATGACCCTGTCAATGATACTGTGCTGGAACAGTGACAGAGCATTTGCTAGCCACTGAGGAAGAACCTGCATCAGATTACTAAACTACAGAGGAACTTATCTGTAAAAAGGAACTTCACTTATTGTGGCTTGTTCCTCAAATGTGGTGATTTTATGGCTTTCAAAACACTATAGATTTGTGTACAGAATAACCAGAAACCTGTGATGGGGTGTAATCACAGCAGGGCAATAATTGTTTAACTTTGTATCAACTTTCAGAGGATTAATTGTAAAGGTATTCTGATTTTACAAAATTCTGAATTCATTTGGAAGTGGTGTTTTACTCGTGAAGAGTTTTGTCTGATGTAACCCATAACCGAAGAACACAAGTTATTGCATTGAAGATCAGTTTCATTACTTTATATTAATGATGAGACATTCCTTTTCACCATATTGCGCACTATGGCTAACCCTAAGCATAGACTCAAATAATAATAACAATAATAATAATGCACAGTGTCTGAGTTATTACAGTACTTTACAGTTGCTTTTGCTCACATTTTCATTTTTTCTTTTTTCAGAAGAACTCTTAACTCAATATGCTGTACAAGATCTTACATTGCACACAAAAGAAAAACCTAGTGCCATCAAACAGTAACCAGAGTTCTCAATGGTCTCTTCCTCAAGAATGCGCAAGTAGCAATTAGGAAGATGTTTTATTTATTGAATATATGTTATTTCACCATAAATATAGATAATATAGTCTGGAGTCTGACTTTACACTACATTGCATCCTACTTCCCTCCAATAGAAAATGATGTGTGACTGTATAAGTTACTGTTTCTGCATCTCAACAAACCATCTTTAGATATTTACATTACTTGTAAGTTTAAAGGAGCACTCCACTGATTTTACACATCAAAGTCAGTTTCCTTTCCATGAGGAGTATTACTCCGCCTGTGGAAGCCAGTGTGTAATGCCTTTTGTGACTCTGATGAGAGCTTTCTAAGTCTTAGAAAATCACCTTGAATTGAACTTAGTTTTTAAATGTATAACATAGAGCCTGTGTAACAAACTTGCAACATGGCATGGAGTTTGAAGGATGTGGGTCTATACCATTGACACTATGTATAATGGTCAGAGCTTCCGGGTCTGTGAGGTGAAGCCAGTTGTCCTTAACCTGCATGTTATGTAATGGCCAGCAGGGGGAGCTCCACTGGCACCAAACCACTTGATTTATTAGCTCAGTGAATAGTATGAGTTTCTGGTCTCAATCTCTAGTTTCAGTCTCCTTCCCCACAGCATGATGTTCATTTAGTAAATGATGGTCCCATTTAGAGTAAAATAGACCATAAAGCAGGGTATGCTTTAGGGCGTGGCTACCTTGTGATTGACAGCTCATTCTCAGTGAGTCTGTCCAGCTCAACGCACCAAACTCAGACCAAACTGTCAAACTAGGCAGTGTGGTGCACCTTGGTCTCGGTTTCTGTCCTTCCTCTCTCTCTCTCTCTCTCTCTCTCTCTCTCTCTCTCTCTCTCTCTCTCTCTCTCTCTAACCCCAACTGGTCGAGACAGACGACCACCCACCTAGAGCCGAAGGATCTGTCCGAGGTTTCTGCCTTTTAACAGGCAGTTTTTCCTAAAAACTCTTGCTGCAAAGAGCCAAATTAAAAAGCAAAACACTACATCACATGCTCAATTCAATTCAATTCAATTTTATTTGTATAGCATCAATTCATAACAGAAGTTATCTCAGGACACTTTTCAAATAGAGCAAGGTCTTGCTCATGGTGGTACTGTTGGGTCTCTGTAAATAATGTTATAAGAAGTTTGGTCTAGACCTGCTCTTTGAAAAGTGTCCTGAATTTGGCTCTTTGCAGCAAGAGTTTTACCCATTGAAACTCTGTTGTGTAACAACCTACCAGATATGGAAAATAGCAGAATTGAAAGTTGAAGCTTTTCTGGTGTTAGCGTCGTAATCTTCTTATAAATACAAATACAGATGTAAAAATACAACTGAACTAACATGAAAGTTAGAAGGATAAGTAAATCCATTCACATTTTGCTGTTAAAACTGTATGTTTACAGAATTCAGAGGGTTGGAAAATAATCATGTCCAGAACAGTCCAAAAAGTCAGATTGTGAAAATATCATGTGTGTCTGTGTTTTGTACAGGAAATACCCAGCTCTCTGTGTGTAAGATCCCAAAAAATAAGATGAGATAGGGTCATGGTAATGATAAAGTCCAAAATGACAGCTTATCGGAGTGAGATCATGGAAGGTGCAGCCAAAGACAGGCCAAGACAAGATCAGCTATGTAAAGAAATAAACGGCATTAGATCTGGTGTGTATTTGGGCATAAACAAAACATAACCACTGTTTAAGAGATCATATCATTGTTTCCAAATCCATTTTTTAAGGTTTTAATTTGAATAAAAATAGGTGGAGGATCAGCAAGAGAAGAGTTCTAATTCAGTATATAAGAAGGTGTTTGCATGTCTGGCACTTGACATTGGTGTTTTGACTCCAATAACCTTACGCATCAGATTCTGCAGACTCCAGAGCGTTTTTCTGAGTATTTTTGTGACGCCAACAGGTACTTTTTAAGGATGTAATTTAGCAAATGTTGGCAAGATTTACAGACCTTTTTCTTGCCTGAGTTTAGACATTTACACCCAACACATTTTGATGTTGTCTTTCATTCCTCAGGTGTTTGAGCGTATTCTCTTTATCTGGGCCATCCGTCACCCAGCCAGTGGTTACGTCCAGGGAATCAACGATCTGGTCACACCCTTCTTTGTCGTCTTCCTGTCTGAGTTTGTCAGTAAGTTACCTGCATAGAGCCCTGTCATATTCACACTAGACCAGCCTTTGAATCTGTGCCTCTATTTTACAGTGTTGTTACTGGGGCTGTCCCCAAATCAGGATTTTCAGTCAGCATCGACTAGTGTTGTGGTTAGGTCATTTTGAGACAAGACTTCTACATGGCTCTGTATCCAATGATCCAGCAGTGATTTGATTGATACAATGCCAGTCGACTTCTTCTCAACTGATGACTCCAATCATCAATTTTTATGGGGCACCCCAAGTTGTTACCACATCCAAATCCATAAACATTTATTCCGCCAACTTTGGTAGAAAGCAGCATTCATTCAAATCTAGGGATCTTCATCTGCATGAGTCAGGCCTTTTCGGTTCCATTAAATGTGTTTTGTCTTTCCAGCGGAGGATGTTGAGAACTTTGATGTGGCAGCGCTGCCTTTGGATACCCAGAGAAACATCGAAGCTGACAGCTTCTGGTGTATGAGCAAGCTGCTGGATGGAATACAGGTCTGCTCACACACACATACATCTCAATAAACTTTAATTTCAAACAGTACATGTGCTGGTTTACTGAAAATGGTATCCTTTCAGGACAACTACACCTTTGCTCAGCCTGGAATCCAAAACAAAGTGAAAGCTTTAGAGGAGCTGGTCAGCAGGATAGATGGTCAGTGTCAGTCCTTTCATGTGTCATCAATGTGTCACATTAGGTTTTAGATTGCCTTTACTGCTCATTCCTCTTTACTTTGGGCTTTACTAGGAGCTCATACATGTAGAAAGTGATAGAAGGCTGCACACAGTTTTAACATCTGCAAATGTGTGTCTCCAGAGGACATTCACAATCATTTCAAGAAATATGAGGTGGAGTACCTGCAGTTTGCTTTCCGGTGGATGAACAATCTGCTAATGAGGGAGCTGCCACTTCGTTGCACTATCCGTCTCTGGGACACCTATCAGGTAGAGCAGAGTGTACACCACCACCATCAGCAGCAGCAGCAGCACTACCTACAGTCTGAAAAACTACTATAGAATTTACACTGCTGCAATTGTGATTCACTAGGCAGTATTTGTTAAGTTGACTGGGTTTGCTTGTAACTTTTGTCCTGTTTTCCACAGGCTGAAGCAGAGGGTTTCTCCCACTTCCACCTCTACGTCTGTGCTGCTTTCCTCATTGAGTGGCGCAAAGAAATCCTCTCCATGGTTGACTTTCAGGTACCAGTGTCTTCGTGGTCATCCACACCACACATACGTAATCACTAACAATTAACTGCCGTACCAACAGATGATAAATTTGAATTCTTCTGAATTAATGTTCTTACAAATTGTCATGAAATGTTTATTAGGCTCCAGAGGTGACATTGTCAGTCGTCCACCACTTTCAACAACTATAGGACAAGATTGCCATGAAATTTGGCAGACCTATTCCTGCCCCTGTCTGTCTCAGGTTGAATTGCAATAACTTTCAAGGAATCAAGAAAATGTGTATATAAATTTACAACACAAGGTCGTATAACAAAATGAAGGTTTGCAGTTCCTTCATGCTACACACATTGAAACGGATAATTAAATTGATGATAATATGATTTCATCTTCACATAAAATGAAACCGTGTCCATCCACTGACAGCGTTTGAGCTCGAAGTATTATTGATGTAAACACAGAGTCCGCCTCCTTTCATACTGCCTTCTGTCAGGTCAGAACACGGTCTTCTGTCTAGTGCTTGATCTGGGATCTCCTCCTGGGATAACTGTGCCCGTCGTGGAGCTGGTCCCATCCGACCGATCTGGCACAGCACTATTGGGTACCACGACAAGTCCCTCCCTAACTGCCTGTTTTTACAGGAAATACATAAATGTGCGGAAGCAAATAACTCTGATTTCCATTTCACCTGGTAATATCGTTATCATTCACATCCAGACTCCATAGACAAAAACACTAATTTTACCTTGCATATTGTCGTAACATCGTAACTTCATTCAGAGTGAACAGAAACAAAATAAAACTCACCAAAACAATCTCAGTTAGTCTTTCCACTGTTCCAACAATCACCAACTCTCTTTTGATTGAAATAAATCCTTAATTTACCGACATAGATGATAAAAACTGCAGATTCAGTCGATCTACTCAACTATATACAAAGTAGACTGGCTATGTGAACAAACCACAGAGAGGCTGCGATAGCAACACAGACGGAGGGAGTGAGACACCATGACTCCATTACATCTTTACATAACAAATAGTTTTTTATTGATATATTTTTATGTTTTAAATTACATAAATATAATCTTTAAATTTCTTTATTTTTTATTTTTTGATTCCATTGTGTCAGAGATAGGTTTTACATACTAAACCACATACTGTATATATTTGTGAAATGCAATATGTACTCTGTTATTAACCACCACCTTCCAAAATAGTATCATTGTCAATTAAGTAAATCTCTTTTGCTCTTCAGGGCCTTCTTATGCTACTTCAGAACTTACCTACAATCCACTGGGGTAACGAGGAAGTGGGTCTCCTCCTGGCTGAAGCTTACAGACTAAAGTACATGTTTGCAGACGCACCCAGCCACTACAAGAGATAGACCCCAGGCTGAGTGCCTTTACCCGACTATGACTGGATGGACCCACAGCATCTCAATATGCTCCAGACTGCAAGTGAGGTAACCTGGAGAAGACTTATTCAAGCACAGCTCCAGGACACCTGCAGGATGTTATCTCAGAGCCACAAATCGTAATCCTGTGAAAGTGAAGTCCAGTGAATATCACATTGGATTTGGGTTTATGGTGTACCTGTAAAGCGCAGTGAATATGAGACTATTTGCAGTCAACGTACTGCACTGTATCAAAGGACTGTTACAGTATAAAAAAAAAACATAGCTATGCCATCTTGGTTTACTTTTATTGTTTTTGGTCATGCACCATTGATTGGTGCAGTGAAATGTAAACTCAGAAGAACTTGCTGTATTATAAAGGAATGATGAATGTTTGTGAAATCATCCTTTTAGTCAAAGATGATATCTACAGTTTTTTTTCCAGATTTGTTTTAGTAGTTGTTTTACAAGGGGAAAATATCAGGCAATACTTTGTCATTTTCTCTTTTAAAATGTATTTAGTCCGACACTGTCAAGCTGTGGGTTACCAAATCTGCACTGTACAATCAACTTATAAAAGTCCTTAGTTTGGACTTGAATCAGCCAGTTTAATTGGCACTGACCCAAGAGTAGCAGATAGTACAAGATTCTGTGTTTTATTTCAGGCTGTTTAGGTTAAATGTAGAGGAGCTGATTTTGTGTAGCCATTGCGATGAGACTCTTGGGTATAGCTCATATATATCAACAGAGGTAAAATGTGAAGTTGGAGACCTTCTGGTTAATGTAGCTTTGAAATTCCCCTGTTTTATTTTAATTAGATTGTGGTGCATATTAAAGCGGCAGTAGGTAACTTTTATAAAAATAACTTTTTGTCATATTTGCTGAAACTTTCACTATATCCTGACTGTAGTACATGAGACGGATAAACTGTGAAAAAATCAGGTTCCTCTGACTCCTCCTAGTGCTCCTAATGGCATTTATAAGAATCCACTGGGCCTGAACGAAAACCACTAATCAGAGGACTAGGAGGAGCCAGAGGAACCAGATTTCTTCACAGATTATCTGTCTCATGTACTACTGTCAGGATATAGTGAAAGTTTCAGCACATATGACAAAAACGTATTTTTATAAAAGTTACTATTGCAGCTTTAACACTCTGATGGCAGCACGGTGATTAAGCGCTGTCTCCTCACAGCAAGATGCACCTGGGTTTGAATCCTGGTTGGGACAGCCCTGCGTGGGTCTCCTCTGGGTGCTCTGGTTTCCCACTCCATCAAAAACATGTTTTGTTTGGTTCCCCTGTCAGTAACCTTGACTAAGACACTGGCGTAGAACTGACAGCGTACAGTGGCTGCCCACTGCTCCTAGAATGGATGAAATGCAGAGAGCGAACTTCCCTCCGGGGGATCGGTAAAGGGATAACTTCACTATAACTGGCACAAAATGAGATCAGTAAGAACTGGTCTGTTTTGGACTGAGTGTTGATTTTAGCAAACATCTGTTTATTATGCATAACTATGAGAGTAGTATCTTATAAATTATGTTATAATCTATGAAGTATCTAATTAGATACCTGTGGTCACTGTAAAAACTGCATATGCATAAAAAAATAGTTGAATTGTTTGATTCCTCAGTTTAGAATAATTTTAATAATTGTTGATGGGCTTGAAGATATTTTTAAAATGAAATTTTCTGTGCTTGCCGGTACTGAAGGACGTTTAGTCACACCATCCTACTTGAGACAGTCCTGTGGACACAGTGCAGCTCACAATGTATGACAATGCCTTTGCATTTGTAATGTACTCCTGTCTTTTAAAATGTATATGGATAAATGCTTTGTTATCATTATTGCTTGTGTTTTGTATTTGTCTAAGGTTCAGGTTAGGTTTATTATTCTGTCTGAGACTTTTTCCAGTCTGTGACCTGATCCAAGAAACATTTGTAACAGCATTGTTTTTTGTTTTTTGGGTGGGGTGTGAATATGTGTGTTACTACTCATCTACCTTCATTACCAGTGCTAATTATAACACAGTGTATGTTTGAAAGATATGACAATCATGAGCCTTTGGTACTTTGGTTTCCCTATTAGATGAATTGAACCAAACACTGTTGCAGAGTTTAAAATCCGGATTTAATGCAACCTAGATTCTTGGCTATTACCCTGGTTAACCATCTCTCATGGTTAGAATAAGTCTTAATATTATCATCATCCAGGAATTATATATAAATATAATGTCATGAAGGTCCTCTATGGCATTATATTCATTGGAGTAAATCTTAAATATTATGGTACGTAAATTGAGTCTGTGAAATAGATCATTATAATTTTTGGAAACATCTAACACTGTTATATACCTTTTAAAGGTTTATTAATTTCAGTTAAGCAGCATATAATCTCCTTTAAACCCATCTGAAACATTTTGAATGTGTTTGTGAGTGTAACAGTATGCCTCTAGCCTTAAAGTAGGTCTTCTTCATTCAGGTGCGCCAACTGATTGTGTCACTACTGAAATGCTTTTGTTCACTCCATGCTGTTTTTATCTGAAGGTCGTATGTCCTCAAAATGTGATGTTAGTAACTAAAGGCTGACAAAGTGAAAACTTGTTGATTTTTTTCAAAAGTGTTCATGCTGTTTCAACAATAATATGCCAAATTTATTGGGCCAATATAATCTGTTTTAGAGTGCTTCAGTAGTCAGTGCTGGCTTCAGCATAAAATTAAGAATACTTAAATTATTACAGTAACTGCTGTATATTCACTTTTTGTTTATATTAAACTATTGTTATTCTTTATTTTGGCATTTGTGTATATGTGTATGTGGGGGGGATATATAATCACAGATATTAAAGGTTTATTTTGGTCTGCTCAAACAAATAACTCACTTCAGTCATTTTCATAGCATTAAATTAGCAACTCAGTAAAGTACGGAAGCATATTGCTGAAAAAAGAAAAACAGATCTATATCACATTATAACGTGAAAGATTTATTATTACAATAAGATATGTTCACATTATTACAACATACAAACAATATACTATTTATCTTATGTGAAATGTAAAGTGATAAATTATACTGTATATAAATTATATTATTATATATTATATTATTACTTAGCCTTCCTGGGGAAAACAATATCACGTCTGCAACCCCTGGGGGCAGAGTTACTGCAGGGGGTCTAGTTTGTATTTTTCAAAAATACATGTACCTTTAAAAGTTATAACAGGAATATATTAATCTATTATTTTAATATTTTAAAAGTTTTTACTTTTTTATACTTTAATGTCTGAAAATACACTAAGATGAATGCAACATATTAGAAATTAATGTTAAAATTCTAACAAAATATATTAATCTGTCAATTAACACTTCATATTATAAGTTTCTGAAAATACACATTAACGTGACAACATATTATTGGCAAAGATAATTTCCACATGTATGGTTAAGAGTATAACAAGAATATATTAACTTATGATTGTAACGTTATGCATGGTAACAAGGTATGTTTATGGCACTAATAGGCCGCCCTACACGTAACGTTAGAACGTCCCGTTGAACGTCCCGTTGAACGTCGGAGCTCTGAGGCTGTTTTGAAGTGGCGATGTGACGTTCCGGACGTGATGCGGAGAGCTCAGAGAAGTTAACCCTCCCTCATAAACTTAGGTTTCACTTTTTGCAGCCATGCCAGTGTGGTTTTCGTTAGCGAAGCAAAGTGCTAACGGACCACACTGTGTGAGTGTAGGCAGCTGGGAATATAGCGTCGCACCGCGTCCGTCTGAGCGCCGAGGTGAGCTGCTCTCAATGCAAAATGCCTTTCTAAAACGTTAGCGCACCTAGCAGCGAGCTAACGTTAGCAGACACGAAGCTAGCCTGTGGTCGCGCAGCAGCGTTGGTAGCTAATGTTGCTGCAGTGTTATTGTAGCATTTATTTGTCACTAAATGGACCTCTTGCTGCCCGGTTATTATTTAACAGAGTTAACGTGTTTGTGTAAAATTAAGCCTAGCGAGCGGTTATCGACAACGTTAGCAAGATAGAGGAAGAGGCTAAAAAGAAGGCACGTTTCCCCTTTTGCTCTCGAAACTTGACTAACGATAGTTAGCTGTTGACTTGATAGCAGATGTGTGCCGTTCAGCTTCAGTGCGTTTTAACAGAACACTGCTGAATGCCGTAGGCTTTAATTTTGCCTCATGCATTTGTGTGGTTTCCAAGTTCTAACTTCTCCTTACTAAATATTATCCCTCCGTGTACATGTGCTGGGCTGGCTCTGTTAGCAATACCTGCCCTGTTAATCACTTCACATTTGCAGCAGCACATACTCTGTTACAGTGTCAGCTCTGTGTTCCAGTTCTGGTGGTCAGATCATCACTTCACTTCTGTGTTCTTTTTTGTGCTACACAATTAATTGAAATATTATCGAAATTGCAATATGGCCAAGTGCAATTTCTAAATTACAGAAGCTGAAATGTTTTGATAAAGGTCAAATGTGACCAAACAGCATTATAATGAAGTACTGTAGCTCTGCAGAGATGCTCTGACCTACAGATGTAATAAAACGTGTGTTGTTACAGACAATGTCACATCATCATGATTTTAAGTTTGGTTTTTGGGGGGGGTTTCAGTTAAGTGAAAAATTGTGATGCAAAAATTATCACTCCTACTCATCATGAATCATATAACAATATCTGGCAGTATAAATCGCGATGTGATTTTTTTTTTTTTTTTTTACCATATCATACAGCCCTACGTTCCTATGTGTATTGTTTTATTTTGTATCTGTCGTGTATGAGCTACTAGATGCCTACATTTCCTCTGGGATGAATAAATCACTCCTTCTATCTGTCTATCATCTCAATTAAAGCAGGAGAAGCTTGGTGAAAGAGGATGGATGGAGTCAGCTGGAGCACCACGAGGGCCCCAGAGTCATTCAGCCGATCCGGGACAGCAGCAGACACTCTGTCCAAGCTGGCCAGTTTCATCGCACGGGCTGAGACCAAACAGCACACACGAAACCAGAGGCAGCAGGCATCCCACCTGCCCACATACGTTTGTCAAGAATGTGGTAAGGGCTTCCCTTATGCAACAGATCTGTTGCACCACCAGGAACTGAAGCACACATTACCCAAGCCTCATCGGTGTCCCTCTTGTGGGCAGGAGTTCTCCCTGAGGTCGTCCTTACAGCTACACAAGTGTGATCGTGATCCCTCCCTGTGTGAGCTTTGTTACGGAGAATCACGGCTTGGTTCTCCATGTCCTGCGTGTTCAACTCACACCACGGATCCCGGCAGGCCGCAGGACAAGTCCCCTCACCGGCAGCCTCACCCCTTGGACAGTAGCCCTTATGCATGTGCCCCGTGTGGGAGGGGTTTTAGCCAGAAGCAGGCTCTGCTGCATCATCAGCAGGCTGGTTGCAGCGAACCACCGTCCCCGTCAGATATGGCTGATGCCAGCAGCCTTCCAGATGATTCTCCACCGGTTTCTGAGGGAGACTCTACCCACTCCGATTCGGAGTCCAGCAGGGGAGCTGTCAATATGTGCCAGTTCTGTTCGCGAAGCTTCCGCACAGAGGCTGGACTGCAGCGCCACAAACAGACCAGCCATGCAGAGGAGCAGCGGATAGCTCCACAGGGGCAAAAGACCAAAGGAGAAGGCACTGGTGGAGAAGCATGGAAAGGAGGGAATACCAAGGTGAATGGAGATGCAATACAAAGGCCAAAATCCAAAACGAAGCTTCTGAACTGCCGCTCTTGCGACATGGTTTTCAGGAGCACCTCTAAGCTGTACCTGCACAGAAAGGAGAAGCACAGCAGAGAGAAAAACATCCGGAGAGAGCCAAGGCCAGTCATCAGCAAGCGCAGGAGGGGAGGTGCGTATCCATGTCAGATCTGCGGTAAAATCTTCGTCCATCATTTGTCACTTAGGGCACATTACAGACAGCACACAGCCTCTGGCTTTACCACAATCAAAGGCAAAAGCCAGTCTGAAGGGTGCACCACCAAAGACTCCAAGTTATCAGAAAATAGACCAAATAAAGAAAGAACCAGTCTAGCAGGTAACAAGACTGTTAGGGCTGGTCCAGGGAGGCCCAGGAAAGTGGCCAGAGTAGAGAACAAAAGGACTGAACCAGGGGGATGCAGAGAAGTGCCTGAAGTGAAGGAGGAGGAGGAGGAGGAGGAGGTTGAGAGAGAGTTCCCATGCCCCTCCTGTGCAGAGGTTTTCTCTCTGCAGTCACAGCTAAGGGAGCACGTAGAGCTCCATCAGTCGTCGGTGAAGAGGAGACAGTGCAGCGTGTGCACCAACGAGATGGACACCTGTAAGTGGCCGGGATCAAAGAGACACAGGCTGTACCACTGCGTGCCCTGCCAGCAGGGCTTCTCAGCACTAGACTCTTTCCTAGAACACTGTCAAGAGCACCTGCGAGTCCGGGTGGAGGAGGACAGCATCACAGAGGGCTACACACATCAGGCCAACAAAGCCTGAGATTCAGTTTGAATGTCATCGACGATTGCCTTTTTGCCTTGAAGGGTTAGAGAGCAGAGACAAATGATGTTGATAAACCAGTTCATTGATTGAGCATCCTGAACATATTTTTAAACCCACGCTGTTGGTTAAATGTTATCCATACCAACATATCAAGGGTGAAAGAGAATGGATTGTTAAAGGACCATACTGGGGTTTTTGCATGTTTTAATTATTGCTTTTACTCTAAATCATACATACTTCACTGCCAACCATTTTCTAAAGCATACCACACATTTTCAAATGTTTTCTACATTCTAGCAGCCATATGTTTCTTTTTCATTGCAGTATGTAAATTGATTTGTGAGAGTTAGTTAACATTTAATGCTGAATTTTAAAGGTCCAGTGTGTAACATTTAGGAGGATCTATTGTCAGAAATGGAATATAATATTCATAAGTATGTTTTCATCAGTATATAACTGCCTGAAAATAAGAAGTGTTGCATTTCAGTTACCTTAGAATGAGCCATGTCAGTTGCCCGGAAAGAACAAAGCAAACACTGGCTGTAGATAGGGCAGATTTTCGCATGTGGCGATCTGCAGCAATAGGAACTTTTTAATACGTTTAAAAAATGAACATTTTAGTGTGTTCATGTGTCTATGGAATGTTCCACCATCTCTGAGTCACTTACAGAGCAGCATTGCACTAACAAGCTATGTTGTCGTAAAAATCAAACAAGACAAAAAGTAAATGTGGCCACTGCAAGAGGATCACATGTATGTTTAGCAGACAGCTGTAAGATAAATCGGAGTATCAACACACTAGTGGCCCTATCTACAGCCAGTGTTTGGTTTGTCCCTGGGCTGCTGTAGGGTCTTGGTGGACTCCACCAGAAGAGGACCTCCTCTCTCTGTAGATAAAAACAGATCATTCTAAGGTAACAAAATCACAACAATTCTTATATTGTGGTGATTATACAGTAATGAAAACATACCTATAAAGATTATATTCCATTTCTGACAATAGATCCTCCTAAATGTTACACACTGGACCTTTAATGAAATACACTGAAACCTGTGGCAGCCTGAAAAAACATGCAAAAACACCAGTGTGCTTCTTTGATAGTTTGCCATTACTGTCATGCCACTACTTAATACAGTTGACCGTGCTTCCCAAAAACATGTCAAAGTTGAGACGTGCCCGTACTCCTAACAGTGGGACTGAGGTCGTCTTGGTGATTTTTGGGAATTGAGGCCATCTGCACAACCATGATACGTTCTCGCCAAAGCACTGCCAGAGACATCTTGTTAGTCTATTTTTACACCAGACATCTGGAGTGCTTTAGCTAATTAAGGTCAGATTCTGCTGTATTTTAATTATTTTTTTCTCTTAAAAAATTGGCAGTAATTAGAGATAGATTGGTGGGAAGTCTGGTGTGTCACTTTCTGGATTGTCTCTGTCTTGTGTTGAACCTGGGTATTTACACTTGATCATGACTGCAGAGTCTCAAGTGCTGTCCCAAGGTATGAATGAAATCACAAAGTGTGAAATGTGAACATGAGTGTTTTTATGTGCTGTTTCAAGGTTCTAACATGTGGTAGTTGTTATTGCCATAATCTATAGATTTCAATGGCTGTCATGTATAGTTAACCCCAATACAATGCCTTTGGTTGTGGCCTGTCTTTGTAGCTGGCATGTTCTCGGGTGATATTAACTAGCTATGCAAACAGACTGATAGCGGCACTTCTTGTTGTATGTCTGTGATGCTTGAGAAGTACGCTTTGGTGAAGGAACTAGAATCAACAGGACTTCTTTTCTTTTTTTCTAAAGGATTTTCAGCTACTGTGAAAATGTAGAACATTATTTAATAGGTTTTGAAGCTTCCACTTTTTCGAGGTCTTTTGTAAATTAGTATATGGCTCTTTATAGATAACATAATAAAACTTAATTCTCATGATGATGTTTTGTCTCTTGTCTTTTTAATGATCTTGTGAATACAGTCAGGTTTTTCATACTGGTCAACTGGATAGTTTCTTTCTCTGCAAAGTGTTCCCTTCTGCACACTTTATTGCACTGTTTATATTTGTTTGGATGCTACATTTGCAACATTTACAACTCAGCATATTCTACAGCAGAGGAGAAATGATGACTGGCTAGTGGAGAAGTGGTAATACAACATCAACCCTCCATATTTACAGCAAAATATGACTGTTTTTGGTTGGAGAGAAGCACATATAAAATATAATGAACCACCAGGTGCTGAACTAGAGAAATATTCATGAGGTGTCCAGAGGCTGGCAGGGAGACTTTGTTGATTTAATCACAAACAACATCAATATTTTCTTGGAAAAGCCCACAAATGAAGATATTTGAACTCAAAAACATTATTGTGACACATTAGTGAAGCACTGGATAGAGATATCTTAAGGTGGCATTACAAATACATACATTGTTTTATTTCCTAATCTACACAAATCTTTCCAAATAGGTCTTTTCACTGAACTTAAACGTTTGTGTTGCTAGGTGGTCTCACATCATCACAACAACAACAACAACAACAACAAATGTAGTTTGATGATGTGAAGTAGCATGGCATCATGGGACTTGCTGTCTTCATTGTTAAACAACCACCACTACTGATCTGAACATCTGTCTGGTGTGACTCCCCTTCACAGATGAGGCAGTGACGTTATGTTTAGTTGTGTGCTGACTTCCTTCCTCACTCTGACGTAAACTGGATACCCGGAAATTCCAGCGACTAGAGGCAAATAGGAAACACAGCGTTACCCGTACACTTTTCTCTGGGTTTTTTGTTTAACAAAAATTTTTTTTTATTTTGCCACTGCCCCTTTAGATCTGCCTGTCCCACTCTATGTTGCAAAAAAAGGGTGTTTCTAAGTGAGAGCCTCTCATCAAATCTCATTGGTTTGTATTAAAATAGAAGCTCTTCCGCAAACAGCTACAGGAAGAAGAGAGCTGGGTAAATCGGAGTATCAACACACTAGTGGCCCTATCTACAGCCAGTGTTTGGTTTGTCCCTGGGCTGCTGTAGGGTCTTGGTGGACTCCACCAGAAGAGGACCTCCTCTCTCTGTAGATAAAAACAGATCATTCTAAGGTAACAAAATCACAACAATTCTTATATTGTGGTGATTATACAGTAATGAAAACATACCTATAAAGATTATATTCCATTTCTGACAATAGATCCTCCTAAATGTTACACACTGGACCTTTAATGAAATACACTGAAACCTGTGGCAGCCTGAAAAAACATGCTGGGCCCCTGGTAGCTCACCTGGTGGAGCCAGCACCCTGTGTACCAAGGCCGGGCCCCTGCTGGGTGCAGTGGGTTCGAGTCCGACCTGTCCGAATTAATGAAAATTAGCTATGAAGATAATATCTTCTAGTTTGACTTACTTTTGCTCACCTTATTATTAACGCTGCCTCATCCTGGCCTCATGGCGGCAGGCTACACGCAACAGTAAAGGAAGTTCTATGGTTAACTTCCGGTCCCTCGGTGCACGTTTTCCTTCCGCGGGTTTGTGAAACGAATATCGAACGAGGGACTTTGTCGGCGTTTAGAAGATAAAGACAAAATGAGCAAGGCGCACCCACCCGAGCTGAAGAAGTAAGTTGCGGATACCTTTTAAATAAACATGTTCTCTGTCGTCTGAACATGGTTTGTACTGTAAATGTAACCCTGCTACATCGTTGTAGTCATTGGAAACGGAGCTAACATTAGCTAGCATGTAGTACTTTGTTAAGCTAATGCTATTTTTCTTCTTTCAGGTTCATGGACAAGAAGCTTTCATGTGAGTACAGTTAAAAGCTGATCTTCAAACACAGTCCGATTAAAGCACACATGAACCCGTTTCATATGTCTGATTTCGGTGTTGTTGGTAATGTGAAAACACTAGTTCCATATCCTCTTAATGTTCCACTGAAGCAATATAAGTGTGAATCTTAAAGCTGCTCTTGGTAACATTTATTCAAATCATTTCTCATATTCACTGAAACTTTCACTATATCCTGACATTAGAACATGAGACAGATAATCTGTGAAACAATCTGCTTCCTCTGGCTCCTCCTGGTGCTCCTGATGGTATTTACAAGAATCCACCGGGCCTGAATGAAACCAACCAATCAGAGCTAAGAGAGATAGAAAGACACTTTGTGTTGGAGGCTTGAAGATAGTTGATTGAGCTATCAGTAGTGTGATGCTCTCCAGCATAAAGATGGAAACAGAAATTAGTGTTTGCAATTTATAGAAAACTGTAAGCTACAACCTAAAGAGAGGAAATGACCAAACTGATGCTGCTAGGACACTCCCCGCTGCCTCATACTATGGACTCTTTGAAGTGAAAAGGAACCGTGATTAAACCTGACTCATTTTGTTTATTTGTCTGGTTGTCCTTTAGTGAAGTTGAATGGAGGCAGACACGTGCAGGGCATCCTGCGAGGGTTTGACCCCTTTATGAACCTGGTGGTGGACGACTCTCTGGAGATGGGCCCAGGAGGACAACAGAACAACATTGGCATGGTGGTGAGTACCTCGGCTGGCCTTGCTCTGATTCTGTTGTCAGCAAATCCATGAAAAGAACAGGGCTGTGTCTGAAACTACTCCCTGTTTACTTCATTGGGCTTTTTTTCTTGTTTGATGTTCTGATTGCTTAGTTTGACAGTTATGCTCTTTGTTGTGCCCTCAAGAATTCTCACAACGGAATGATAGAGAGAGGTCCAAAGCATGTACGCTCCTATCTATGTGGAGGTTCAGTCAGAAATCCTTTTGATGCTCACTATAGCTTCAACGGTTTACTGTCATATAGGGAGTAGTGAACTAGTTTTTCTCTGGGGCCATTTTCAACCACAGATTAATCCATTGTTGGTGTTCTAGTGAGTTTTTCTGGCATTGATTTCTGTGACTGTGTCTTTCACAGACATTTTGACTTATAGCACGTGTACATGCCCAATGTAGGAGGACTAGTGTTAGGAGCAGGCTTCTACCACACTACCTGTCTGTCTATAGAGGATGCGTTCAGGCACAGTAATTTTTAGAGAGTTTGGACATTTTTTCTTTGTGATTAATGTAATAGTTGACAGCTAATTAATTAATCAACTAATCGTTGCAGCTCTACCCAGAACACAATTACTCTAGTTATGCAGGTTGCGTGCATGCACAAAGAATAGCACAAGAACTTCTGTCTTTAGAGAAGAAATAAGGCTTTCTATTACCAATGGTGGATAATGTCATATCTGTTTATAAAAAAACATGCAGTTAATCATCTTAACATACCAATATCTTTCAGATAAAGTTTAGAACCATAAAATACACATGATAAATAAATAAAAAATCTAAAGTTAACATTTAGTGTGTAGGGAAAAAAATCTTTGTAAAGTAAATGCGAGCTATTCTGTGACCTGTATGGACAGTCAGTCCCTCCAGGATTTCATGGACTTTTTGGGGGATTGTTGATCTATGTTGCATTTTTTGCAATAAAATTGGAGTGATAATTGCAAAATTCATTAAAAGTGAAGGCAACTTGTTTCAGTGAGAATGTTCTTAGTTCCACCTGTGGTTGTGACTGGTCCAAGTATTTGCAAAGTGAAAAATTCTCTTAAGGCCACCCCACTGTTTAATATGCCTGCTATGCATGCTCATACCAGACAAATCTGGGGATAATGCACTATTCTGGAAAGATGCTATTGGAAAGATCTATTCTGACTAATTTGAAATCTCATCACCATTTCTCATTTCTCACAGGTCATCAGGGGAAACAGCATCATCATGTTGGAGGCCTTGGAGCGAGTATGAGAGGAGAAGGCTGCAGGCGGAAAAGAGAATGATCCACACCTTTTTACATTCTGTTATCCCTTTTTAGTTCAGTTTCAAAGCAGAAAAGCAGTTGTGCTTCTTTGAATTGTAACACGTCGTCTTCTGTTGCCATCAGATTTCCATTGACAGGGATGTTTTGTTTGGATATGTTTTGAATTGTGATGTTAATAAATCTGTTTCTCTTTGTATTTTGTGTTTGTGCATTCAGTTTATGTTCAGTGCATTACCACTACAATTTAAAAACATAAATTCCCATGAGTATGCTCAAGAACCGGAGTCCTGCAGGTGATTGAGAATCAGCTGATATGTAAAGTTCTCTGATGCATTTGTGTGTGCTTATATATATTGTTGATGTAAAATTCAATCATATCCTATATATATATATATATATATACATACCTGTTTATAGACAACACATTAAAATGAGTAAAGAGTAAAACTAAACTCAGTGAAGCGGTTTTTGCAATTTAAATCCCTTGTCCTTTAAACACTAATTTTGCTTTTTAATAGTTCAGCTATCTTAACAAAACATTAAATATTGTAGACATTTTTTATATAGTAAGGAGTAGTAGTGATGGGTAAATGAAGCTTTTATGAAGCACTGAACCACTTGAGCCAATTGTTTCGAAAATGGGTTCATTACTCCAAGCTTCAGTTACAGTGACCTCTCCTGGCAAAGTGCAAGGCTGCAGTCAAATTAGGCTGGTTGGTGGACAGGAGGCTTTTAATTACATACAGGCATTCATGCTCATGCGCTCTCTCTCTCTCTCTCTCTCTCTCTCTCTCTCTCTCTCTCTCTCTCTCTCTCTCTCTCTCTCACACACACACCTTAATAAGCAGTGTTGGAGAAACTTCATAGAAAACACCTTGTACTGAAGCATCTTTGCTTTGATCACCCTTGGATTTAAAGTATCTTTGCTTTGAAAATTCTTATCTACATCATGTTCTATTTACAAATAAAGTTGATGAATGTGTGTATTGCGTTACTGAGGAGAGAATGCTTAGAAATATGGCATAGGTTGGGTGTGCTTGTGTAACTATGGCAAACACTCAAAGGTTTTTATTATGGTACATCATTTATTCACAACAGTTTTTGGGTTGAGCCGGTTTCTTTTCTTGCTCACAATTTCTTCACATTTGCGGTTATAAAGTGTTAAAGGCGCTCAAATTCAAAACTGTCTCAACCTGTCACCTGTCAGAATTGAGACAAGGCAGTGCCAGCGGTCCAATCAGGCGATTCATTCAGGCAATGAAGCAGTTGCTGCTTTTGACGGCCACCTCACATGATTTTTTTTGCACCAAAGCAAGCTTTGAAGCTGTGGTTTTATGGAATTGTAGTTCAGGGTTTGAAGCACGTATCGAAGCTTCAGTGTCGAACTGCCATCACTAAGGAGTAGTGGACGACCTCTGTTAAACAGCCTGTTAAACCTCTGCTAAACAACAATGAGAAGGAAACACTAAATCTGTCCAAAACAACTATTAAGTCTGTATGATTGTTGAAAAGTCATGTAAAAAATACACAATACAGACAGAATTGTATAAAAAGTTCCTAAAATATCAGGAAAACTCATCTTTGATCAATATTCACAGGAAATAATCTTCTTCTTCATCCAAGTCACTTAGTTTACACAAACTTCCTGCAGTTATTGGGTTCACTGTACAGTTGATCAGCTCTTGTGGGGTGTTCCTGGTCTGCAGTGGTCAGTACCTATCAAAAGTGCTCCAAGGAAGGAAAAGAACCGGAGACAGGGTCATGGGGGGGGCCAAGGCTCATTGATGCACGTGGGGAGTGAAGGCTGGCCCGTGTGGTCCGATCCAACAGAAGAGCTACTGTAGCTCAAACTGCTGAAACAGTTAATGCTGGTTCTGATAGAAAGGGGTCCGAACACACAGTGCAGAGCAGTCTGTTGGTATGGGGCTGCAGAACATTCCAACACAACTTGGCTCACTGCAGGACACGAGCCAGAGTGGGGCCCGGTTCCAGTGCCTTTGTAGGCTCAGGGTCACCCTAGAAAGGGCAACATTGCCACTATTAGAGGAGAACAATGTCCTACTCTTTCCCCCAATGATCCAGATAATAATCCTGACCCCCCTGCTGATGCACGAGATGGAAGAGCTGTTAGACACGTTCATGGACCTTCTTCATTGTAATTTCCAGCATTGTTCTCTCTGTTAGAGAGAACGAAGTTGCAAGTTGTATTGTGGAACAACACTATTAACTGAAACCAAAGTTATTTATAAAAAAATTAAATAAAAAGGTGTAAACCTCAACAGGCCTCTCTACATCTTCCCTCTCTGTGGCAGCTGATAAGGTGTCTTCATCATCCTCCTGTAATGAAACAGAATGATTGTGTTATATTCTACCCATTATGACAAATCTGTGGAATATTAAGAGTACTTACAACAGCATGGAGGAAGAAGGCTCCACGAGACAGATTACACCATCAGTAACTGGTGGAAGATGAAGATTAGACAGCTGATGATTACCCAGAAAAGTGCCCCACCTAATTTAATATTTATTTTTTTATTATTTTTTTTTTTTGGATGGATGAAAAGGCGCGGCTATGTTAAGCCAGGTGTAGATAGTCGGGATAAGTGCGTGTTCACGGCATACTGAACTAGACCTCGCGATCGCTCACAGAATCATTGATGGGAACATGAATAAGAGTCGCGCTTCATATTTCACGGCCGCTGAAAAACAGCTCCTGATGGAGTTCTATGAAGAGGTGAAAGATATAAGAAAAAAAAGGCAAATACCAATGCCATAATTAAAGAAAGAGAGAAAGCCTGGCAGACAATAACGGACCGGCTTAATGCTTAAGTAGTCCAAAACTGTACAATAATAAACAGTGCTCCACTGGAACTGTCATAGGCTCCAATTAAAGGACTAAAGGAGTTATTTTAAGTCCACTAATCAACTGTTGTACACTTTGCTTTAAATGTGGCAAGTAGAGGTGCATGTTACTTAAATGTAGAGTATGATTAAGTGCAAACAATTCATAAAGAACAAACTTGTCTGGCCATACCAACGGCCAATGGGTCTGACCTGTCCCAGAAGACTCTTTCAGGACTAAATGCTCGTCTGAGGATTAGGGCTTCCTCATCCAGCACATCCTCCAAAAAAGGGCAAGCCATTATGAAGAGGGAACAGGTGAATGGGAGTTGGATAGATAGATAGATAGATAGATAGGGGTAGATAGGTAGGTAGGTAGGTAGATAGATAGAAAGATATTCCTTTATTTGTCCCACAATGGGGAAATTCCAATGTAACAGCAGTAAAATGGATAGAGAGAAAACAGTATAAATAAACAGTAAGAGTAGGGAAATAATAAAAAACACTATGTACTATTGCCCTTGTCACAGATTTCATTGAAAACACCTTTGCAACTTCATCAGCTGTGTTTTGTAATCTCAATTACTGCAATAAACAAATATTTATGCAATCTGACAAGCAGTCTTCATTAGCATAACAATATAACACTTGTCCTGAGTAATAATACTACCACTTGAATCAATATAGAAAGACTGTTGCAATTACAAACAGCCAACAGATTTAAATGAAATGAGAAATGACAATATATATGTAATATTTTAAAGAAAGACCATGGACATGCTGTAAAACACATTAATAAATAAATCACCATAGTAACTTGGCCGGGATAAGTTTAACCTGCTTTCATGCAACCGACTTGAGGCTAAATTCAGCCAGGATAACCAACATATCCCGGGTTAATCCCATATCTTGGTTTTGTGCAATACACCTCGTAAACAGAAAAAAACATTTATAAACCTGGAATGCTGAAGCGGAGACAATAGGGGGCGCTAATCTGAAGGACGCACTTCCTCCTCCGCAGTTGGACTTTTATTTTGAAAGCCGATTGTCGTCATCGCGAACACGTTCCTTTACGCGGTGTGTCGTAGCCGTTTGACGGTATGTGGAAAGTAGCAATGTCGGAGGAGGTTGGGAAGGCGGTACGGTCGGTAGTGGAGCGGGTGAACCAGGCGGCGGCACGGCGGCCCAAGGTAACTGCAGCCCGGGGGTCTCCTGCTCAGGAGCACCGCTGCCGGCGCTCCACTCTCGGGCTCCGAAAATGTCGTGCTGCGGCAGCACGACTCGTTATGTAAGGCTGCCCAACACCTCAACCTTTGGATGGGAGAGCAGGCGGTGGGGCTTGTGGCAGCACTTTCATAACACCATGCATGGTCTTATTATAGTGGCAGCAGAATATGAGTGCGAGCTTACAGAGAGTCTGCATGATGCCTGATTTTATTACTGCTATTCGCCATGTTTGTATTCATTTACACGCTTTTGCTCAACCTCTCCTCACACTACAGCTTGAGTGAAAGATGTCCACTAGTGAAGATGTCATTTCCATGAAGTGCTCGCCTATTAGGTCATCTAGGTCAAAGCATGTAGGAATACACAGCATCTTTCCAATGTCATCCAGATGTCTCTCAGCAGCTTGTGACTTCCAATCGAAATCCTTAGTAGAGCTGATGTGTAGCAGCATCTGGACACAGAAACAATCCACACTGTAGTGCAGGATGCTGACAGGGCTGAGTCACTGTTCACCTAGAGCCTGAAGAGCTCGGCCACCTCGCTGCAGCGCACACTGAGCTCCTCCTGATGTATTCACTGATACAGATGAAGAATGAGCCTATTTTGTCCTTCCTCAGACGCTGCCAGCTGTGCCGCCCCGCCTCGTTGCTGTCAGCAAGACAAAACCCCCAGAAATGGTTGTGGAGGCCTACAGACAGGGGCAGCGCAACTTTGGAGAAAATTATGTGAGTATAGAACACTGCACAGGCCACACTTTCCAAAGTGTGGCTGCATAAACATAAAACTGTGAGAGGAAATAGCTTAGAGATTGACCTTGTCCTTTATCTCCACGCCAGGTTAATGAACTGGTGGACAAAGCTTCAGATCCTCTGGTAGGTTTATTTATAGCTTGATTTTCATCCCACTCCACTCTGTGACACATTTTTACAGTGTTTTTTTTTTTTTTTACTCCTCATCCAGATCTTAGGCTCATGTCCAGAAATCAAGTGGCACTTTATCGGCCACCTACAGAAGAATAGCGTCAACAAACTTTTGGGTGAGTGATTGTCAGTCCTCCTGCTCAAGCTGCGTTTAAAGCTGCAGTAGGTTACGTTTAAAAAAATAACTTTGCCATTAGGAGTGCTAGGAAGAGCCAGAGGAACCTGATTTTTATCACAGACGTTCTACTGTCAGGGTATAGTGAAAGTTTCAGCAAATATGATTACAATGATACAATGATGTGTTTTACTACTTTAACATACACTTACCTCATTATCTGACATTTAGACCATGTTTAATATGAACATCTGACATTATAACATGGGAAAGCATAATAGGTCCCCTTTAAGGTCATATTAAATATTGTACTGAGGATTAAAGCTGCAGTAGGTAACTTTTATAAAAATACATTTTTGTCATATTCACTGAAACTTTCACTATATCCTGACAGTAGTACATGAGACAGATAATCTGTGAAACAAACTGGTTCCTCTGGCTCCTCTTAGTGCTCCTAATAGTATTTACAAGAATCCACCAAACAAAAACAACCAATCAGAGCCAAGAAAGATATAAAGACGATTTGGGTTCGAAACTCGAAGATAGTTGATAGTTGAGTCCCATTCCCAGGGTCCCAAAGCAGCAAATATAGAACATTTCGGAAAATATGACAAAAAGTTATTTTTATAAAAGTTACCTACTTTTTGAAACAACACATGCATGCAACAGACATTATAGTCATAGAGATATTATAGTCTAGTCTAAGTTTCTTGGTAGGTACAATGACATACAAATATGATAAAAAAGTTACCTACTGCAGCTTTAAAAACAACAACCTTCTACCGAGTCTTGTCTTTCTGTCCCCAGGCGTGAAGAACCTGTTCCTCGTGGAGACGGTTGACTCGGTAAAACTGGCTGACAAGGTCAATAGCTCGTGGCAGCGCATCAGGGGAGCCAGCACCCACAGGTTAAAGGTCATGGTGCAGATCAACACCAGCGGAGAACAGAGTCGGTGTCACTTTTTTCTGTTCTCGATTTGTGCACGTCCTGTTTGCACACAAAGTCAGTTGTTTACAAACAGGATGTCAAATGTTTGTTGTAGGTAAGCATGGGCTGCCCCCTGAGGAGACTGTGAACACAGTGAAACACATTGTGTCCCAGTGCTCCGCCCTGGACTTCTCAGGACTCATGACCATCGGGCGCTACGGCTACGACCTCACCCTGGGCCCCAACCCGGACTTTCAGGTATGAAAAAAGGTTTGAGAGTAATGTGTTTTGAATTTTGTGTTTGAACTGTATTGCATGTCCGCAGAGTCTTCAAGCTGCTATAGGTCATTTTCATAAAATACGTTTTTGTCATATTTGTTGAAACTTTCACAATATCCTGACAGTAGAACATGAGACAGATAATCTGTGAAGAAATCAGGTTCCTCTGGCTCCTCCTAGTGCTCCTAATGGTATTTGCAAGAATCCACCAGGCCTGAATGAAAACAACCAATCAGAGCTGAGAGAGATGGGTGATTGTTATGTCATTCCCAGGTCTTAAAATACAGACTCAGCAATCATCTTCAGAACAACCAAACCCAAAGCGTCTTTCCATCTTTTGTCATTAAATACAAAGCTCAGGGATTCATATCAAGATTGCTCTTTATGTTCTGTGTTTGTGTTTAAAAAAAAAATTGCCATCAGATTCTGGCTGAAAGCTCTAGCATCGTCAGGCTGTAATCTCACCGTGTCCCTCTTGTAGATGCTGCTGAGTCGGAGGCAGGAGGTGTGTGACAGTCTGAAGCTGCCTCTGGAGGAGGTAGAGCTCAGCATGGGTATGTCCACAGACTTTGAACACGCGGTGAGTATCACTGTCTATCAGCATTCATAAACTCTTCATAAGTACAAATATGGAAGCTGGACTGAATTCCCCTCTCTGGAATTCCTGTTAGGCAATATCAAAAACATGATTTTTATTTGTTTATATTTTTATTGTCGGATTCAAGTGTCAGGTATTTAAAAAGAAACCCTTATTCAGATTGCTTAAATTCAGTTTATTCATTCAAATTCATTATTTTGAGTAATGGATATAGCTTTTAGAATATTTCACACTGACACATCTGAATTTGTGAACCCTAGAATAAACCTCAAAGCTGTAATCTGTAACATTTCTGTATTGAAGTGTCTATAAACTCTAGCTCTATGTTCTGTATGTAGTTGAGTTGTGTAGTTCCATCATCCCAAATGTCTCCAACAATGTTAAAACTCATTTTATTCAGGTAACGCTGCGTTTTAGTGGTCGCCTGTCGATGGCGTTATATCCCCTTTGTGCCTGCGTCAGCGTTGTGGTTGTCTGCCAGAAGCTGTCATACATTGACTGTTTATCCAGTCTGAAGCCACATTGTTACCATCCACTGTTTAGATCTTGGTGCCTTTCAACTCTAGATTTGAACCGGATGAAGGATTTTAGTCATCGGACGTCTGGATCTTAAGTTATCAGAGAAACAAGCTGAGCTAACGTTAGCAGCAGCTCGGCTCGCAGCCCCTCCAGGACGTCCTTTGTCTGCCCAACAGTGTGGGAGAAACAGTTATTTTTAAGGTGGAACTGCTTTATTCAGTGTTTTTAGTGGTTTTAATCAGCGGGCCTGTTTGTTTTGGAGAGGAGGAGTCCTCTGTGGATAACTGGGCTCCTGGTAGAAACCTCCTGAACCATGAACACTGAAGGAATCCTAACCGGGAGAAGCTGACTGCAGTGACAGCATAGATGGTTCAGACAACAATTCCCATGATTCCACACTACTTTACCATGTCATCAGACTTTGTCTTTTGTTATTGTTTTGATTTGAGAGACCCCCTAGTGGCAGAAATTACTTTCTGTACATTTAAAATGAAGTTTCGTTTTTTTGATGTTCTGCCTTTACAGACCTTTTTCACAGCAGCCATTTTGACATGAAATAGTAGGGTAAACAGGTGTTTCCAATGATGCTAATTAAGGTTTAATGTAAAAATGGCTGCTGTGAAAAAGGTCTATTGATAGAGATGAGACAGACAGAAAACAGTCTAGTACTGAAAAATCAGGATAGTTTGCAAAGTAAAATATTTTGATGCTGTAAATGCAGTGGTGTTTCAGTAGGTTAAATCGAGTCTCATTATTACAACTATTATTTGATTCCATAACGAAAGGATTGATGCATATAAGTTAGCATATCGTTCTCATTCAGACTCTTGCTATTTTTTCTGTGTGCTCCCATGAAGATTGAGGTGGGCGCCACCAACGTGCGAGTGGGTAGCATTATATTTGGCAACAGGGAGTATCCCAACAGTGCAGCCAACACTCCACAACCCAGCCCAGCTCCCAGCCCAGCTCCTAGCCCGGAGAAATCCGCCAAGATGGTGTCAGAAGAGGCTGCCAAGAAGATGCAGCACCTCACCGTGTCTGGACATTAGAAGAAGAGCTTCTTCCTCCTCTGAAATACCTTTAAGAAAAACGAAAAAGAAAAACACTCTTCACCTGCAAAGTGAAGCAGATAATTTCCACAAAGCCATGTGGAGCTAGGATTGCAAAAGTTCTTGCATAATTTTAAAGTGTATTTGCTTAATCTTGTTCACTTTTTTGTGTGCCCTTCTTGCTCTTTTAAGCATTCAAAAGTGGTACAGAACTAGTTCTACCGTTTTTTAAAAGTAGTGTGTTACTAACCTTTAGTGCTCTGACTTCCTTCTCATGGAAATCTCTCCTGCTAGTCCAGGTGATAGGTGAAAATAAGGTTCACTTTGTCACAATAACACGAAACTGTACAGTTTGAGGTCTGATACGTGTTCAGAAATGGAGCAATCACAGTGATGGCCACCATGGGGCCATTTTACTTTCCACCATAATCGCTGTATTTTGCATCATATCTCCGGAACCAGAGATGATAACACACAATAAGTGACCATGTTTAATATGAACATCTGACATTATAACATGGGAAAGCATAATAGGTCCCCTTTAAGGTCATATTAAATATTGTAATGAGGATTAAAGCTGCAGTAGTTAACCTTTTATAAAAATAAGTGTCATATTTGCTGAAACTTTCACTATATCCTGACAGTAGTACATGAGAAAAATCAGGTTCCTCTGGCTCCTCTTAGTGCTCCTAATGGTATTTGTAAGAATCCACCGAACAAAAACAACCAATCAGAGCCAAGAAAGATATAAAGATGATTTGGGTTCGAAACTCGAAGATAGTTGATAGTTGAGTCCCATTCCCAGGGTCCCAAAGCAGCAAATATAGAACATTTCAGAAAATATGACAAAAAGTTATTTTTATAAAAGTTACCTACTTTTTGAAACAACACATGCATGCAACAGACATTATAGTCATAGAGATATTATAGTCTAGTCTAAGTTTCTAGGTAGGTACAATGATTTTCTTCTGTGTCACTAAATTTAACATTTACTAGTCCCAGAACAGTTTTTTCTTTGAACATAAAAACAGACATAGACTTCACCTTTTCTGTGTTACAATGATTGGTTCAGGGTTTATGATGCAAAATACTTAATTTGGTTATGGCAGAAAGTAAAAGCCAAAGATTGTGTGCCAAGTTTAATCCTTGTATGAAAAAAGGAACATATCACCTAAAATTTGGTACGTCATCTGGACTATACAAAATTACTGGATAATAGACAAATGTACAACTACTGAAAACACGGTGACATATGGAAAATGATTCACCCGAGATAACAAGGATTCGTTTGGATTTGTTGTGATATTTTCTACCTTTCCAACCCGACATGTGACAGTGCTGAAATGTGTTCGACTGTGTACAGTGTCCCACAGATCGGAAGTCCACACAGTGCGATGTACTGTTTTTGTTGTACAGATGAAACAAAGACTTGATTTAATAAATCATTTATCCCTTTATAATGAGACATAGTATTGTGTGTTTGATATTGTTTCGTATGGTGTGCCAAACGTGTCAAAATCTCTATTCTTGATATTAACAAATCCAAGAGTGTTTTGTTTCTGTGTAACTTGTGTCTTGTCGGAGATGAAAGGGAGTGAATCTATGCAAAGTGGTGATTTTAGTTTTCCAGTAGATTTTCACACTGCAGCTAATCGTAGTGTTGCAGTGGTTTCTTCAAAGATGTCACAAGGTCAGTGTGTTTTTTCTGTCTCCATGAAAAGTGCTTTCATTGTCGGTGATGAAAAAAAAAAAAAAGATTGAAAAACTTGTGGTTTAGACGTGTGGTTGCTGTTTTAACGGGGCGTTTCAGCATTGTTTGGTTTGGAATCTGGCTCTGGGGCAAGCCAAGCAATAAATTTTCTTGTTGAAAATATCTGCCATTTGCTGTGTATTTCTTCTAGCTGGGCAAAGTGGCACAAATAATATGAGACAGACGGAGTTTTACCAGAGTTTCTTTATTAAGCACACGGAGGTAACATCTGGACCACAGTAAAAAAAAATTATATTTTTAGAGTGATAATTTAACAACTGTAAAAGGAATTCAACACCCAGATATGCTGGACTCAAACTATGGAAGTAAAAAATAGCTATATTAACCTACTGATTCACTGTATTCCCTTATAATAGAGCCCGGACAATATTAGTCTTTGAGGGGAAAAATTCATTGACTACCGATATGGCGGTCGATGAAGTACATGTTTGAGCTTGAAAATAGACCTTTTCTATGTGTTTTCAATATGACTCTGCAAAAGGTACTCAGAGAGCTGTTTTGTTAAACAAATAAATTTATGTTAAGAATATTTAAGTTAAATATTCTTTAACAAGTTGAATAATTTAATAGAAAGGTAGAAGCTTTTTCTTCTCACTCCGAGCCGTTTGCCACAGTATTTTAACTCACAGCGCACTCTGCTGGTTAAACTTTTCAGTGACAAATATATTACCACAATTATATTTTTCTGCGTTATATTCAGAAAATATCGGTGCACATTGGAGGACACTTACACCGATACCATACCGATATATCTGTGACAAGTCAATATTGGTTGATAATATCTGCCGACCGATATATCAGTCGGGCTCTACCTTATAATGATGAGAACTTCAATTAACAGAATTAGCAAAAGTATTAAAATGGGGTTGATAAGTAGAACCCAGGATAGAAATCATGAAATGACAGAGCAGATTTGGCTTAATCTCGGCAATAAAACACAGGCTACGACCAATCAATAAATAAGTTCTATGACACTGATGGAACAAAAGAAAAAAAACCTGGTGACACAACTGAAGGACTTAAAGACTTGAATAGTATTCAATCAGTGTAAAAGGCATTAGAAAATGGACAGGACAGTCACTAAGCTATACCTGTTATTTACAACATACAGTAGAATCCTGTTATTAACAGACGAGTATCACAAACTGTATCTACAGACCTAGCATTGGTCAAATGTACAGGAAACTGGACTCTGGCTAGAAACTATATACAGTCAGCAGGATGGGAACACTTCATTTTAACCTTCCATTTCACATTCATAAGCAATATATAAACACTTAAAAGCGTAGAGTGTAACATTTAGAAAGATCTATTGTCAGAAAATGTAATATAATATTCATAGGTATGTTTTCATTAGTGTATAATCACCTGAATATAAGAATCAGTTTTTGTTACTTTAGACTGAGCTGTTTTTATCTACAGAGGGTGCGGGTCCTTTTTGTTTTATAAAGGCCACCATGGCATGGCATTTTTGCGCACTTCGTGACCGCTGTAGTTTCTCCTTCACACTTGGAAGGGGAGGGTGATCCGAGACAGTTACAATCTGCAACTCTACGCTAGATGCCACAAAATCCTTAACACTGATCCTTTAAAATGTGGTTGTATAAAGTTATAAGGACAGTTTTATGTGTTTATTAATGCATTTGTCAACTCCTATACAGTATCTGTAATTGCCTTATAAACAGTAATGACAGTATTATACAAATATGAAATAGGACCTCTGTCTATTGTAGATTGATTATATTAACTGTATATATTTATTGGCTTTATTGAGCAAATATTCTTTTACCATCCATCACAATTGAGCAAACTCCATTAGCTAAGGAAGATGAGCCTGAAAGCTTGGGAAGAAAATTAGTGGATGGACCTTGAGCTGAGAATTAGAGAGCTACTGTATCTGAAATCAAGAATGAATCTTGAATCTCAATATGTCTTTAATAACAGTTTTACACCTGTTATTAATGATTAATAAACTGTTTATTCAAGTGGGGTTGCAAATAACCATTACTTTCATTTTCAGTTAATCTGTCGATTATTTTCTCAATCAATCAATTAGTAATTTGGTCCATAAAATGCTAAAATAAAATGTCAGTGTTTTCCAAAGCCCAGAGTGACGTCCTCAGATGTCAAAACAATTAAAGCTGCAGTAGGTAACTTTTATAAAAATAACTTTTTGTCATATTTGCTAAAATTTTTACTGTGTTTTGGTAGTAGTACTTTATGATATGTCTGTATATGACAGCCTGGGAATGACACTCAACAGTCACCCATCTTTCTGGCTCCGACTGGTTGTTTTCATTCAGGCCCGGTGGATTCTTGCCAATACCATCAGGAGCACTAGGAGGAGCCAGAAGAACCTGATTTTTTCCCAGATTATCTGTCTCATGTTCTACTGTCAGGATATAGTGAAAGTTTCAGCAAAAATTACAAAAACTTATTTTTATAAAAGTTACCTACTGCAGCTTTAATCTATTGTAAAAAAAATAGCTGGTGATTAATTTAATAGTTGACAACTAACTGATTAATCATTGCAGCTTTATTATGAATGCTTCATGGGAGGTTATAATTGTTTACAAAGACATTAATAACCACGTTAAAATGTCCTCGGTGCTGCTTACAACTATATTAGTGTGTTAGAAACCATTTATTAAGGGCTTATATATGGCTTATAAATGCTAAATTTAAATTAGTTCGAATAGAACATGATCAGATGGATATGTAAGGAATCAAGGCTAGGGGATAATATTTGTGTGACACAGCTGAAAGCATATGGTTAGAAGATACAAAACCTGGAAATAAAATGTGCAACACTAACAATGACAAATAATGGCCTATGTAAAATCAGTAAACTACTCGGTTATTACTCGTAACAGCTTTAACATTCTCATTCTTATATATCTATTGCAGTGGCCATTCGCTCCTGTATAACCATAAGAAACAGTCTCAGTTCACTGATGTTGTCTCTGCTTCTTCTTGCGCAGGAAGATAGAAAATTGACAAGTTCAGTGTTGTCAAGAAACAACACAGCAAGAAAAGGTAATTGAAGTGTTTTGCTACTGTAGTGTTGCTAACGGAAAAATAACAATAGCCTAAAACATTTACAAGGAAAACACGTTGCCCGGGATTGATAACTGCCTCGTACCGTTTAGGGCTGATATTAAGACCACTTGTCTCCTCCTGGGTGTGGGTGGCCATCTCTCCATTCTGCTCAGGCAAGTCTGTCAGCTTGTGTTGCTTCCTAATGGTGCCCAGAAAGACATTACACCAGTTTCTTGGCCTCAAAGAAGCTTTTGAGATGTTTCATCTGCCAGATGCCGGTGATGATGAGGATAAGCGTCTGAGCAATGGACCACCAGAGGACTCGCTGGTTGGTGCTCTCGCTCGTCATGCGAAAGCGCTCCTCGCGATACTGCAGAAGACACGATACACAGTCAAGTCTTTAGAGAGGTGTAACGGTATCTAACAGTTGGGAGTAATCCTGTCATCTCAAACATGGCTTGGTGTATTTTTTTTTTACTGACCCTCTGGTAGTTCTGCTCCTTCTGGATCTGTTCGACTTGGTCCAGCAGCTGTCGGACTCGCAGCTGCAGCTCAGTCAGTTTGTCCTTAGCTGCAATTTCAGGGTAGTTGTTGGTATGTTCTCCGACCTGAATATCCAGATGCACTCTCTGCAACATTGGGAGCACGGACAGATTGAAATCACGAGTTTAAAGACTTACTGTGAAAAACCTGAACCGGGATTAAGCAGTTTCATGAAGCAAATTTGAAGTGAATATGATCAGAGTTTATCGAGTCTAGTTTAAGAACAGATCACAAGAAAGAAAACAGACATGTGAAGACAGCACCGTGTGACATAACCCTGTAACAAAAGAGTAACCAAAAGATTAATGGGTAATCCTGCTTTATGAAACAGCCCTCAGTTTGTACTAATAAACATACAGGGTTTGTCATGGTCCTAGCATCAATACATTGAAATGAAAGTCAATGTCATTAGTAAGTATCTTTAGTGTGAAGGGAAAATAACTGGTCATACCAGTTTCCCTCCTGCAAAGAGAGCCATCTTGGTGGAGTTGGAGTGCAAACAGATCTGATGTTCTCCAGGAGTGTGGGAGGTGAAGGTAAAGCGTCCGTCTGAGCCATACTGACGAGAAAGGATAATCTGAGGGAGTAAAAAGACAAAAATCTTCTTTAGATTCTATATTCACGTGTGTGTGCAGGTGTGCTTTATAATACCACCTCCTCTGCCCTTACCTTTGTATCCGGATCCTTGATCTCCACATGCATCCCAAGGCCCGGGGTGGATGGGAGGAAGGAACTGGTCTGCTTGTCCCACAGCTGAGTCCTGTACTTTCCTGTCAGACAGGCAGAGCAACATAGACACATTCCATCAGGTCATCATTCAGAGAAGAGGATCTCTGTGGGACTGCCGCACCAGTAACAGTAATAGAATTAAATTATAATGACACTAATGAAAACATAGTTAGGTATATTCAATTTCTGCCAATAGATCCTCCTAAATGTAACACACTGGACCTTTAAGTTTGGCAGTCCGAGGGAATAGATTTGGGCACCAATGGCACTCAATGCAGCCCCATCACTGCACTCAGATCTCCAGTTCCACAGCATACAAACAATGGAGGTGATCCAATGAGTGAAACTGTTGGCATCATCCTAGGAATTCTAGTTGACCTCTGGATATTTTCTGTTTATCCCACGTATTTACATGTATAAATACATATAAATATGTAAGTTAATATAGCATAAATGTTGAAACATAATATAAATATAAGAGCACAGTAATTTAGATTTACTGTATTGTGCAGACAATAAACAGGATGTGCAATGTGGCCGGTGCACAGATTGCTATATGACTGATGGTAGGTGTAAGCTTTGTATTGGGAACTGTCACTCATCATCACAATATTATGGTATTAAATGGATGTACACATATCACTCGCGTCCCCTTTGCTTCCAGGTAGAAAACTCTGCTTATATACAGCTTTTAAAGCTCCCAGTTCCTGATACCTACCATCGCCAGCAGCTGTCGTGAAGGAGAGGTCATTTACAAGGAAACACTCTCTCTTAAATATACGATGACACAAGTCCAACTGTTTCATATATTACAGTCATCATTCTGAGTATGAAACATGAACTCAGCTGTAATGCTATCGCTCAATGACAGAATATATGCAAAAGGCTAACCAGCAGCTACAGAAAGCTACAGAAAACAGTAACTGTTTGTAAGCAGTCTAAATACTGCCGTTTTCTTCCAACTGTCGGCTCTTTTTGTCGCTACTAGTGCCACATTCAGCATCTTAGCTGCAGCCAGCTGTTAGCGGGCACTGCTACTTAGCTACGGCAAGCTCAAGAGCCCACAGCAGCTTAGCTTACCAATAACCATGGTCTCGTCTGGGATTTCTTCAATGAAGCATTTTTTCTCTGTCTCTCCTATGTGGAAGTACAGTGCGTAACTTGGATGAATCCAAGCTAATAGTAGGAGAACTCCAGCGGGGGTAGAGAGCATCGTAACGTTAGCTTCTGGCACTTTGCGCACATCAGCAGAAGAAGCTGTGATGCGGCAGCAGCTACTGCGGAAGAAGGACGGGGGATTTCCTGAGGGAGGGGCTCAATTGTGCCCTGAGTTCAGCCTCTCAGGCAGGACTCACTTCCAGCCTGAAAACTAGCGGTGCACGGTATGGAGTTATTCCCAACCCACAAGATTACCGATCATTTCGCATTTTTGTATTTTAAAAATAAATTATGCACAGTATGCATTCCTGAGGGTAAGAGATGTAAGTTAGTGAGCAAAGATGGATGATTCAATATTCCATAGCTCTTTCTTATGAAGCAGAAGGAGTAGATACGTTTCAAAGACTTTAATGAGGAATTTTAACTTTTTTGCAAAGCAGACAAACTTGATTTACTTTTTATACATATCTGGAGGGGATCTTTAAGTAAATGTACTTAGTTACATTTCACCACTGCTGTCAGCAATGACTTGTGTGAATTCAGTGTGAGTGTGAAATAGTTAAGATAAAGTTTAGTTTAAAGCAACAAAACAACTTAAAGTCCACTCACTGTCTCCATCATTGGATGGAATTTGACCAAAGTTAGTTTATTTGCTTATTTGATCAAAAGACATCATACAGCAGACACTATGTTTAATGTTTAGCGCCAGCTCAGGTCAGGTATTCATTCCACAGTAGCAGACAGTACCTGAAGCCTGAGAGGAAGTGCTGCCTGCGAGGCCTTACTCAGGGCGAACGAGCCCTTAGCATTTCCTGTGCTAACAACAGTCGCCTCGGCTCTGACAGACAACCTCAACCCATCTCAAACACGCGCACTGTGTCAGGATCCCGCGACACAATTGGACAAAATGCCTCTCGGAAGCTGTACAGGGCGTTGATGCAGGTCGCTGGTTATGTCAGTCAACAGGTGCCTCAGATTACCCAGCTAACTAACGTTACTGGTTGGATACATTATCCTGGTTGGCTAGCTCATAAGCTAAGTCGCTAGCTACGTAGCATTAGCCAGCTTTCTAACGTTGGCTAACGTTAAATATCTACGCTTACTAACAGACTGTATGTGGAGGACAGCTCGGCTGTCTGCTGTTCCGGACAACGACAGTGAAAAAGAACAAAGGGTAAGTGAGGAGAAGTTCCCTAGCTGTGTTGTACGTACGTTAGCAGGACACACATTGGGTTCTGACTCTGGGGAAGAAAACAACACTGCTGGAAGGTTAACGTTAGCTGTAACGGTAATAAATATGAGTTGGTCATGTGCTTCTGATCATAGCAGCAGCTGAAACTGACGACTGCTGGCTTTACTGCTGCCTGACAACATGCTAGCAACAAGCTAGCAATGTGTCACAGTCGAGCTCTTTGCTATTGCGGATGACGTAATGTTTTTCTGCCGTTCAACCTGTATGTAGGTTACAAACAGCAGTGCTATTGACTCTCAGCGAGTCTGTAGCCTGAAGCCTGTCAGCAGGCCCGATGGCCTCATCTGACACAGACCGGGCCGGGGTCTTCAGTAGGCATTAAATAGAAAGTGAAAGTTACCTCAGGCCGCCTAACGGGGACGAGGAGCGGTGTGCCATGTGTCTGCATGTGAGGATGACTGCGGGTCAGTGTTGGCCACTAAATCATTACTAGTAATAATATTATATTCCTAAGTAACTAGTGTATAACTAATTACTCATACATGTCAGTGATGATATTGCTCTCCTCAGTAACTAGTAGTGTAACGAATTACTACTACGGTTTAGTAATAGAATTACTTTCATTGGTAACTAGTAGTATAACTAATTATTAATACATAATCAGTAAACTTCGATAAATACTAACATTTTGATTGTCTCTACTTTTCAAAAGTCCCTTTTTTTGATTTTATAAAATCATTTTTTTATCCAATGGTTGTGAACAAATCAGGAAAGGCTGCAATCACAGAAACTACCACAAAGCAAAGGAAGTGCCGCTACAACAAAGGCTAGGAAACTACTTATAGCTGGGTGAAGCCAGCGGAAGGCATCTATCGCAGACGAGACCAGAAGAACTGACGCTTTCTTTCATGCTACTGTATTTGCTTAGCGTGGGAGTTAAGTCTTTCAAATGCTAAAGGCCTTACCTGGAACCTGCGTAGTCTATTGTGGCAGAAGAGAAATGTTTATCTTTTATGTTTGATAGAGATACCAAAATGTTATACCGCCTCACAGCATTGATGTCCCTCATTGTCCCACACAAACATCTTCTTTGTCCCACACTTGGTTTGGCTGGTCAACCCTGTTGGAGTTAGGAATAAGGCTGGGTTCCAGTTAGGGTGAAGGGAAATGCACAGGGAGACATACTTCAACAGAATAACTAACAGAATAACATTATAATGAGTATGTGTATACATAATAATCTGCATAATAATCTTTTTCTATAGGCATGGTGCAGCCCCAGCCTGATGGCCCAATGCAGTGGGACATGTCAGGAGAGGACAGTGGAGGGGCCCTCCGGGTCCCACCGGAGCTGGCCGCTAATGAAGTAGTGACCAGGTTGCTGGGTGACAACCAGCAGCTTAGAGGTAAGAATGTATTCCTATAATTTAAACAAATAAAGCAATATTTACTCCACTCAAAGTGTGGTCTAGAGCTAGGAGTTAATGGTGGAATGAGAAACACATTTTTAATAGAATGCTGGTAGAGAACATCGCAGAAGTTTTGAAAGGATCACAAGTGATTTTAAAGGAACACTTTAAGAAAGGTACAACATAAGGTCAGGAAATTGTATTCTGTGACAGTAAAGCAGCCTTTAAATTGTAGGTGGACTGCATTTGGAAGGTTGACCATCGGACTGTGGTGCAGTGTTTTATCTGGACACAAAAATCTTGTGATTAATAGACTTATGTAACTTTTGCTGTACCTTCCCTACGAGTGAATATTATATCTAATCGTGAATGCAAAATGTAGCCTAACAGTCCGAAAATGTACTCACTAATGTCTGTTACACAGCAGTACCTATTGCAAGTTTGCTAATGTTAGCTAGCCATGATTTTTTTTAAACCTTCAGTAAATATCTTCAGATAACAAACAGGCATCATAAATGCTTATTAAACACACCTAACAATGATTCCAAGCAACATACTTTAAATATACAGTATGTAATTTCTGCCACTAGCTCTCACTAGCAGCAAGAGCAGCTGCTAACGTTAGCTCAGCTTGTTTCTCTAGTAACTTAAGATCCAGACATCCAATGACTAAAATCCTACACAACTCAACTACATACATAGTTCTTGAGTTTATAGACAATTTAATATAGAAGTGTTACAGATTATAGCTTTAAAGAAGATTTTCAAATCATTAAGCTGGGAGCAATGTAAAAAAAAAAATGTGAATGTAAAATGTACTTATAATCCAAATATTATTGATACTATATTATTATATTATTACGCAAAAATTGCACATCTTTGTGCTGCGTGAAATACCAAATGGAACAGTATGACATTCAAGAAACAGGAATACATTCTTTGAACATGTCAAGTAAGTTGGGGAGAGTCACAAAGTGAATGATCTGCCTCAGTATTGTCAGTAACAGCGTTGTCTGCCAAAAGTTTGCTGATATTAGCTAACAGTAGCCACCATGAGCTACTGGTAAAGCGTAGTGTATTAAGAAGAAAAAGATAAACTGAGATGGTGGAGTGATGGGCTGCCATGCAGCAGCAGTCCGGGAACAGTTAGGGGTTAGTTGCCTTGGGAACCTCAGCAGTGCACAGGAGGTGGAACTGGTACCTCTCCAGCTACCGGTCCACTCTCCATACTGTGGTCCGTGCTAGATCAGCAACCCTCTGGTTCCCAAGCCAAGTCCCTACAGACTCTGCTGCTGCCGTCCCACAGTATTCACAGTAACTGAGAGTGCCTTTTTTATTGCTTATGAATTCAACCTTTTATTTGTAAGAGGAGCAATGTGTTGCTTCATCTTTCAAAAGTTACCCAATTAGAATAACTTTCTACTACATCTAGTTTCTTATCACAATATTGGTGCAACGTGTAATGTATCAAACTACTACTTCTCCTCTTACCTTCTGCCCTATGCCCTTCAGAGGCCTTGCGGCGGAGCAACCTAGCCCTACGTCAGCGCTGTGAGGAGATGGAGGGATGGCAGCGGAGGACGAGAGAGGAAAGAGAATTTCTCAGCTGCCGTTTCCAGGAGGCCAGGGCCCTGGTGGAGAGGCTAGCCCAGGAGAACCACTCCTTACAGGGCTTGGTGAACGGACCGGCATCCTCCTCCTCCTCTAACCACTGCTGCAGCTCCAGCCAGACTGAAGACCTGCAGGGACGCCCGGCGAGGAATGGACCGCTGGACGGACCACAGGTTGGCTAGCTAAGATTCACACATCTGCTTCTTCATAATTTCACATTGTCAGGTGTATTTACATTTTAACATATTAGGTCCTCCATTGAATAGCTTCCACTGTTATATTTTAGAATCCTGTTAGTATATGTAGCTGTGTGCAGAGATTATATATACTTTCACCTCTTTTTCACTGGTTAGTAGCTAGCCATCTTCAGAATTCTTCAACATAGACGAGGCTAGCTCATAGCAGAAAGCGTTAGCACCATGTACACAAAGACACCAAAGTAAACAAAGAAGACAAAGTGGCACAGTATTTTCCTACTTTGTCAAGGGCACCTTGATGTGCCTACATAGGTGGGTTCACAGCTCGTGCTCACTCCTCTTGTGACACACACAACAGCACTCCACATCCTGAGTTAAATGCTGGTGTTGCTCCTATACAGTCAGATGGAGTTGTGGATGGGACATAGGGTTGGGAGATGGCAGAGGCAGGGGGTCTACTGGCCTAGGACCACATACCTGCCCCTGAGCGAAGATGAGTGCTGCTCTAAAGCTTTGTTCCCTCAGCAGAAAACCGTTCATTTCTCCAAATTGCAGAATGCCCCATTAAAAATGCAGTGTGTCAGCTGGAGGCACACCTGGCTTTTAAAGGGAATGGGAGAATTCTGATTTCTTTGCACCTTTGCAGCCAGATTGTGCACTTTAGACCATGCGCTCTTGATGCTTTAAACAGGGCCCACAAAATATGGGAATGCTGAAGAGTAGATGCTCCAGTTCTAACAATGGATATTGGAAGCACTCATGTCTGTTGTGTCCTTCAGACTCTAGATCAGCGGGACAGGAAGAGAGCTGAAGAGACGGATCAACACACACAGACCACTCCACCTCGCAGCCTGGTAAGATGTCTGAAGATGTTCAGTCAGGGTGTTTTTTTTTTTCCAGTTTTGATGTATTTGTTTATTTTCCATCTAACTGGTATGTCTGTGTGTCCAGGGTGACGCAAGTGTGCATAGCTCCTTGAGTAGCGCCCTCCCCTCTCCCCCCACCTCTCTTTCAGAGGTATGGGGGGAGACAATGGGCAGGGAGAATGGCCAGGTGAGCCAGCTCACTCCACCCTGCTTGCCAACAATCAGGCTGCTGACTCTCTGGCTGTCACACCTATAGTTTAAAGCTTCACCCCACCTTATCTGTCATTGCATTCAGGCAGAGGTTGGAAATCTTGACTTTCTACTAAATGATATGGGATTGCCTGTGAAGTGGGAACTCTAAATACAGAACCTGTCACTAATCACCATGCAGTATTTAAAAAGTGTTTTCATAATAAACTTAGCATCTGCTATGTTGTGGGGAACTGTGTTTTACATTATCCATGTTTTTCCTTCTACTTCCAAGTAGGAATACTGGATTGAATGGTAGTTTGACACCAGAAATTTCTCTGCCTCTTCCTTTGAATGGAGCACGCCATTAACTCACAGCTGTGATCCACCAGTTTATCCATCTTTAAAATCCCTTTCTGTCTCCTTTAGTAAACCTCCTTCTTTGGTGTATTTCTACTTTTTGCTTGGTGTTGGTTCTCCAGCCCGGGTCAACAGGGTCTCTGTCCATTTCCCTCCTGCCATCATTTCTCCTTACATCCATTCATCCCTGGGTTCTTTCACTTTCGTGTCTTTCTCCGCAGCCTGTGGAAGGTTCAAACGAGGTCCTCCAGCTCCTGAAGAGCCACAAAGAGAAACTTGAGGAAGGACTGAGAGATCTGAGGAGGAAGAACGAAGAGCTGGAGAGGGAGAGGGATGAGGGAGAGAAAGAGAGAGATCGGATGCGGCGCTGCATTGAACAGCTAAGGGCCAAACTGGCCCAGGCACAGGTAACACCCAAGGACCGTACCCAACAATCCAGTGCAGTAATGTATGCTGTGATAACAGAGGGCTGCCCCCAACTAAGATTTTCCTAACCCTAGTAGTCGTAAGCCAATAGTCGACTAGTTTATTTAATTATTTACATGTATATTTTTAACAGCCACCTGAAAAAGTGGTATTGGTTCTGAATGTGTCACTATCAGCAAGGAAACCAGAATAAATAGAATAAATAACTTCCAACTTCACTAAAACAAATACTTGCAGGCTTATCGATTTGAGGGATGATAGATAACATTAACAGTTACTTACAGATTAACTTGTTACAAACTGGCTCCTCTTCCTCCGTTTCACTCCTCTCCCGTCACTGAACCTGCTGTGTCTTCATCCCCAGAGTCAGAGTCGTGGTCGCAGCCGCTGTAAACCAGCTGGCTGTTATGCACTCGGTTTTGGCTCTCATGTCGGCTCAGAGGTAGAGCGGGTCGTCCACTAACCGGAAGGTTGGCGGTTCGATCCCAGGCGGTTCGATCCCAGGCTCCTCTCGCTGCATGTCGAAGTGTCCTTGAGCAAGACAATGAATCCCAAACTGCTCCTGATGCTGAGCATCGGTGTATGAGTGTGTATGAATGACTAGTTTCCGTTCTGGTGAGCAGTTGGCACCTTGCAGTGCCAGTGGCAGTGGTGCCATCAGTGTGTGAATGGAGTGAGTGTGGCATGTAGTGTACAGCGCTGTGAGTGGTCGACAGACTAGAAAGGCGCTATATAAGTACAGTCCATTTACCATTTACCTTTATTGGATAGGACAGTAGAAGATACACAGGCAAAGGGTGAGAGAGAGGGGATGACACACAGCAAAGGGCCACAGGTCAGGTACATTCAGACTCCGCCTTGGTACATGGGGCGCCACCTCTACCAGGTGAACTATCAGGGTGCCCCCCAAACAGAGTTTTAAACTGTTTTTTTGTTTTTCTGCGACTGTCAGACTCATGAAAAGTGCATCGACTAAGACTCTTCTCAGTGTCTAATGTTTTAGTCGACTATAAGGGGACAGCCTTAATGATCAGTAGTAATAATAATAATAATAATAATAATAAATTATAAACTTTATTTACAAAGCACCGTCAAAATGAAGTTACTAAGTGCTTTATGTGGCTGAACCTGGATTTGAACATTTCAGTACTGCAATAAGGCAATAAAATAAAAATAATACAAACAGCATTGTTGATTTTATTAGACTAACTTATATACTTTATATCAAGGAATATGATATGTTGTAGAAGTCATTGCGGAGCTCCTACTGCCTTTCTTGGCTGACGTTTCCCTCTGATACATCTTGTGTGTCACTCAACTGCATGTACAATAGAAATGTTATGTGCATGGATAGACACAAGAATTAGCTGCTTTGTCTGTGATCTAAACGACTTGTATGATTGTTTTTACAGGCAAGCAGTGTGACTGAGGAGGTTGTTCAACCGCGCTCTGAGGCACAGCACTCCTCTGACTGGTACGTCACATTTTCCATGACTTGAGTGCACTGATGAAACTAACGCCACTAAACTTTCTGACTGGTCTTCCTGTGTTTATTTAACCAGTTGTCGTTAGCAGCTTTTGGACTGAGTGCTGTTTAATTAATCTCAACTATACTATTTGTCTGTAGACAGTTCGTCTGTATGGTGAAAGGCCAGTAGCATGCTTTTTTTAATTTCTGCATTTCTTCTGCTCACGTTTGAGATGTCTCCCTCCCTCTTTCTGTTCCCTTTTCCTCTAGCTCTAGCCTGGCTAAACTCACAGAGCAGCTTCAGGCCACACAGGGCAGGTGAGCCCACAGCTCTGTGTGGCTTTCTCTTTCTCACTGCGTGCATGCCTTCTCTCTATACTTCTGTCTCTTCACCACTGTGTATCTGTTACTGGTGCTACCTGCCCGTCTCTTATTTATGAACTCAGTTTGTTTCCTGTATGTATCTGTCTGGTATTTTAGATTGGTTTTCATCCATTTCTTCTCTGTCATATGTTATATATACTCTCACAACAATGTATTATTCTGTCAGAAGGACTTGCATGTTAGTTTCCCCTTTAACATCGTATTGACAAACCCAAATGGACTCGAAATTATTTCAACTTTATTGTACAGCACCAAAACAATGGGACAAAAACAAAATAAAAATCACCAAACCTTCTTTATTAGTCTTTCCGCTGTATTTCACCAACCTGGTTTGGTCAAAATAAACCCTTAATTGACCAAGTGAGATGTGAACAGTTTTGGGAAAAGGGCTGCAAGGGCGGCAGCGTAAGCTAACATGAATCCTAGGGGACAAATTCACCCGTCAAAGTACGTCCACTAAAAGTTGTTGTTTCTGCCACAGACAGGCTCAGATTGTTATTCTGTCTGACAACATTATGGAAAGGATACCAAACCCTACCAAGCTGTAATATCGCTATCGCTTACCACCAGACTCCGTAGACAAAAACATACATTTTATCTTGCTTATTATTGGAATGTTGTAACTTCGTTCAAAGTGGACAGAAACAAAATAAAACTCACCAGAACACTGTTTCAATAATCACCAACTTGGGTTTGGTTGAAATAAATCCATAATTCACTGACGTAGCTGTATTATTGTACAAATTGCAATTTAGATTAAAATATGTGTTTTCGTACTTTTTAGAGCCTGACCAATATGGGATTTTTGAGGCCGACACTTATTTTTATGCAAATGTACTCAGAAGGCTGCTTGCTTAAACAAATAACATGTTAAATTTAACGTAGACTAGACTAGACTTTAATGTAGCTTGTCAACCAATTCTGGGTAACGTTAGTGAGAGCTGCTTCTTCTCTCTTACTCTGTGCTGTTTGCCACAGAATTATAAATCACAGTGCGCTCTGCTGGAGAAACTTTGCAATGACACCAATGTATTACCACATTATATACCGGAAAAAAACTGTTTTCATATCGGCACATATCAGGTAACATATATCATCAGGACCATCTGCGGCCAACGGATATATCAGTCGGGGTCTAGTACTTTTTAAAATCCCAGTTTAGTAATGAATCTGTTGTAGGTATCGGGAGTTGGAGGAGAAGCTTGATTACCTGCAGAAGAGTTCAGCTCAGCGGGACAGAACTGAAGCTCTCCTCAAACAGAAGGACAAGGACTGTGCCCAGGTATGAACTATGAACAGCTGTGACTATTACTCCATTGTCCAAATATTTAAAATCTTGCTTGAAGCAGCCTTGGAATATCAAAATCAATATCAAATCAACTGTAATTCTGTATCTTTTCAGTTGGCTAAGGACTGCGAGGCTCTAAAAGCTCAAGCAACGTCCCTATTAGGGGAACTGAATGAGAGACAGAGCTGCCTGGACAGAAGCGAGAATGAACGCAAAATGTTGGAAGAAAAGTAAGTTATCATGTCAGATCAGCATGAATATATACAGTATGTCGACTTGTCTGTGTTCACATGCAGGTTTGCTGATGTGTTTCCTTGTGTCTAGGCTGTGCAGTAAAATGAAAGTCCTGCAGGTAGCAGAGCGGGAGCTGGAGCAGCAGAGGAAGCAGCATCATGTGGCCATGGACCAGCTGCTGCTGCAGACCCAGAGCCTGGAGCAGGCCCTGAAGACAGAGAGACATGTCGTCACAGAGGAGAAGTGGGTTCAACACACACACACACACACACACACACCGATAGCACTGTCCCAACTGGTTATTATAATTCTGCACACATTACAATATTTGGAAAGATCTGATCGGATTGTTTTTTAAAAGGCTTTTCTCAAAATAAGAGAAATTAGTGGTGACACTCTCACATTGTATTGTATTTACATTCAGTTAAAAGGAAAATGGAAACTCCAGATCAGCAGCAGTGTGGACCATCATGTACAAAGTCATGAAAAAAAAATATATTATTTTTATCTTGTGTGAAAAAAGATATTTACTGCTTCACATATATTCCATTTGAATTGAAATTCAAAAGTTCTATATGTAACTTTCAGAAAACCACTGTTAATAGTGACACTGATCATCACCATCAACTGAACTGCAGTCAGTGTTCCGTTGCTCGCTCTGGCACTGAAATGAACACTGAATGCTATCAAATAAATAACAGTCATATTTAGAATAACATTACTATCTGCAGTGTTCCTATATTTTATTTGGACCATTGACTCCAAGTTACAAAGAAACCATTCCTCAGGCTGTTGGGGAAGGTCTAATGTTTTACCGTCAAACCCATTCACAAATTAGCAGTAAAAAGTGATTAATACATACAAATAATAAATAAAATGCTACAGAATCTTACATCACCTTTATCTTTATTATCTCATCTTCTGCGCACAAGATTAAGAACATCATTTTCTTTGGGCTCTCTTGGAGTTGTAATGCTCAATTTTTGTTGTAGCATTGTAATGTTAGCTGTTTCACTGTGGTAATAAATTCTTCATTACTGAGATTTGGCATACTGTACTGTAAAAACTCTGTTTCCCCTTTTTCCTCTTAGGAAAAAACTGACACAACTGCAGCATGCCTACACATGTCTTTTTAGAGACTATGATACTAAGCTGAAGGCTGAGGTAAAAACACATGCAGACATCCATTTACCCTCATTAGTTTTGCTTTTTAGCTTATAGATCCAGGTCTCAACATTCACCTGCATGTGTTGTTTGCTTGTCTCGCAGGGAGGAGATCTGTGCAGCCGACTAGAGGAGGCAGAGCGAGCGCTGGCCCTGAAGCAGGACCTGATTGATAAACTGAAGGAGGAGGTGGAGCAACAGAAGGGCTCACTGGAGACTGTTCCTGTCCTCACTGCACAGGTGAGGTTTGGTCTTTTGCTGGTTTTAACCGCTATATTCAGTTATACTATCACATAAGAATTGTTTCTGTGACTTTCAGGGTTTCAGTAAGCTTTTAACTGTAAATGAATGTACTGTATATAACAGCTGAGCTCACAGCTTGTGTCATATGTACACTGCATCCAGCTGCATTGTTTTCCAGCTGTGTTGAGACGTCGCAGTTTCAATGTCGACTGGAAACAATATAGAAGCGAGAGTCGGTTCTTATAATATGTAAATTATTATTAGTTTAAAGTTGTTGTTGACAATTTTTACACATTTGGAGGCTGCGCTTTAACATCACAACCTTTTGTTGCTATGAACCAGTGTAGCCATCTTTATTTTGTCTGACAATGTTGTGAAACTTATACATATACTGATTCTCTGACAACAGAAAATATGTAAGTGCGAACAACTAGGTGAATTTGGCTGCTTTAAAAGCCAGTATTTGTGATTACAGAGAGCAGGAGGGGACAAAAAGAAGCTTAACGGGTCTCCCTCCCTCACTTTTCTCTTCCGCTCTCTCTTACTAACAAGAAACAAAAAACTGCTCTTCTGCGTATGTGTGTGCTGAAACAAAAGTAAAAGTATCATTACAGTGTATGTTTGTGGTTGCTCAAAACGATCAAACCGAGAACTTTTATCAAGAATCAAAAGCTAGGAACAAAATTTACCAAAAAACGTGGTATTTACACCCCTTCACCTTGTCGTCATTTTACGTTGCAGAACACCTGTTTTTGGTCTATTGCCAGAACTGGTGACAGTGGCTGTGCTTTATCATTTGGGGTTTTGTAGTGCAAAGGGTCTAAACCAGGCATGGGCAAACTACGGCCCGCGGGCCATATACGGCCCGTTAAGCTTTTGAATCCGGCCTGCCTGACTTGTTCAAACTATATTATTAAATTTAATTATTATTAAATCGCATTAATTTTGACGTCGCAATTACCACATTTCCGCATTAGATTGCGCCCAATGACCCTTGTTGGAGTGTGGTGTATTATGCTGCATTCAGGTGCTCCTTGGATTATCCTAAATGAACATTCGGTCATTTTGATTGGCGATTTGGCTCTTTATTTAGGGTTGAATCCCAAGCCGGTGTTGATAAAGCACTTTTCTAACACGTCTAGATCACTTATGTGGACGTTGTTATTATAAATGTTTGAGCTAAAAGTTGACAGGCAAAGTTTTTAAATCACAAAAGATCGTTTTCTGCCATTTAGATGATGAATATGACATCTTTCCCGAATCAACTCGGGACTTATTTATCTGACTTGTTTGTTTCCAAACGCACATGAATGCAGCATGACTCAACTTCACTGTTTCACATTACATATTGAGCCCTTCTGTAAAAATGAGCAGACCAAAGAAAAGAAAAGTGGACAGTGAGTGCCGAGTGTTTAATAAGGAGTGGACAGCAAAATATTTTTTCACTGATGTTGATGATGATGATGGAAACTGTTGCAGTTTTTAAAGAATACAACATCAGCCATCACTTTGCAACGAAGCACGCTAACTATGCTAGTAAGCAGACAACGCAAGAACAGCTGGCTACTGCTGAGAGGTTGGTGGCTAAAATAATTTGTAAATGAGCCTTGCATATTCATGCTTTGCTGCCTCTTAAAGGCCAATCCATTATATAATGGCTTGTACGTGTCATATACATTAGTTCACATAAACACTCCATCCATCTGCTCCTCGCCTGGCCCCCCTGTCAAATTTTAGAACTCAGTGTGGCCCACAATTGAAAAAGTTAGCCCACTCCTGGTCTAAACTTCAGGCTGTCTGAAATGGAAAAGGCTACTGAGTGAGCCAGTGTCACATGTTTGGTGTTGGAGGTTCGATGCCCAGCTTCTCCTGCCCATATGTCCATGAACCCCAAATCGCTGCCGATGCCCTACTCAGGGTGGGCGTGGGCCTTTAGGGGGCCCAACGCAGAGTTTAAATGCATTTAATATAAATAAACCCATTCTGAGCCTCATGTCAGTGAATTGAGGCCTTCCTCTGAGCCACCTGTCAGTTGTGCACAAACTTGCCTTTATCATCCGCACCCACAATGTAACACTTTTATATAACACAGAATGTTAAAATGAAACAAAATGGCTGTTGCATGAATTCATATCTCTCTTTCTCTCTCACTGCCTCTGTGTCTGCTTAGGCTGAGATCTACAAGGGAGATTTCCTAGCAGAGCGAGAGGCCAGAGAGAAACTGAACCAGAAGAAGGAGGAGCTGCAGGATCAGCTGACTCAGGCCCTGGCTGAGATTGACAGGCTCAAACAGGAAGCCACATCACGGTAAATAAAATAAAGTTATCTCTAAAAGGTGGGGGAAAAAATGATACTGCAGCGACCTTATTGGTTTCGAGGGACGTTCAAATCTCCCAAGTCATTTTGGAACCAGGGTTACGTAGTCCTTGTGTGCTGAAGTTCTCTCCCTGCCCTCAATCTCAATTGCCAATCAGATGCTGCATATTGATTCGACTTTAGCTTCACTGCAGCCGTCATCAAAAGCAGCTTATCCATGTTGGCTTCTGTTTCAGTGCACGTATGGAGCAAATGAAGCTGCGACACCTGGAGGACTTTCCAACACGGCCCCCACACATTCCCCCTCCACAAGGTACATTAACACAACTCACATACACAAATGCACAAATTCAACATTGTTTTAAAAGCCTTTCAAGCATAAATGGTTGTTGATGTGTCCACTATAGGGGAAGCATGCATTTGTGTGTTTAGTTTCAAGTAATATGCATTAATAGACTAATGAATAGTACAGTCCATTTTGTGGAAACTTTTAACACATTTTAATAAAAACTCACTTCTCATTTGAGATGCCACACAATAGACCAAAAATATCAGAAAGAATTATTTTCAAAGTTGTTGCACAGCATTCCTTAATGTTTCAATATTTTAGGCTTTAATTATGTCTTAAACTGTCATTAAAAAAAACATTTTTGCTCATGCTGTAACAACTACGAAACAAAACAGACATGGAACCATTACTTTTTTCATTCATATCCTTTTATTTATAATTTAAAATAATTATATATATATATATATATATATTATATATCATAACAATTAAAATAAATTCTGGTCAGAACTTTTAACATGCTTTCCTTTCTCCTTCGCCTTAGGTGTGTTCCCTGGTGCGGTTTTCAACACAGCGCCCCCTGCCCCCTCGTTCCGCAATCAAGGTTTGGTACCAGTCGGCGATCAAGGGGCAGCTGGAACTGAGGAGCTGCCAGATTTATGTTGTCCTAAGTGCCAGTACCAGGCTCCAGATATGGACACACTGCAGATACATGTCATGGACTGTATACAGTAACATGAGCATAGTTCAGCACACCATGACACCAACACACACAGATATGTACACAGTATACTTACATTTTCTGACGATTAGCGTATCTGCTCTCAGCTCCGGGCACAGCCTGGATGCTCTCTGCCATGCGAACACGCATATACACACCTGAATACATATTGTGGATCTCACTATTTAAAAAAAAAAATCTAATATGTTGGAATTAAGACAAGTGGCAATCAGATGGCAGAATGAAGACAGCAGAATAATCAGTATGGTATTTTCCTAAACTGCTCCGTGGATTCAAATTCTGCTCTAGCTTTTCCATTCCGCAATTCATCCTTTTTTCTTCTGACACCTGCCCTTTTATTTTCCGCCTTCCCCCACCCCTCGCCTTGCCTCTGAGATGGCACACTGATGCATCAGTATTCGTAGAAGATCCCTGATCCCTTGCCTCAGTGTCAGTTCTTGTCCCTCTTCACTTCAGTGGTGTACTGAGGAGTAAGAGTGTACACTACACTGACTGCCTCATCCATGTTATACACATCAGTAATCCTTGGGCACAAGGAAAAAGGTTACAATTAGGAGGTTCCCATCAAAGGAGAAAACACATGACAATGTGAATAACCTAGTGAGCTTTAAATAATCTAGAGTATTCAAATATGTTTGGTCATACATGTTGCTGTCTGCATTACCTCAAAACATGTATTATTATGTATTAGAGATGGATTTACTATTATTGAAAAAAGTAGCCATTCTCTTTGTTCTGTGCCTGTGTACACCTTTGACTGCACCACTGCTTTATATCTGATGCTAGACCTGACCCGTAATCCAACATAGCCCCTTTTTGTCCCCCTTATTCTGTCTTAGCTTTATCTGTGGCACCTAGCTATTTATCTAACTGAAGGTAAGCACACGGAGGGTGCTTCACAGTCTGTGTGAATATTGTCGGTAATTTAGATCATTTGGTGCAAAGAATATTGTTTCAAACTGTTGAAGATTTACAAAATAAATCAGTTATTCATTAGCTCTTGTGATTGTGTTTTGCTGTGTAATACGACTGGAAAGAAACCATTTACAACCATTCTGGGAAAATCCTAATTCTTTTCCTTTTATTGTCTTTAAAACTTAATCACAAGGGCAGCATTTAAAGCTGCAGTAGGTAACTGTTATAAAAATAACTTTTTATCATATATGCTGAAACTTTCACTGTATCCTGACAGTAGTAAATGTATGGAGGCTCATTTCTGCCAATGTAACGAAAAAGAAGGATTCTTTAAATCTTTAAAATAAAATATATTGACTTAGTATCTCAAAATAATGAGAAGCCTAAACTAGAATAGGCCTGTGTGTTGTTTCCTCATATGTTCCAAAGCAACAGAAGCGAATGAGACAAAGTGTGGCAGACCAAATGGATACTGTCATTGAAGACTTCTTTGGACGTGGATTCACAAATCGTGAGATTTTAGCAGTTTTGGAGGAATCCCATAATATCAAACCAAGTCTCCGGACCCTAGAGAGAAAGCTACAAAAGAATCAGCTCTGGTGGAGACGAAATAAGACAGATGTAGCTGAAGTAGCATCCTTCATTGACCAGCAGTTACAAATGTCTGGCAGACAGCACGGCTACAGATGGATGCACCAGAAATGTTGGATGGCCGGGATAATTACTGACAGAGAAACTGTGCGTCAATTGATGCTACGGATGGATGGGGCCGGTGTAGTCTGCATGTGCGCAACCGTTTAAGACAGTGTAAGTATGTCAGTCTAGGGCCAAACTATGAATGGCATATAGATGGGTATGACAAATTAAAGCCTTATGGCATATGTATCAGTGGTTGCATAGATGACTTCTCAAGAAAAATGATATGGCTGGAAGCATACAAAACCAACAATGACCCTCGTATTATCGCAGGTTATTTTATAGACGCTGTGACTGACAACAATGGATATAAAGTCCGGTTAGATTACGGTACTGAGAATAACCATGTTGCAGTGATGCAAAAGTTTCTGCACAACCATGAGGATGAGAATGACATGGAGTGTGTCACTTTAGGTCCAAGTACTGGCAATCAAAGGATTGAACGTTGGTGGAACACCTTGAGAAGTGAATGCACCCAGTTTTGGATGGACCATTTCGAGCAGAGGCTATTTTGTTGACCGCTTCATTGACAAATCACTGATCCAGATTTGCTTGCAAAATACCATCCAGGTAGAGAATCCTTTTTTTAATATATGACTGTTGTTTTTTTAATATATGATGTTTATTGTTCTCACTGCTGTTTGTTTAAGGTTGTGGTCATTTTAATTTAATTTACTGTTGAGTGGTTAAATCTACAGTAATGTATATTAGGTTAGGATCATCATATGTTTGCAGCCTGTCTGTCCAGTGAGAATCACTTGTCTCTAAAAAGTTCACTTATCATGAGCTCTGAACTTTATTTTACAAGAAAAGGGGTTGGAAATGTTAAATTAAATGGGCCAGTCATTTCTAATAAACTCCCAAGCAACAGAAAAAACAACAAAAGTTACAGGGACACGTTATAGTGGTCAAAATGGGCATGCAGTCTCCACCAGGACACTGAACACACAGTGGCTGGGTAGCTCCATGATATGATTGTCATTCAGGTCACCTGACTAACAAATCTCCGTAGTATAATATATAAATTAGTTTAAAAGACAATTTATATAGCAATAGTAGTTGACTGCAGTTAAATATCATGAAGAAGCTGAAAGCAGCAGAGAGAATTCAATTTTTCAATTCAATTTTATTTGTATAGCGCCAATTCATAACAGAAGTTATCTCAGGACACTTTTCAAATAGAGCAGGTCTAGACCGAACTCTTTATAACATTAATTACAGAGACCCAACAGTACCACCATGAGCAAGACCTTGGTGACAAGGGCAAGGAAAAACTGCCTGTTAAAAGGCAGAAACTTAGGACAGATCCTCCGGCTCTAGGTGGATGGTCATCTGTCTCGACCAGTTGGGGTTAGAGAGAGAGAGAGAGACAGAGAGAGAGACAGACAGACAGGTGCACAGCAACAACAGTATTAGCAATGGCAGTCTAGCAGGACCATGGCAGGAGGCTCCACCAGGATCCATGAGAACCTGCGAGACGAGAAAGCACAAGAACTCCGGGGAAGAAGTGGAGTTAGTAACATGCATTAATGGGACATGAATGAGTGCAGAAAGAGAGAGGAAGAGAGGAGCTCAGTGCACCATGGGAAATCCCCCATAGTCTAGGCCTATAGCAGCATAGCTAAGGGAACAGATTTAAAGTTTGACAGCAAGAATGTGATTGGCCGAAAGAGATTGTGGCTAAATCAGATTGGTTTAACTGAAAGAGTAAACACCAATAGTCAGCTGTTTTAGAAAAGTGAGAGAATAGTGAATGAATGAGGCATAATGATGAGTCTTTCTGATATAACCGAGATATTTGCATTCTAAAAACTCAAACGGTCCTCGCATTTAGTGTGATAGTTTATTGAGGTTAAAAGGATAGGAGACCATATACCTGATCCTTGAGTTTTCAGTGAAATGCTAATTCCAGATCACCAGGTTTTCTATGGTTTTCACTGGACAGGAAGGATATATAAAATGTAATCTGAAAAGTAGTCTATTCTAGTAAATAAATGTGAAACAGATACAGTGGAGTAAAATGTACCATGTTTGCCTGAGATGTAATGGAGTATAAGTAGGCTAATTTGCACTAAGCCATTGAGGGCCCTATCTTGCCGATCTCAAACGCAAGTATCAAACGCAAAACGCAAGTAGCTTTGTGGGGAGATCTCGGGCGCTGTTGCTATTATGCTGGCGGGATAAATGACTCTTGCGCCCGGCACAAATCTAAAATGGGTTGGTCTGAAGTAGCTACATTAGTCATAGGTGTGGTTTGGGTGTAACGTGCAATAAACCAATCAGAGCGTCATCTCACATTCCCTTTAAAAGCAGGCGCGCTTGTTCCATGGCAGATTGCTATTATAACGGCGGATTGGCCAGGCGCACGCCAGGAGCGGTTCACAGCCGAGGAGACCGACGTTCTCGCCAGGGCCGTAAAAGACCGAGAAGTGACATTATTGACATGAAATAAATGTAACACAGCCATACCATAAATCAAACAATGTAACGCAGACCCTGGCCTCGAAAGGAGCCCTGTGCCTGGGCCGAGCAGTGCGCAAGGGCCAGCTGAGGAGGAGCAGCGCAAACACCAGGTGCAGAGGATCCAGACCCGCTACACGCCGGAGGACCACCCGTTCCTGCAGCAAACCGGGTTTGACATGCTGGAGCGGGAGCTGTCCGGGATGCGGCACAGTATTAATGCCCGTCCTGACCGGGGTGGCGATGTTGCTGCTGCCTCTCAGGCGCATCCCCTCAAGTCTGCGCCCTTAAAATAGCATCTGAATAAGCGCCACTGACTTTAGACTAGGTTTTTCCTGGTCTGTGGCGGAATTGTTTTCTTAAACAGTAAAATAGCACCAGGGAACGTTTGCGCCGGAACACGCCTCCTCTTTTCGCTGAACCGCCCCCCGGAGCGCAAGTTCATTCCCTAATTTAAGGACGTGCGTCGGTGGAGGGAAAATTCCAATGTGCGTCAAGTGCAAAATAGAAATTATACAAGCGCCAGTGTACAAAGTCAATTGCGCTGAGTGCAAGATAGAGCCCATAGGCTATTAAGGCTACAATCCACTGTATAACTGTATAAAACAATTCTAACAAATGTTTTCAGTCGTTCTCTGTCCATTATATAGGAGGAGCTTGATGAGGTTGTAACCAACCTTTATGCTGCTTTCTTGCAGCCAGTTGATGAAATAAAAATAGAGATATGTCGAGAAGACTGTTGTTTCAAGGACTATCCTTGTAATGTGGATGTGTTTCAGTTATGTATGGAACTTATGGATGAGCACAACCTGGTAATGTCTGATGATGTGTATGAAATTACTGACCTTTATCTAAGACTTCGTCAAATAATTGTTGATGGACTGGGGGGATAAAGTAGCCTACAGTGCTTTGAGAAGAAGCCTATAGGCACATCTAAAAAGACGCCCTGAATTGGTTATTGTACATTCATCTGAAATAAAAGCATGCAGGGCTGATAAATTAGTGACAGTTTTTAAAATAAATGAAAATAGCCCTATACCACCCATATAGGATAGAATACTTACTTACGCTTAGTTTTTAATGTAGGATTTTAGTTTTTGTCTTTAAATTCTAGCCAGCACATGCTCAATTTAAAAGTAACATTTATGATTGCTTTTTGTTATCATGCTTTTATCTGTGTACAAAATATTGCATTATGTTGCATCTCTCAGCAAAACACGGTAGGCAAAAATGCCACACATAGCTACACTGGATAAAATAAAATAAGGGTTGAAATAAACATGATCTGCATTAGCAATTAGGCCAATTATAGGCTATATAAAAAATATAAAAAAATTAAAAGTGTCTTAAAAGCAATTACATATATTTCATTTCTTAATTTCTCAAACTGCAATAGTAATTACTATTATTTTTCTGCTAAAGCCATTGTTAAATTGACTGCACTATGTGTGAAGATGTAGCCTAGGTAAATCCTTGTTGTGATGTGGCAAAGGAAAACAGGCCGGAAGATAAAATAGTGAGACACCATAACACATGGATAACACAGACGGTGGAGAAACTTGACATTCTTTCAGCGCTGGCTTGTAAAGAACAGATATCTGAAAAAAGTCACCAAAAGGTGCCTGTTGTTACTTGTTAGTTACTATTAATTACTACATGTAATACATTTCTAAATGTGACTACATGTTCCTTTCAGTCAGATGACCAGTTTCAGTGGTCCTGGTGGTAAATGAAACAGAATGAATAAAATCAAAGTACACCGGCAATTCCATTCCCATTCTCATAAACTAATTTATCCTGTGTGCATGTGCAGGCCGCTGTCCATGGTGACAAATAATTTACACAGCTCTTCCTATGTTGTATTACCTGTCCTTTGTCCATAGTGTTGCCGATGTGACAATGACATGTCACATGCTTGCATTGGTGGGCTGGCCAAATGCTCAGGGTGCCATTGGTCAGCGCTGTTTATCAGTGGAGTGGAAGTGTGCTTGGAAAACTCACATAGACCTGTTATCTTATCAGTCATTAAGGAGTTCGGTCTAGACCTGCTCTATTTGAAAAGTGTCCTGAGATAACTTCTGTTATGAATTGGCGCTATACAAATAAAATTGAATTGAATTGAATTGAATACATGGCAACACTTTTAATGGTATCAGGAACAAAAACAAAAACCTGGCAATTTCTCATAAAAAAAACAAATTATATGCAGTCAGTTTTTGTGACGTGGCATAACAGTTCCTTAGCTCAAAACAAACTAAAAAAGCCATAGTGCTAACAAAAGTTATTAAAATGTACATCTTTACCTTCCTTGATGCAATTAGGTCTGTTATACTAAAGTGTTTTCCTTAACAAATGAATTAATGAGGAATATTTTGTTATTGTTGTGTTGAACTATTGAAATCTTATGCTGTCTTATCAATCTTGTTTTAAGATGAGGACCCTTTGTCGATGACACTGTACAAAGAAATAAGATAGCATTAACACGCACAACATGAAGTACATTAAATTATGTCCATTACCCACACATTGGACTCCAACACCTTGTTCATCTCGGAGCTGAAGTCAGGGTAGCTGTCATAATGGACTGACAGCTCTAGCACACAGCCACACGTATGGGCCACAGGTCTTCTCTGGAAACTTTGAATTTGGGTAAAGTCAATGATGATGTTCTTCCCCAGGAATAGATCTGATCCTGTGCAGAACCTTAGGAACAAACACAGATGTTGAGTATCGGCATTTCTCGAATATGAGGTTAGATACTTCTGAATGTCCTTCTGGTGGATATCAATTGTCTCTGGGAAGGCGAGGGACTTCACAACCTGTCTCACAGTAGGTTGCAGGATTTCGTATACTGTTGTGAGGTCCTGAAGGCTGTGGCTGGCGGTGCTGAGCATTTTTGCCCTCGGTTCAATAACGTAGGCTGGCTCTTGGACAAGCGTTTTGTGAGCAAGCTCCTGTAGGATTTCATTGACATTGGTTGCTGTTGGTATTTTCCTACAGCTGTGATAATCCAGGATCTCAATTAATTCTTCTTGGTCGACACTGTTCAAATCTGATCATCATGATTCAAACACTGCACGCTCAGATTCAGGCATGTATTTGAGGAAATTCTCAACTACATTGCTCTTTACATGTCCCAAGACAACTCATTTTCAGAAAAGTCTCCTATAAAAACAACGTTGCTGCTCTCAAAAACATTCCCACCCTCTGTAGAATATAGTGAAAAGTCATCACTTTGAGTGCTAGCAATGAATAACACTTCAGGGGTGACTTTTTTAAGTGTAGCAGATGGTCAGGCTGTATCAATATTGAGAGAAGAAGTGGAAGACTGACTCTGAGAGCTCTCTTGTCCCTCCAAAGATGGAGCCAAACCTGCGCTGTGACTGTGTGGACTGTCGATTGTTTTCTTCTTTGTTAAAAAACCTACCTCTTGGTACTCTTTGAGGTCCAACTCAAATTCTGTTAAGGGCCCTACATGACTGTTTCTCCCATCTGGAAAGAACAGGCCAATTGCTTCCTGCATCAAATCCTTTTTCTGAGCATCCTTTGAAATGTCAACCTTTCTTGTCCTCCTCTTTGTTTTGTTCTTACTTGCTTGAAAGTTTTTTTTTCATCATCATAATGCATCCATCCTATTTCTACTTTTCTTATTGTCTTCAGAGCATTTTTTCTCTGAGCCGGTTGTGAATGTTCCCCTTGGTTTTTGCTGCTGTCTCCTTCTTCACAAGGTTTTCTTTTGGCCAATTTTGTTCTCAGACGCTCCAAAAGCTTTGATTTGCGAGTGTTGTCGTGGGTCTTTTCCTCCAGATAAAGAAGTCTTTAGGTCTTTATCTGTCATCAGCTGAATGGTGCTGGCATCAATCTCAATATGGACGATGGCATTGTTTAAAAAAGTGCAATCCTGATTACACAGCCTTATCGTTGATAACATTTAGCTATCTAGCATATAATGAAACAGTAGTACCACAAGTTTTATTTTTGGAAGAAACAATCATTTAGAAACATTAAAAACTGAAATATTCTGCTTTTGCAGTTCAGTACCTTCTCATTCTCCAAGGTCGCTATTGTTTCCTCAGGAACATGTCTCTGTCTCAGGAAGTCACTTAGGTCATCCATCCAGTAAGCAGGCATTACAAGGAAAGGAAACATTTATTATGCTGGGGTCTGAAGCACTCGCTTTAATTTAAATCCTCAGCAATTCACAAAATCTGCCCCAGTTTCTTCTGCAATCCCAAAACAGATCAATGGATTATCTATAAAAGTATAAATGGCAATGATGCACCTGACAGAGGGAATTGAAGGTAGCTTTACATCCGTCCTGTGCTGTGTCAAGTTCAGCAGCGAGTCAGACTGGAAGTCACAAATACTGCCTTCAAAATAAGACGTTTGATTCGCTATCTCGGACGACTTTGCGTTTGATTTGGGTTTAAATGACCTTTCACTAATACTGTAGCAATCCAAGTCCAATATTCAAGTCATTTGCTGTAATGTACGATTTGTGAGTCTTGCATAGACATGAACACCATGGACTTATACGGCGAAAATTCCGACAGGAAGTCGCGCTGGTTTTATTTGGTTAACTTTACTCTAGTCCCTTGCGGGTTCCAAGCGGTCGCCGGACACACGCTCCATTCATTCCTGCGTCTTTATTTACCGGTGTACGCGACTGGCGTTGTGTGTTTGAAGTGGTCTTCAGGCAGGCATGTCAGGCTCAACTTCCCCGCCTCCCTCGGCAGAGGCTGTGGGAACCGAGGGGTGTTTTCCCCCCGGATACAAGCCTTTCAAACCCGAGGAGCACGGCCTGGAGCGCGGGTTCCGTCTCACAGCCTTTTCGGACCTGAAGGGATGAGGCTGCAAGGTCCCGCAGGAGGCTCTGCTCAAACTCCTGGCGGGACTGGAGGCGGACCGGGCCGACGGGACGGGGAAGGCCGGAGACCAAGCATCAGAGTTTGGCCAACAGCTGTCCGGTCCCAGACTCGGTAAGAAATAAATTCGGAGTTAGCTAGCAGAGCTAGCCCACACTTCTGTTCTTGGGTGGTTAACGTCAGTTAGCTAGCGTAACTGTTGCTAACCATGCTAGCTTGAGTTAACTCTTACGGCAGCTCTTTTGACAGATGGATATCTACAGGCGAATGAAAGCAGTTTGTTTTTAATAGTCCTCTGCTACCGTATTTGTTACCTTGTAGTTAAGACTCTTACAGCAGTAAATGATCACTAAGCTACATCGTCAATGCATAATAGATCATTTAGTGGCTACAAAGAGGACTCTAGTTCCGTGAGTTGTGAAATTACCAGCCGCTAGGTATGATTCAGCAGAAATATCTTTGATACTCTGGGTGCAAAGTTCAGGCTGTTGGTCAAACATTTCTTCAAGTTGAGGAGTTTTGTAATCTTGAGTGAAAGTGCTGTAACGTTAGTTTGCTGCAATGTAGAAAGTATTGTAGCAGTAATGTAACGTTACCTAATGATACTCATATCATTCGATACAATTCGCATTACTCGGTTGATGATACGATTTTCTCCCAACCTTTTTTTAACAAAATGAGATTGAAGTAAAACTATGACTGAAAAAGATTTTCTCAGGCAAATATCTACAAATGATAGTTTTTTTTCTTATTTTGTACATACATTTATCAAATCCTTTTTCATTTCTGAAGGAGGGTAAAAACTGCAAAACAATTAAATATTTCTTTCTGTGAAATGAAACTGAAGTCTGCACCTTAAAGCAGCAGTAGGTAACTTTTATGAAAATAACCTTTTGTCATATTTCCTTGTGCTTTCACTATATCGTGACAGCAGTAGATAGTAAAGACAGATCATCTGTGAAAAAAATAGTTTCCTCTGGCTCCTCCTGGTGCTCCTAATGGTATTTACAAGAATCCACCAGTCAGAGCTGAGACACATATAAAAACACTTTGGCTAGAAGCATTGACAGTATATACAGTATAATGGACAGACCTTCTGGGTCTGAAAAGTGAAGCCAAAGCGGATGTGTCTTAAAATCTGCATTCTATATAAAGGCCAGTAGGGGGAGCTCCATTTACTCTAATGGAGAATGAGCCGACTTCTCACTTGATTTATGAGCTCAGTAAAGAGTTTCCTAATGAGATTTCGGCCTCAATCGCTAGTTTCAGTCTTCTTCCATACAGCATGATGTTCATTTAGTTCATTTAGAATATTGAGTATTCCTAAAGCGGTGGGGATAGACAGACAAAGGTTGGAAAGAAATAAAAATAAATCATCTGCATACAAGGAAACCTTTATTTCTACTCCCTTCCTAAGTATATATGCTATGCTATGAATACTAGGGTTCGTCCTAAGTGCAGTTAAGAGGGGCTCAATGGCAATGGCAAATAACAAGGGACTCAGAGGGCAGCCCTGCCTAGTAGATCGATATGAAAATAATCAGAATTTATATTATTAGTCCTGACTGAGGCTTGAGGGAAGGAGTAGAGCCATTTAACCCATGAAATAAAATTCTCCCCCAAATCCAATTTTTTAAGGGCAAAGAAAAGGTTATCCCACTCCACCCTGTGTTTTCTAATTGCTCTGCTAGCCTCTGTCCAAGAGTAGGGAGATTAAGTGTATAAAAAAATAACATTAAAGTCAGGGAGGGTTGATTGTTGTTCAGATGAGTAAAGTTAAGTATAAAATTCCTTATTGATTTCCAACGGATCAGTTGTTATGCCTGAGTTTTGAGCTTCAAAATGAGATCGGAAGAACAGGTCTGACGTAAGCGATGTGCCAACATAAGTTGAAAAAATCCTCATCAGAGAGGAGATGAGTATTGAGACGCCATGGTAAAGGCCTGCTGATGGGTCCTGGAAGCTTATATTCATGGAGACTGATGAATGGTCGGAAAGAAGAATTGGGTCATATTTGCATGAGACCAAATTAAGTAGTCTACTGTCAACTAAAAATAAATCAATTCATGTAAAGGAGTGATGGACCATGGAGGAGTGATCTAGTACAGTATCCAGACCACAATTGAAGTCTCCACCTTAGACTAAATGGGAAGATGACAGGTCAGGAAGCATAGAGAAGAATCGCTTGAAAAAGTCATCACCATCCCAGTTAGGGGCATAAATGTTTGGTAATACTATACTGACATTGTGAATTTGACCTATAACAATAATAAATCTACCATGGGAATCTGCAATAGTTTTGGTATGAAGGAAAGGAACTGATGTATGTATCAGAATAGCTACCCCCCTTGATTTAGTAGAAAAAGAAGAGAAGATTTGACCTATTCAACCTCTCTTCAATTTCATTTGGTCTGGAGATTTAAGATGTGTTTCTTGTAAATAAATAATTATTTGAGCTCCCAGGTGATGTAGAAAATGCAAGATCTTACTATGTTTAATTTACAGTTGAGACTAGAAAATGTTATATCTCCCCGTTTAGATACTGCTACTACATTGGATGGGGTCATAAGATCAAATTGTAGGTGACTTATGGCAAGGTGTGGCCATAGAAAAGAAAAGAGAAGGAGAAAAAGAAAACAAAAAACAAAAAACCAAACAGACCGACGAACACACACCATATACCTCAACAGAGTAAAAAACTGGAACAACCCACCCCCTTCCCATGCGGCAGAAGCAATTCCCGAGCCAAAATTCCCCTACAAAAAAAACACGCTCACCCGAAGTGATAGTAAGCTAAACTTAAACTTTTCGTGGTGTTTCCTGGAATGTAATATTGCACTTATACCTAAAGGCACTGTAACAATGTGCAAACAATATTAAGGGTTTACCGTTAATACAAAACACTAATAATGAATCCTTAGTAAGTTCTAACAAATCCAACAGATCAAAACAAACGTCTACTCAGAATGTAAGAAAAAAAGTCTTATACCTGTTCTCCTGTAGTGAAAGACGAGTGTTCACCGTTACTATGGCGACCAATGGTGCCTGTCCCATTAGGAGGTGTCTGGATTGAGAGCCTTTTTCAGATTCTTCTCAACAAAGTCTATTGCAGAGCCAGGCTCGGTGAATCTGTGGGTTTGTCCTCTAGGAAGAGTGATGTGAAGGACCGCAGGATGGCGATGCCAAAACTTAACATTGGGACACAAATGCAGCTTCTTCTTCACATTAGAAAACGCAGCGCGCTTCTTCCTCCTGCCCTTGTATGACAGAGGGGAAGCCTCTCTGGCTCGCCATAGGATATGATTTCTAACATTAAATAGGTTTACTCTGATGGCCATTAGGCGAGGAGGTTCCCCATCCCCCGGTTTGGAGCGTAAAGTGTGGCGAGCTCGGTCCAGAATAGGCTTCTCCCCAAGGCCAAGTAGGTCTTGCAGTAGCTGGGCTGCAAAATCCGTGGGACCTCCTTTGGGCAGACCCACCAGACAAATGTTGTTCCACCTTGCGCGCCCTTCCAGGTCCTCGCACTTCTTGGACAAGGAGTTGACCTGGTCGTGGGCTGGTTAGCATGGTCGGTAGTGGACTCCTCTAGGTCCTTAATGGTCTCCCGATGTGAAGAAATGGCTTCAGAGCAGTCGTAATCTCTCTTTTAACCGACTCTGAGATTATCGAGTTAAAGTCATCAACTATTTCTGCTCGTAGGTCGTCCATTATCTGCCTAATGGTACGCAACATAGCTGCATTAGCACCCTCTGAATCCGGGGGGTCAGGTTCAGGTGACTGCCAAGGCTTAGTGCGGCCTGCCTTGGAGTGCTCAGATTTTGTTCGAGAAGACGACATTTATTCAGTTCAATTCAATAATATGGCAATAAAAGGGGAAAAGGTGGTTTATTTACACAAATAGAACTACAAAAAATACACAGACTGATTAACAAGGAGAAAAGTGCCAGAAAATATATAAAATAATTACATTCCTAGGGAGAGACTGTAACATCCTCCGCCCTCCCTTTTAATTTCCTTTCTTATATAAACTAATTTATTTTTCATTCTTATGGCATGTCACTGGGGACACATGAATGTAGGCTTGTGCATATAAATACTTATATATGCATATGGGTATATATTTGTACATAAATATATGAATTTGTAGTTATAGATTATAAAAATAATAATTACGAAAACATGTAAATATAAGGGATATTTTGTGGAACCATGAAATTACTGCAATAAAAGTATTTTAAAGTACACACAGAAACCACTAAAGTAGTATTCTCACTCTCAACAGAAACTGAACACTTCTAAAAAGTTAAAGGAGAAAAAAAAAAGCATTGTATTGCATTGAAAAATATTGCAACCTGTGGTGTGTTCCTAGGTGTTGGGATGGACTGCTGTGTGATCCCCCTGAGACATGGAGGGCTCTCACTGGTTCAGACCACAGACTTCTTCTACCCTCTGGTGGAGGATCCCTACATGATGGTGAGTTAGTGAAGTCGCCAAATACACATGGACACTCTGCCATTGTTCACTGGCAAAGTATCCGGGAAGTAAGGCACACGGAAATATTTGTGGTGACATACTCAACGCTTACTGTGTGTGTGTGTGTGTGTGTGTGTGTGTGTGTGTGTGTGTGTGTCCATGTATTACTGTAAGTAATGCACATGATTACACTTCAAATCCAATGCAACTAAATTAAGACTTTTGTTTTTTCGTGTTTAGTAGATTACCCACTTCGAGATGGAAACAGGAAAACACACCACCAATTTCCTTTCATAAACCCTCCACAAAACAACAACATGCTATTAGTTTTTCCGTTTTGTATCCCAGACTAAATTCACCTCATTTTGTTTAATGTTATTTTTAGGGCTGCACAATATGGCAAAAACATTATATTCTAATTATTTTGATAGATATTGTGATATCAATATGATTCATGATTAGTGAATGAGGATTTTTGCATCACAAATTTTATTTTCACTGAAAAACAGTTAAAATCACAATGATTTTGTTTTTTTTACATCTGGATAACAATATTTTTAGTATGAGTATCTCTGCAGCACCCCAGTACTTCATTATAATGCTGTTTGTCACATATTTTACCTTTTTATCAAACACATTGCAGCTTCTGTGATATTGCACACTGGGCCATATTGTGATTATTATTATTAAACCTTTAATTAACCAGTAAGTCCCTTGAGATTGAAATCTCTTTTTCTGAGGGAGACCTGGCCAAGACAGCATCCCAGTTACAATTCAAAATAAAAAATAAAAACAATTAATAGGGGAAACAAACATCACACACACAAGAAAAGGACTAAAACCAGCTCAACCAGCTTGCATTTCTCAGTTACATGAAGTTTTAACATGGCCTTAAAGTTTTCCAGTGAGACTAGATCATTAAGATGCAATTTTGATAATATTTCCATTGATTGACCTAATTGTTTTTTTTGTTATTTGTTAGTGAAATTTATAAAAATAGTATGTCAATGGGTGTACCAGTCATTTTAAGCTGAATGTTATTCAGGAGGTTATATAGTATAATGTGCTTCCAACCTAAATCTCCTATGTTAAAATCATTCATTTCAACATCTGATAACAACTCTTAGGTTATTTGCCTGTTTTGACTAGTGTTTGCTCTCTGTCTCTCAGGGCAGGATAGCTTGTGCTAATGTCCTCAGCGATCTCTACGCCATGGGCATCACAGAGTGTGACAACATGCTGATGCTGCTGAGTGTCAGCCAGAAGATGAATGACAAGGTAGCGTTATGTTGTGTGTGCCTAGGTGTTGATGCCTCTTTTTTGTTTCCTCTACACTGACATATATAAAAATGGATGACATGACATCTCTCCATAAGTGAAGCCAATTCTTGATCGCCCCCTGGTGGCTGACTGTAGTCTAGGTCTTAAACCTGCCATGTTAGCAGATGGTTTCTGGCATTTTAGGTAGTTCTTATCACGCTTATATGTTTTCTGATCCATATGATTTTAATTAGTTATTTGAAGCTATAAACATCATGGTTGACAGCTGAGCCCTGCTCCTGATTTAGACTGCCGGGCATATGGGTGAGACTTTGATACCGCGGCACCAACCCTGATCAGTACTGCGCGGACCCTGGATTTGAATGGCGAAAGATGGCAGTGGCCGTATCCGAGATATTCTGGTTTCACTTTTGTAAAGTGGGAGGAAGTGGAGACATAATGTCCTTCTTTTATATGTCAATAGTTTTCTACTAATTCAGTTTGTGGACATTAAAATGAGTGCAGTGTGTCTTTTTAACAGAGCTTTAGCTTGGGATTTATGTTTATGTTTTAATGTTGATGTCTTCAAAGACCCCCTCCAGTCAAACTCTGCACATAAATCATTCTGCACAGTGTAGATCAAACATCACACTGTAGGGACAAGAAGAAAAACATATTTTTGAGCGGGGGAAGGCTTTAAGGTGAACTAAGGTCTCCTTTCATGATTCAGTAGCATCTGTATGTACATGTGTGACACAGGACCGTGAGCGGGTGATGCCACTGATGATTCGGGGGTTTCGGGACGCAGCAGAGGAAGGGGGGACTTCTGTGACAGGTGGCCAGACGGTGATCAACCCCTGGATCATCGTAGGAGGAGTAGCGTCAGTCGTCTGCCAGCCTAATGAGTTCATTATGTGAGTCCGTTAAAGCTGCTGCTGTGGCTCTGCCTCTGTGCTTCATTGTGGATTAGATCATATTCATGGTATCAGTCAAGCTTGATTTAAATTGCTCCTTTCAGATAAAATGCTATTTAAAGAGACTGACAAACAGCTTTTTGATTGAGGGATGCAGGAAGTACACAACTCAACTACATACAGAACATGGCTGTAGAGTTTATACATTCTTTAAAGTGAAAATGTTACAGATGATAGATTTAAGATTCAAAATTGAAATACTACACAAAATAAATTATGATAATAATGGTCAACAGTAAAATGTGGATAATATTCTCTTATACACTCTAAATCTTTTAAAGTTTTTTTCAAATTATTTTGTGTATTTAAAGTCATATTTTTTCAAATTTCAGTATTAATTTTAGAATGTGCTGCCAGTAGGGGGTGTATAGAAATAATTAGGTTTGTTAATATTAGGCTGATGACAGCTGTCACAGCCTCAACATAAACCTCAACAACAGCTCTGGTGGCTGTAAGTTCCCTTTTCACTGCAGTCATTTTGACATCTTGTACCACAAAATCCAACACTTATAACGTGTGCAAATGACACAAACTGGAGCTGAGGCATTCTCAGTCTTATTAGTTCCACCTATGCTTTTCTGCTATGACAGATCAAAATGCCTGCTGGACAAACCAGTATATGACACTGCCCAAGACACTGTTTTATTCTGTGTCTCTGACACCAGTATGTGAAGTTTAATGTTGATGTCATGATCACATTGCTCTTTTTTTTTTCTTCTGTCAAACGGTAGTGTATTTGCCCTGTGGACATATTTCATGTCAGTACAATGTTGCATAAATCATTTGAATTGTTATAAGGAAGCTCTTAAAATTTGCATACCATTGCTGTTCATGTATTTCCGTCTGTGCTTCAAATAGGCAAAGAGAAACTGCACTGTTTTCAGCTTTTTAATAATGCATTTTTATGATTTTTGAACCTGTATTTTATTTTTTGTTTTGCTATCTGTAGTACAGTACAATTTGAATACATACTCACATTTTAACACATTTTCCCTGTCCAATTTCCATCTGCATTTACATTAGAGGTGGCCGATATATATCGTTTGCGATAATATCGTCATTGTTGTTTTGACGATGTGCAAATTTCCATTATCGAGTGTTTAAATGACTTCGGCAAAAATATTGGAACGCATGCGGAAACTCCTCACATCCACTTAATACACGGTGCAGAAACGCTCTCTACAGCATGGCAGGATTCAGTCACACGACTAGTGGGCCTCTCGCTAGCATCCTCCTTGTAACAGTTTAGCAGCGCGTTGTGATGGTAGAGAGAAAATGCAAGCACCTCCAGTCCCTGAAGCTACCGGTACTTCAGATGATTTAGTGCCGAGACATGGGTCTACCTCTCTGGCATGGAAATGGTTTGGTTTCGAAAATACTTTTTTAGTGCAGCGCTCAGAGCGCTTCAAGTTGAAATCTGTTCAACTTTTAACACCGCTGGGCGCTCAGAAAATGAGTTTTTGAGCTCTCAGCGCTAAAAACGCGTTGGGTGGACACAAGCCCTAACTCAGACAATTCCAATCACATTTTAAAGGATATCGACTGATTATCGTTATCGCCAAAATCCCCCAAAATAACGAGATATTATATTTTGCCCATATCGCCCCCCTAATTTACATTAATCCCAGCCACATAGGACAAAACCAAATGCATAACTAACTCAAAGAACCCTCAAAAGTCCTAAAAAGAATTGAATCAACTACTTTTTGAGTGCATATGTAATTTGCTCCATCTTAATAGTGTGTGTGTGTGTGTGTGTGTGTGTGTGTGTGTGTGTGTGTGTGTGTGTGTGTGTGTGTGTGTGTGTGTGTGTGTGTGTGTGTGTGTGTGTGTGTGTGTGTGTGTGTGTGTGTGTGTGTGTGTGTGTGTGTTGGGGTTTTTCCAGGCCGGATGGTGCTGTGCCAGGCGACGTCTTGGTTCTGACTAAGCCTCTGGGCACGCAGGTGGCTGTGAACGCTCACCAGTGGCTTGATCAGGTCAGTGATTCCTCTCAGCATTATGTGGAGTGTTGTCATTACATTGACCCATCTTAAGTCCCGCCCCTTTGGGAACCCTGGTCAACTTCCTCCTTTCCTGTACTTAAATGTACTAGGCTCATCTATGTTGAGAAGACAACCACATTTTGAAAAGGGGGTGGGGCTTAGGAAGGGTCAATTGACATATTTGTGAACTCACACTTCTTCCTGTCTGTTTTTATATCTCACCAGCCTGAAAGGTGGAACAAGATCAAGCTAGTTGTCACCAAAGAGGACGTTAAAGAGGCCTATCAGGAAGCCATGTTCTCCATGGCAACGCTAAACCGCACAGGTACACTACACTTTGGACATTGTGGCCTGATGTTCTGCAGTCTGATCAAGGAAATGTATTTACTGTTTGATTCATACAGCTGAGACCTTTTTTCACTGGCTGTGTCTGATCTGAACGTGCATTGGCCTGGGTCTACTTTCAAGATGGTTTGGTCCAGTAGAGGTCTTTCTGTGACTTTTTCTTGTCATTAAAGCTGCAGTTATAAGTTTTTGTCATTTTTGCTGAACCCAGGTCATCAAATACAGATTCTGAAAATGACACTCAACAATCAACTAGCTTTTTTGGCTCTGATTGGTTGTTTTCATTCAGGCCCGGTGGATTCTTGTAAATACCATTAGGAGCACTAGGAGGAGCCAGAGGAGCCTGATTGTTTCATTATCTGTCTCATGTTCTACTGTCAGGATATAGTGAAAGTTTCATATGACAGTTATTTTTATAAATATTACCTACTGCAGCTTTAATGACTAACGATGATAGCCAACCTTAATAAAACACTACCTAATCAGTCCTTCCAGAAAAATGCAGATTTTTTTGTGATTGTTGTGGACAAAAATCCTTGATTATGCGGCACGTTTTCTTAAAAAATGAGATGGAATATGTGGGATATTTATGCAATTTTATGCGATGAAATTGCAGGAACTTGCAAAAATTGTGGTTTGATGAAAAAGAGAAAAGTGATTCCCCCAACACCCTGTTCTCACTAGACTACTACCTTAATGTAAAGAGTCATTTCTTATTACTTCGTATGATAAACATACTACATCACAGAAAGTGCTGGGAATATTTAAGTTCTCATCTTGTTTTATTTCAGACCTTAATAAACACATAGCTCAAACTTAGAAAACATTGATGAGTCAAACAAGTTCTGTAGCTTTATAAAAGGAATATGCTACAACTTCTGTAAAAATGAATAAATAAAATATAAAAAAATTAAATGTGTGCTTCCTGTTTTCCAGAGGTAGCTATACCAAACAGACATCTTCTGTTAAACTAAGTGCTTCCAATGCACAAAGTGCAATCTCTTACTGTAATGTAAATTTACATACTACTAATATACTTAAAACTGTAAGGTTTTTGAAACTAGTATGATTTAACCCACTGGTAACAAAAAAATGCAATCTTAAAACTGTAAAGTTTTATCAACTCCTGAATGAAACTACAACAGTCCACTGTGAAAATGAAAACTATAACTGCGACGATGACGGTCACGTTGTGTAATTATGTCCCTTCAGAACGTTCCCATGGCAACAGGGGAAAATGGCTGCTCTTGAGTACATTTTTCAACTTTCTGTTAAGATATATGACTTTTCTGCAACGAAAATGAATGGATTATGAAATCATGCAAGCCCCGCATATTCATATATACGGAAATCGGCAATTTATGCGGCGAAAGTGTGGCGTATTTGAAAAAATACGGCCCGCATAAATATGCAGACTTTGGCTGATAATGCATTGAATTATGTGATCGCATAATCGCGTTTTTCTGGACGGACTGACTAATTAGCTAATGATTACGTTTCTGGAGTTGTTCCATTCGGACTCATTCATATGTATGTTTTTGTCTCCAGCGGCGGGCCTAATGCACAAGTTCCAGGCCCACGCCGCGACAGATGTGACAGGTTTCGGGTTGCTAGGTCACGCAAACAACCTGGCAGCACAGCAACGAAACGAGGTGGCCTTCGTCATCCACAACCTACCAATCATAGCCAAGATGGCTGCCATCAGTAAGGCCTGTGGAAACCTGTTCAACCTGGTTCAGGGCACTTCAGCAGAGACTTCTGGTATGAGAGTAACGTGCAATAAATGTTGTCTCGTCTGTATTTCTTTGAATGCAGCAACGTTAAATGATTATTTGAAAGTATATATTATTGTCATAACTGCCATCTATATGTACCCTGAAATCCCTCTTCCTCTCCTTTCCTTCAGGTGGGCTGCTGGTGTGTCTGCCCAGAGAGCAGGCGGCCAAGTTTTGCTCTGAGATGAAGAGCCAGAGCTCTGGAGCTGCAGGTCAGGGGGCGGCGGGCGGAGCGTGGATAATCGGAATTGTAGAGAAAGGCGACCGCCGCGCTCGCATCATTGACAAGCCCCGCATTATCGAGGTTCCCCCACGTGGGAGCCAGGCAGCAAATCAGGACAACAGCACCACCAGCCCCGCTCCCAGCCCCAATCTGTCATAGACACTGTGTGTGTGTGTGTGTGTGTGTGTGTGTGCGCGCGCGTCTGTCTGTGTGTGTGTGTGTTTATGCTGCTGTCCATCTCGTCTCTTTTCAGTCAAAATGCTGAGAGCACACAGACCAAAATGGCTGTCATCTTTTCCAGTGGGAGAGGGAATGGACAGCATACACTTTTATTTATCCGCCTTTGGAAAGGAGATGGAGAGCTGCTGAAACAAGGGGAAACAAATTTAAATTCAGGGTAGAATGCTGTCCTACCCCACCCCATCCTTTTTTATTTACATCTGCACTCCCTGCCTTTCCTCCCCTGCCCCCTCTCTTAATCCATACATTAAAGTGACTTTATATAATTTATCTGAATGTAAAGGTTTCTGGAAAGAATTAGTTTCAATTCTAAAGAGAAAACATTCCAAATCATTCTTGCCACTGAAAAAAAGTGTAAATGTGTGTGTGTGTGTGTGTGTGTGTGTGTGTTTGACTGTGGTGCGGAAGTGGAAACAGGTTTTTGTTGACTCTTTGATTTGAAAGTGGATGATGTTATTGTCGGTGAATGTATCATGTGGAAAAAATGGTTCATCAGTCCTGGCATCTGGCTCCACCCACACAGCCCATAGGAAGGCTTGAGCAGCTTCCTTTGGGCTGGCCGGGTGGCGGTCAGAATGTCCTTCTGTGTCAGCTTGACTGGCCGTCCAGCAACAAGTCCGTCCCACCCTTCCTTTTTATGAAGCTCTGCCTTTTAAACCCCAGCTAACGGGGGAAGGCGGAGTGGATGTTGGCCTTTGGATCGGGGTCGGACTGAGGTTGCTGGAGGTCTGAAGCTGTCTGTGTTTGTAGATTTCCTGATTTTTCACAATCAATAAAACCATCATCAACTGGCACTGAAATACTGTTTGAATGTTATGTGAGTACAATGTGCACAAATTTCATTTTGATGTTGCAGCGTGGGTAAAGATTTTGATCCCACTTTGGTAATAACATTAAGAACCAACCATGGTGAGACTTTTGCATGTTGCATCCCCAACATACAGTGTTCAATAGAAATAAAATGTTTAACACACGTGTAATAGGGATTAGCATTACATTGAATAATTTGAGTGATATATGTGCAAAAATACCAACCATAGGTCAAAACACTGCTAAATTTAGCTCAAGATATTCCCATTCTGTTCTTTGAAAGATGCAGAGGAATCCCTGCCCACTGCCACACCCAATCTGGAATCAATGAGAGCTTGCGTTGTGAAATGACATGAGTTCAGGTGTATCGTCTCCCATTCAGACTGGCTTTATTTTTGCACTTATTTTATTCATGGGGTGTGTGACAATATAAGTATTTTTATACAAGAATGCATTTTATTTATTGGAAAATAAAAACATTGCTGTGCTTTGTTCGGGGTATATCTAGGGTGGCCATTTCCTTCACATCAAAGAGGACACTTTGCATACACAGGGACAGCAAGCAGATATTTGTTTGGTATGATCCGGTTTTAAATTGTAATGTTTTTCCACCAGATTACATAAAGGTACATACACATACCACATAGCTAATAATAATATACAAGATACAGCTCATGACAACGTGGCCTTCCAATTCAGATTACATAGGTCTAATAACCATCATACAGAAACTGTTCTTAATGTTTTTATCTGGATAGATAAAGGGTAAAAAAAATACAGCACCTTCTGTTTCAGATGTATAGGCTTTGCCTAGACTTTGCCTATACATATGAGTATGAGCATTTTCAGAATTTCAGTCCAACAACCGACGTTAGCTCACCTTATGTTCTCTGTGGATGAGGGCTTGATTGACAGCCTGGTGGTAGCAACTGTGGTGATTGCTTGGCGAATCAACACATGGCTCATTTGAATATTAAAATTAGCCACGTGTTGATAGGTCAGAACAGGAAAATGTGACCAATGAAATGACTTATTTTGACACACATTTTTAGCCAATAAGTATGAAACTAACGAGGTAATGTGTCAAAAGGCGACCTTTTTAGTTATTTTCTCAAAAAGAGGACAAATGAGTGTCCAGGGCATTTAAAAGCCGGACTGTCCGGCCTAAAGCTGGACGAATGGCCACCCTAGGTATCTCGACAACTAAAGCACTTCTTCGCCCTTTCCTTCTGGCCTATTGAGCCAGTTGTGTTGTCTCTACCCCAGCCAGCAGAGGGCGGCGTATGAGTGAGTAGAGAAACTAAAAGCAGAAGAAGAAATGCGGAAATGTGCAGTGTGGAAACCATGGTGTAAACAAGCGATTCACTACAGTAGTGTCAAACGGTAATGTTTTTAAAAAGTAACACTTCTGTGTTAAGAATGGTGTATTGTAGCGAGTTGTATTTTAGACTAAGAAGGTTAAAGGGTGTGTATGTCCGTGAATAACAGTGTATTCTCTGGGCTGGGATGAATGTTGGTTGTTGTTGAGCTCTGTCGGACGGCCCTCGGCCCTCGGCCCTCGGTGGTCGCTTTCTGTCAGCAGGCTAATATTTTAATATTTACAGTCATGTACTTTAACGTCGTGGGGTTCTTTCTGCTGTGTCAGGGTGTGTCTGCGGCAACCATGCCTTATCTGGGCGGCGAGGACACGGTGAGGGAGCTGAGGAGGGCTTTGTCCAACCCCAACGTCCAGTCCGACCAGCTGCGCTACAGGAACACCATCCTCAAAGTCATCAGGTAGGAGACAGACAGACAGACAGACAGACAGACGGACAACCCCTGTACAGCCGTTCATCTGCATGGTCGGAATTAACATTACACCTGTAATCCGTCTAATGTAGTGTAAAGTGTTGTACCATTAAATCTATAATCTGTAACCTGTCCACATTAAAGTGTCTGTAAACTCTAGCTCTATGTTCTGTGGTTGAGTTGTGTTCTTCCATCATCCAACATAACACTCATTCTGTTCAGGGAACGCTCTGTAGAGTGTGATGATCAGAAGAGAATCAGAACAAGAACAAGATAAGGATAGTTTAGAAGATAACACTGTACAGCTCAGCATAGACGAGAAAACAACGCTACTACTTACTGTAGTTGGGCCTTAGCATCCCACACAGTGCTGTCTGTCAGTCTGTGAACCTCCTGAGCATTTGGGAGTTTTCTATTGTTTTACCATTATTTCTTTATTTAGAGAACCAGTGTTTTTTTACATGAAATAACAGATGGATGTTTATCAATTCCATATACTTTAAAAAGACCAAATGAAACTGGAACTGCTTTATTCAGTGTGTTTAGTGGTTTTAATTAGCGGGTCTGTTTGTTTTGGAGAGGAGGAGACCTCTGTGGATAACTGGACTGCTGGTAGAAACCTATGGAAAGTCTGGATCTTAAGTTATTAGAAGTTACATATTGTACATTTAAAGTTATAATGTTCTGGGTTTTTCTACTCACACAGAGCTCTCTCTCTCTCTCTCTCTCTCTCTCTCTCTCTCTCTCTCTCTCTCTCCCTCTCCCTCTCTCCCTGTCTCAGAGCCATGTCACAGGGTGTGGATGTGTCAGGCCTGTTCAGTGACATGGTAAAAGCGTGCGCCACAGTAGACATAGTCCAGAAGAAACTGGTCTATGTCTTCCTGTGTTCCTATGCCGCTTTAAACCCAGAGCTGTCTCTGCTAGTCATCAACACTCTGAGAAAAGATTGTCAGGATCCGAACCCCATGGTCCGCAGCCTGGCCCTGAGGAATATGACCAACCTCAGGTGAGGAGCTACACCCCAGTACAAGTGGTCACTCAGCCTGTGACTGCAGGAATAATGAGGGAGGTTATTGACTGTGTGTGTGTGTGTGTGTGTGTGTGTGTGTGTGTCCGTGTCCGTGTGTCCCAGGTTACCTAGTCTGATGGAGTATGTGGAGCAGCCCCTGACAGCAGGACTGAGGGACAGAGCAGCATGTGTACGACGAGTGGCTGTGCTCGGCTGGGCCAAACTACACAATCTCCAACCCAACTCTGAGATCGGTAGGGTGGATGGACGTCTTTCTTCTTCCTGCTTTTCTTCCTCTGCAGCTCCGTGACAGCTCTGGAGTTCTGACAACCTTACCTGCTTGTACGGTGGACAAGGGAGAGAGTCTAGAAGTGTAAAATCTCCAGCTTTATTTGTAGTACTGATACAACCTTTGATAAGACACATTTACACTTGTGGTCTTCCTCAGGATCATCAGACAATGCATGTGTATAGACTTTTTGTACAGACAGCTGCTAGAGTGGTGTCATCGTGAGATGCATGTGCAGGCTGGGGTTTTGAAAACAGATGAGAATGACTGACAGTATGATTAAATCTATATAAGGAACTGTATTTGTACATTGTACATTGTATTGGTTCTCACACTGTGGCACATGTACCACTGGTGGTACTTGAGCTCCCTCTAGTGTTTATGCATTTCCTGTAGTATAAAGCTTCAATATCAGCCTGCGACATAGTCACGTTCATGCACATAGCACACGCGTACACCTATGATCAGTTAGGAGCTGAACTGTGATGGTAAGATAGTGAGCGGCGGTCAGATGAATGGTTCAAAACACTGCAGTCGTTACTATTTGGAAGAGAAGTGTGGACGGAAGGACCCCTCTTCCACCAGAGTGGTTCTTGAACACTTACAGTAGTGTCATGTTTTTATGACATATATATATGTCATAAAACAAACATGTATATGTTTAAGTAACATCTTTTTTTTGTCACTACTTCATCTGATGAAATGGGAACAAGAATGAGCCCACATCAAGAAAAAGTACTGTCTACTGTGAGTCCAACATTGTTATGAGAGTGTAATGTTAAAGCAGTGGATTGTATGGAAGAATGGATCTGCTGCAGTGCCTCCTCTTCCAAAATCTCTACTCCTGATTCTTCTTGCCACAAACATTTCAAATGTTGCATAGTAGTTGTACATGATAGCTGAGACGGTCTTGCATATATAATTTCCCTTGCCACTAGATGTCGCACAAGAGCACCAGCATCTTAGACAAAAACAATGGCCGCCACAGCCGACCAGACTCCACTGACAAAATCTAGATAGAAGTGTGACAATCGTAAAACACACTTACAACTGAATCAAAACGAAATAAAACAAATAACTCACCAGAGTCTTTCACACAATCACGAACATTTCACCAACTGTTTGGTTGAAATAAACCCTTAATTCAAAGAGTATGATAAGAAAATAGTTTCAACGGGCTGCTATGTAACATTAGCTAATCCTTGGTGACAAAGTACGTCCACTAAAAGTTGTTGTTTATGTCATACATAAAACTCACCGAAACAGTTAGTGAGCCAGACTTGTAAAGAAAGAAAAGCACAGATAGCAGCACAGGCAAAGGGAGAGTGACATCTGTGACATCGTCACAAAATAGTTGTTTGCTGCTGTATTAATGGTTTAGATCTCCTAAATGCAACCTTTCAAAACATTAAGTCCATTGGTGTTTGTTCTGGAGCTTGAGGATACAACACATTATTTAGTTAACAAAGCTTCACACTTGCAAATATCTTTTCTTTGATATTTTCTTTATAACTGTTCGTAAAAGGGAAACACTCTGAACAGATGCATGCAATTTAAATATTTTTTCTCAGACATCAAGTACTATTATTAAACTGTGGTGCCAAAGAATATTCTGCCATTGTTCATGATTCTTCCAGATGCTGCAGTGGTGAACGAGCTGTACAGCCTGCTGAGGGACCCGGACCCCGTGGTGATGGTAAACTGCCTCCGGGCTCTGGAGGAAATCCTGAAGGAGGAGGGAGGAATTGCCATTAATAAACCTATCACCCATCACCTCCTCAACAGGTTAGTTCAGAACATCAGAGAAGCATGTCACGAAATGAAAAAAAACAGGAACAAAAACAGGGAATTCTATTTATGTGATTTGAAGCGTTAGGGTCGGACCCAAGTGTGAACTCACCCATTGGTGACATCACGACTTAAAAGCACAAGACAAAAAAAGCCTCTTGGACCCATGTCCCAAACCCAACAGGAAGTTGGTTTTGTGGTAATTTTGCACTGACACATGCAGGGCCTGATCATTGCTTCTTGCAGCTTTAATCATAATTGTATTTTAGCCTTTGCTGTGGCTAGATTAATGTTCTGGTTAAAGGAAAACTGTAGTCCCTCCTGCATTGGCTTTACTTTTTAGACCCCAAAGCTCTGTCCATTATATATACTGTCAATTACGGATGTCCTCATTACGTTTTTTGCCCCTGATCCAAGTCATATAATATTGAGTATCTGCCAAAAAAGAAGTACTTGATGTTATTCTAGAAATGAAATACTCCACTTCAGGGTAGATGAAATAAGGTCTAGTCTTATAAAGAGGGTAGTTTTCTCTGTTGTTGAGCCCCTCACCCATGTTTTAGCAAGAGTTGTGTCAAGTGATCTTAAAGTAGCTAAAGTCATACCACTCTTCAAATCAGGCGATTCCAGCATATTAACTAATTATCATCCTATATCTGGCTTACCCTGTTCTTCTGAAGTTCTTGAGAAACTAGTATGTTCAAAAAGCAAAAAACATTTGGATGTGAACAACATAGTGTCTTGTATGCCTTGTTATGTTCTGTTATTTGCTGATGATACATGTCTTATTGCGTCACATGAAAATTTTAGCACACTGATTCGAAAAGCGAATGAATGAATGAAGAGCTATCAATAATTTCTAAATGGTTTCAGATGAACAAACTCTCTATAAACATATATAAATCACATTTTATGACATTTTGTAACAAAAATAAAAAACTTACAAAAGCAACAGCCAATATATTCATTGACAACGCTTAATTAATTCAGGTTTCTCACATACCATTCTTAGGACTCTTAGTAGACATTTTTGGATAAGTTATGCTAAAAGATGCAACTCATCTTCTCCTTTCTTCTGAAAATACACACTTCCATTTATATTTAATGTGACCATGTATCACACTTGTTTGTTCATATACAAACTTAGGATGTATTCCTAAGTCATGACACAGCACCTTCCAGAATTTCTTTAAATTTTCCTCACACATTCACTCATATTCAACAAGACAGTCTAAGGACTTCTGTCTTCCATATTATCAGACATCCCTTAATCAGTATTCACTGAAATACAGAGGACAATCTCTTTGGAACCATCTCCCTCTATCACTACAGTCAATATCTACCTCATCCCTATTTAAAAAAAACATCTCTAAAGGTCTTTATTTAACAAAGATTCATAATACTTCTTGGATTTCTGTATTTTATATATATATATATATATATATATATATTATTATTATTATTATTATAAAATAATTCTAAATTTCTATATGTATTGTATTTCAGCTGCTCAAATGATCTATTCCAATTTCATCTATCTGTTTTTCTGTTTTTAAACTATGATTATATTTATTAAGGGGAGGAGGAAAAAAAACACTTAGTTTAACTCAGTTAAATTAAAATCAAAAACAGCTGTGTGACTGAAGTAAAACATTGGAAAACTCAGTATAGCTGATCAGTTCAGTCAGTGGTTGGACCCCATTGAGTTTTTGATAAATATTTAAAGATGATGTTGTAGGGGGACTAAATCCTGGATTTGAGTGGTCGCATGCTGTATTTATAGAAGCAGAATGCTTCTTCCTCCTCATCTTTTTGTATTCATCTCACATCTAACCAGAGCCTTATTCTGCACTTACTGAGCCTTAGACTGTCTGTTTGTAACCACCAACCATTTATATTTTGAATAAAATCAGCATAGTCAAATTGCTTCCCATATATCTCTCTACAAACCAGTTTAACCAGGAAACCGATACAGGCAGGGAGAGTTTTTCGAAGCTTCACATCGAATCATTCAGAGTTAGAAACTGCAGGCAGGCCTTTTCCTCTGGGATATTTTGTCTCCAGCATGCCCAGAAGAACTGCTTTCTTTTTTTAATGTAATGGTCTTTTTATTGGTGAAAATACTGGCAGAGCACAATTGTTCTGTATTTAACATTTCCCAACAATACTGATCAAAACAAGATGCAAGTAACACAACAGGAGGCAAAAAAGAGAAAAATCTAAACACTCCTTTAAAATAACGATGACAGAACACAAAGATCGATACAACCCCAACCCCACCAAACCCCTGTATCTGGTTTTTGCACAAAGTATTAAACCAATCCTGAAGTATGCAGCTAGGTGATGCCAGGCTTAAGTAGATGGATTAATGCACATCAAGGCTTGAAGATAGTTGATTGTTCATTGTAATTCCCAGGGTGCCGAAAGCATCTGTGTTTGATGCTCTGGGAATAAGACTCACAATAAACTTCTCATCTTTCTTCTTCTTGGTTGTTTTTCGTTCAGGCTGCTAGCGTGGCTCAGTATGTACCTAAAATAGCCTATAAAGTCCTCAAACAGTGCTCAAAGACACTTCAGCAGTGTTTTGAGTTTGAAGTCTACAAGCCTCTGCGTCTGTCCTCCCAGGTTGAAGGAGTCCGATGTTTGGGGTCAGTGTGAGGTGCTCAGGATCCTCCAGCGCTACCGGCCTCAGTCAGAGGACGAGCTCTTCGACATCCTGTCCCTGCTCGATGCCTCCCTAGTCAGCCCCCACCCCCAAGTCATGGCTGCTACCCTCAGCCTGTTCCTCAGCCTCTGCTCAGGCCTGCCTGCTGTCAGTCTGGCGGCCCTAGAGCGAGTACGTGGACCCCTGCTGGCCGCCTGTGGGAGTGTGTCCAGAGAGCTGAGGTTCACTGCCCTCTGCCACATACAGGTCAGTGTGAAAAATTCAAATTTGGAGGTAGAGAGTCAATGGTAACTGGACCTGTACTTGTATAGCCTTTATATATAGGCCTTTCGAGTCTTTTTTTACACCACAGACAGATACAGACAGGATCACACGTGCAGTTACTTAAAGGTCCAGTGTGTAACAATCGGGAGGATCTGTTTCTAGAAATGGAATATAATATTTTGTGTGTAATCTTTTATGTTTTACTTTTTATAGTTGTATAATCACCAGAAAATAAGAATCATTGTTTTTTTGTTACTTTAGAATGAGCTGTTTGTATCTACAGAGGGAGCAGGTCCTCTTCTACGGAGTCCGCCATGTTAAACTGCCATGTGGGTGCACCTTTAATTTTAACCGTTCCTACAGTGACTTCCTGTTCTCCATAGTTTATGGAAAGCAGGGGAAACAAGATGGAGAAATACTGGCAGGAAGTATTTTAGTTAATTAACAGGGCCATCACTTACATGTGCCCATCCCTTTTTAGAGTTTTGAAATCTACTGATTATATCTTTGTATCTGTATATATATTTGACAAGCCAGTTGTGTGTGTGAACCTTTTATTTTTAAAGGTCCTGCATGCAGCCTGTGGGAATGTTAGCACCTGAAACACAGTTTTATCCTAAAGACTTTGTATTCCTGTTTTTTTAAGGACATTTATTTATTATTATACAACAAAATGAATGCTTGGATTTCCTTCATGCTCCACACAGAAAAAGGCCCCGGCTCTTCTTGCTGCATGTTGGAGTGTCCTTGAGCAAGACGCTGAACCCCAAACTGCTCCTGACCCTGTGCATCGGTGTATGAGTGTGTGTGAATGATTAGTTTCCGTTCTGGTGAGCAGTTGGCACCTCGCAGCCCCTGCCATCAGTGTATGAATGTGTGTGAATGGGGTGAGTGTGGCATGTAGTGTACAGAGTGGTCTAAAGACTAGAAAGGCGCTATAGAGTATAAGTACCATTTACCTGGATTCAGATTGTCTGCTAGGTGTCCATTAATACCTGATGTTGGACACCTACTAAGTAGTTCCAGGGAAACTGTCAACGTTTTAAATCAATGCGCTGAAATAAATTGATAAAGTGTAGTCCTTCAGTAGCTCATCCTCTGAACACCACAAGATGGCGACTGTAACAGACAAGCCCCTACACTGCCCCTCTGAACTAACTCATACTTTCTATAAGCAATTCTCCTGCATTCCATCCGCCATTCAGCTCGCTACTCGTGGCTCATAGCGGAGCCAAACATATTGCCAAGTGAAATCCAAGGTTTGACCTATTTACCAGAGTGGTAAATAACATTTCCATTGCATTAGAACTTTATGGGATGGTGATGATTCTTCTAGGTATCAGTTTGAGAAATGAAATGGTGTCTTTGTCTTCTTCTAGTTGCTGTTACGTTCTCTCCCTGGCCTGATGGGGGCACACTACAAGCGATTCTTCTGTGGCTATGCTGAGCCGGCCTACATCAAGCAAAGGAAGATGCAGGTGATGCATTTGAAATATGTTTTTATTGTGAGCTCTTTCATTTTTCTTTATTACTGTGTGCTTTTTCTACTCTCACTACAGCTGTGCTGCAGTTGGCTGTTGTCACAGCAGTCATTTTAAGATGAAATAGTAGGGTAAACACCAATGAAATTAAGGTTCTGTTCCATTCAGGTCAGACAGTCAGGGTGCTGCTATTGCGCATGTTGGCTCTGCTTCACTAAATGGAACCAAACCTTAATTAGTATCACTGGTGACACCTGTGTTACTGTTTCATGTGACAATGGTTGCTTTGAAAAAGGTCCATGAAGTTGTACTGTCCAACTGAAACTGGGGTTGAAATGAATGACGTCATAAACTGCCCTTTTTCCCCTGTACGTAGCTGCGTATTTCCATTTCGAATGCTTTCACACTTGGCCCCAGGGATTAAACGACAATTCTGGCGCAAAATGAACCTGGGGTTAATAACACATGTGTACCGAGTTGGTCCGTTCTCTGGGATATGTTTTCATGCTAATCGAACGTGACTGGTTTTAGCACAAACAGCTAATTACCTTATAACGCTAGACAACGGGGCACAGAGTAACGTGAAAAGAAATCGCTTTTTATACCACTAACAAGGCTCAAAATAGCACCACACTTACACGGTAGCATAATGAGGGCCCCTATGTATAAACCGAAGCATTGAGAACTTAAGTGTACAGACAGTTTATTAAAAAGATAGTTTAGAACAACAGTAGCGTTCACGTATACAGGTGGGCGTTATCTTGGTAAAACAGTCACATGACCAGTCGAATTTGCTCAATATATCAGAAATAATCGCACGATGTAAAACACAACTTGTCTAGTGTACTTACTCAATGGATAACTGCCCATCTCGTCCCTCCGATATGGGTCGCCGCCTCCAATTTATTTTCGGGACATGGAAAAAAGTTGAAGTACAGCCCTGATGTCTTCAAATTCAGTTGAATAATCCGCCATCTCTTTAGTGTGTATCCTGTGGGAGCACTAGTCTCTGTTGCGTTCAGGGCTTCTCTTATGCACTCGGTGCTTTCTTCCGACAACAACGTTTCATGCGAGACTTCACATCTCAGAGAGTTCGACTGGAAGCGTGGTGCTATTTTGAGCCTTGTCAGTGGTATAAAAAGCGATTTCTTTTCTCGTTACTCTGTGCCCCATTGACTAGCGTTATAAGGTAATTAGCGGTTTGTGCTAAAACTGGTCTTGTTCGATTAGAATGAAAACATATCCCAGAGAACGGACCAACTCGGTACACATGTAATATTAACCCCTAGGTTCATTTTGCGCCGGAATTGTCCTTTAACTGATCCGATTAGGAAAATTACCTTGATGATGTAGAACTGGTTTGGCAGTGTAGAAGGTAGGCGCACACATGGTCTACTTACAAATGCATCCATATGCCACAGTTCTTTCATTTTAATTAATCCATTCACTCTCAGACTCAGGGGCCTTGCTTTATCTTTTCACAGCTGCAGGTACTTTTGAATCCATTTCAGCTGATTTATTTTCTCTTTTAACAAAAAAAAACAAAGAGGCAACATTGCTGAGTCTAACGTGAGGTCATGCAGGAAATATGCATGCTTGCTCAAGTATACTCTGTTCCTCTTTCCACTGCAGGTGATCATCTTCTTATTAACTATAGTACTGTGCTGTATCTACTGAGCTCATGTTTCATTTGCTCTGGCAGATGCGTTTGTTTTCCATTCAAACTGAATTCCACCCGTCTTGGATCTGGTCGGGTCAGTCACACCTGTTTATTTAATATGGGATGGGTTTTATGCAGTGATTGACTGAGGAGCGTAACCAGGTGTTCCAGATTTGAAAAGTCCCATCATTGTGCAGTCTGCAGGTCCGTCCAGTGCAACACAGCAGGCTCACAGCAAAACTCAGTCAGAACTAGGCAGTCCTGATCCAATGTCAGGGCTCCAGACTAACTTTTTGTATTGGTTGCACTGGTGCACCTAACTTTTTTTTTTTTAGGTGCACCAGCACAAAATGTCAATTGTGTCACCTTTAACGCCGTAAGGTCACCTTTTTATCGCTCTCCATAACTTTCATATAATGTGAATGATTTTTAAAGTTTCGTATCGAAACTTTAAAAAAACATAACATGTCTAAAAACACACGATTTGCCGTGACAAGTGTGTGTAGAGAAAGTGGCCCCTCCCCCAGCTGCATTTCAGCGGCAGGTAGTAGTAATCATTATTATTATCATTAATAATTATTTTACTTGAAATGTTTGAGTTTGAAATGTTCAATTTCAGCTCAGTGAAGCACTTTAAACACTTTATTTTTCTTTTTATATATAATTGTGCTTCAAATAAAGACAAGCATTTATTTACACCTTATTCTTGTTTAAAAATCATTCACATTATATGAAAGTTATGGAGAGCGATAAAAAGGTGACCTTACGGCGTTAAAGGCGACGCAATGGAAATCTTAACTTTTTTTTTTTTTAGGTGCACCAGCACAAAATGTAGGTGCACCCCAAAAAAAAAAAAAAAAAAAAAAAAAAAAGTTAGGTGCACCTGGCACCTGCCCACACTGCCAAAGGTACTAATACCTGGTTTAATGACCATGGTTTTACTTTGCTTGACTGGCCAGCAATCTCAACTGACCTGAACCCCATAGAGAATCTATGGGCTATTATCAAGAGGAAGATGAGAGACACCAGACCGAACAATGCAGACGAGCTGAAGGCCAAAGGTGTATTAAAATATATTGGTCTTATGAAATATTCTAATTACTGAATACTGAATGTGTTTTGTTAGCTATAAGCCATAATCATCAAAATTAAAAGAAATAAAGGCTTGAAATATTTCACTCTGTGTGTAATGAATCTATAGAATATATGAGTTTCACTTTTTGAATTGAATTACTGAAATAAATTAACTTTGTCATGATATTCTAATTTATTGAGATGCACCTGTATATAGGCCTTCATAGTCTTTTTTTACACTACGTGCCACAAGAAAAAAAAAAGAACCCATCTATAGCCAGTGTTTGGTTTGTCCGTTCTATGTTCCTGCAGAAACATGGCGGTTCAACATAGTGGAGTCCAGGGAGGGTGACCAGTAGATAAAAACAGCGTATTCTAAGGTTACGAAAATATAACGATTCCTATATTCAGTTGATTATACACTAATGAAAACATACTTATGAATATTCTATTCCATTTCTGACAATAGATCCTCCTAAATGTTGTACAGTGGACCTTTTACTATGCAATTATATGACAGAGTTACTACCTAGTATTAGCAGTAACAGTCCAGTACTGTTGTGTTTGCAGGTGCTGGTGGAGCTGGTGAATGATGACAATGTCACAATGTTACTGGATGAGCTGAAAGGGTACTGCACTGATGTTAATACTGACACCGCCCAGGCTGCAATATCAGCTATAGGTAAACACACACACAATTACTCTATTATGTGGATGTATAATGCACAACCATGTACACACTGTGCCTGTATTACAAAACAAACAGCTGAGCTGCTCACAGTAACACAGCCTATACTCAAGAATATCTGTATCCTACTGTCTTGATTGTACATGTTATTCCCAAATATTAAACATCATAAACTCAGGCAGATTATGCTGCTATTATCAGTCAGACTATGTGTTTCTACGGTAATATCACCTGATCATCTGTTCACTCCAGATAGTGCTTGTCCATTTATTTCCTTTCAAACTCCACTTCACTGTTAGTGTAAATATCCTCATTATCCTCATCACACTTGTTGAACAGTAAATAGAAGAAGGAAAACATTCAGCACCATCCGTTTTGACACATTGTCTGGTATTTTGAATGTATTTTTTTAGGATTCTAAAAACATAAGGGTTTAAAGGCAAGATATGAATATATTACAGTCATACTCTCATTCATATCCTGTGTTATCCTGTGCGGACTGGCAGGTCGGATTGGGCGGAGCTACAGTGACAGATGTCTAGAGATCCTTACTGGGCTGCTCGCACTCAAACAGGAGCACATCACTTCTGGTAAAACATACACATTGCATACATAGTAGTCTGTCAGTATGCAGCTGTTAAAGTGACACAGAAGAACCATTTCATTTTAATCGTCATAGTCACCAGAACCTGCTTTTACATGTAATCTTTCTCCTCAAACAACTAAAGTTTCTCCCTCTCCCCCCACCCACACTCCTTAGCGGTAGTGCAGACAATGCGTGACCTGGTCTGGGTGTGTCCTCAGTGTAGCGACACTGTGTGTTTGGCTCTCGAAGGCTGCGAGGAGACGCTACAGGATAGTCAGGTCAGACCCCAGCTGCCACACCCACATACTGCCTGGATGTTAAAATGTCACCACCATACACATCCTTTACTTAAGTGAAATCACTAGTACCACAAGGTAAAAATACTCAATTAAAAGCCAGTCCTGCTGTCAGCAGCTTCCAAACACATCCATACTGACACTCATAAATAATATGCAAAATACTATAGGGTACTATGTAAAATATGAAACAAACAACAACAGTGGTGAAAGAAGAAGATCTTTTATTTAAGTGAAAATAGCAATACTAGAATGTAAATATACTCTGTTAGAGGTAAGTTTTAGTGAAGCAGAAGTACGTTTGCACCGTGGGTCTGAGAGGACTGAAATTTCATCTGTGCTGTATGTTGTGCATGTATTCATATTTGACAAATAAAGCTGACTTTGACTTTGAAGTACAAAAGTATTAGCATCAGGGGCATGGCTAAGAAGGACTTAACAATTTCAAAGGCATGTTGGCACGAAGGAGTCTACACAAAATCTACATTAGGACTGAGCAAACTGGTCAGAAGATGGACAACAGTGGAACTCCTGTAGTAACCTGCCATGCCTAAGAAGCTACGAACGGCTCTTTAAGTAGAAGGAATGCGAAACTCTGCTATGGCGGGTACTTGGCCTCGACCGACCTGCCTTCTAAGTAGGTGATGGTGGTTTTTCCAAATTCATACTTGGCTAAGTTCTGCGCAAGAGACGCATGAGCAAGTCGATTGAGCACTTCTTCTGCAGATCTGCACGTGTTCCTCCCGCGGGGCATGGCTACGCTATTATATATAGTATTATATATATTATTAAATAAGGTGCTCTGCGCTTTACTGATCTGACGCGGTGTGATCCTATTGTGACATCACAAACAGGACTAGCTTTGGGTGGTTCTCTTGAAGAGCTTGTTTTTAACAGGTGCGTGACGCACACACTTCTTCGCGTCTTCCCGGAGTGCCAATGACACTTGGTTCTACCGTTTTAATGCGTCCCGAGTGTCGGGATGGTACGTGCTGGAAACACTAGGATGTACGTTTACACTTTCGAGGACCTGTGTCTTGATCAGTTTGGATTGTGTGGACAAACCAAAAGAAGAAATTAGTATTTACCATCATCTGCCAGTCGTTTCCCCGAAGCGGTTCCACTCGTTAAATAACAGCCGGCTTTAACAATTTGTTTCTCCACATCCGGAGCAGTGGGGCCACAGTGGGGCTGGAGTGATCATTGGATTTGGCTTGCCTGTGGGCTGGCAAACATGGCAACTGCGGCCCTACTTAGCAATATCCGTTTTTAACCCTGACCAAAAGAAGTGTCTGAGGATGATCTTTCTTTTTCCCATTGAGATCAAATTTTTATTTTACAAGAGAGACCTAGCCAAGGTGGAAGCCATACAAAATCATAATAAAAAAAAGTTTGAATAAGAGTGGGTTTGGCCAAAAATGGAATATGTCCAATTAGCACAAATTAACACAGGTGCATACAATTAACTTTTTTTTCTAAATCAATTCAACCTCCAAGCTTTCAATAACTTTGACTACATAGGAACTTTTAAGAGGTAACCTGGACAAGGCCCCATTTATGTTATGACCAAGATCATAAAGGGATAGGGAGGCAAAAAAAAATGATTTTGAAAGCAAAACCAGACTAGGGCTTGTCGTATACATCAGCAGTATATATCTGTTAATCCTGCTATACTTCTTCTGATTTTGACATTAATTGCAACAACTCAATTAAGATGTTTACATTCAAGCATGGCCTTAATATGGTTATAATGTAGTTATGTGTATGCATGTTTCTACCACTTTGTTGCTTCTTTGGCAGTTGTTTGTCTGACTCAGTCTGCAGCAATAGAAGAAGCATTCAGATGTTTACTTAAGTAAAAGCAGCACTATTTGTGTGTGTGTGTGTGTGTGTGTGTGTGTGTGTGTGTGTGTGTGTGTGTGTGTGTGTGTGTGTGTGTGTGTGTGTGTGTGTGTGTGTGTGTGTGTGTGTGTGTGTGTGTGTGTGTGTGTGTGTGTGTGTGTGTGTGTGTGTGTGTGTGTGGGTGCGTGTATATATATATATATATAAATACTCAATTAAAAGTAAAAGTCCTGCATTTAAAATGTTATTTCAGCAAAATGGTGACATGTGACTCTAGCTGTCAATAAAAAAAACATATTGATCTACCTAATTAACATGTTGAATGCAATTCCTTTTTTCAAAGCATTACACATACACAATACATTTATGTTTTATGCAGTCTTCTTTCGGTGCTGATCAAAATAACATGAAACCATCAGCATGACTGTGTCACACATGTCACCATGCTCGCTACAAGTGGTCAAAGACTCAGTGCACATCATTCTTGAGTAACTCAAAACATCTCAGTGGGTGTCCAGGGCCTATAAATTGAGTCTTAATCCTCTGCTCATTCTCCTCATCCTGCATTAGGGCAGGCAGGCCTTGCTGTGGTTGCTGGGTGTGTATGGCGAGCAAGTCTCCAGTGCCCCCTACACATTGGAGGTGTTCATCGATGGAGTTAGGAGCGAGGTCTCTCTGGGAGTCAAGATGGAGCTGCTGACGACCACCATGAGGCTGTTTTTGTGCCGGCCTGCCGAGACACAAGATATGCTTGGAAGACTGCTGCACTACTGCATAGGTGTGTGTGTGTGTGTGTGTGTGTGTCTGTGTGTCTGTGTGTCTGTGTGTCTGTGTGTCTGTGTCTGTGTCTGTGTCTGTCTGTCTGTCTGTGTCTGTCTGTCTGTCTGTCTGTCTGTAAAATGGAGGAAAAGAGATGACGTTATCAACACTTTTGTTTTTTCCAGAGGAGGAGCCGGACATGTGTGTACGTGACCAGGCACTTCTCTACTACCGCCTGTTGCATTGTGGGATTGAAGAAACACAAAAGGTCCTCCAGGGTCGAAGGTCAGACCCTTCCCTGGGTGTTCTGATTGGCCGCCCCTCGGAGCCCATCAGCCAGTGGGCATGCAGCTTTAACACTCTGGAGCCCCTGAGGCAGGGCACAGTAGAGACAGACTCAACCAGCAGAGGAAGCCCTGAACATGTGACCTTTGAGCCCAAGCCTAACACTGACCTCTCAGACACACTGAACTGTAGCCAAGTTGAGAAGGTTCCTTCAGGTGAGTGAACACAGTGAAAATATTTCCATAGTCTATCTTACACAGTGGCATGTCCTTCAGTGAGTGAAATGAATGAATGTGCTGTAGAGTATTTCTAAGAATGAATATTTGAATTAAGCGCTTTGGGATGTCCTGCAAAATGGCGGACCAGAACAACTTCCAGTTCAAGCGAGAATCGAGGAGCGAGGAAATGTCAAATAAGAGACTTGGAATGTAGCTATGGTTAGAGGACAGGACGCACACCTTTTCTGGCACGTATTCACACAGACACACACAAACCCCTTTTTTTAGCTTCGTTACCCTTTTCTTATCCTTTTAATAAATGCTTGTGTTTCTACATGCCTATTTAATTTTGAGTGGGTGATACCAACCTCTTCTATGCAGAATTCCAGATCCTTCCACTTAAACTATTAATGGTGATTTTGGTTATTATTATTATTATTATTATTATTATTATTATTAAATCTGATTTCTAAAATAATTGTTTGGTGTATATTATAAGACTGAATCAATCAATCAATTATTGGCTATTGTTTCCCTTATTTAAGGGTGGTGCCCAGAGGAACTTCAACATATAATACTAATAATAATAATAATAATACTAATAATAATAATAATAAATCATATCTTTTATCTTTTGATAATTAATCAACCTTAATAGCCAAAATTAATTGATTGCACAAAGATAGTTTGGTGCCCTTTTAAACCAGTATTGCACCAACAAATGGTACCGCTGTTAATATCATAACACCTACAGCACACACGTCAATTGTTCCGTACTGAGTGAGCATAAAAGTCTCAGTGTCTGGCCAAGCAGAAAGCTCAATTAAGACGTAATGTGAGTTAACAAACATTCAAGATTATTACAAAACAGTGTTTCAGCCCTGCTTAAAGCTGGTTGCTGTTTTTAAGGGATCACGGTACCAGAAAGTTAGTGGTCAATACCAATACGAGTGAAATTCCATGATTCTCAATGTCTAATTAAATGATCAATACTTGTATTTGCCTTAATAATACAGCTGAATAGCTCTGCATTGCATTAGGGAAACATTTTCTCCTCTTTCTTTCTTTTACTTAATTAATTAATATTAATATATTCTATATTGTTTTATCCTAAGTAACTAATAAAAAAGTAATCAAACCCTCTGTAATCTTTTTTGCTCGTCACTGTCTAGAGGGAATTTTGGTCTCCCTTTAAAAGTGTCCGGCAGAGTTTGTTGCTTCAGTGCATCCTTTACCTGAGTTATCTAACTGAACTGGATTCTGCTGAATGTTTATTTTCTTCCTCTCTACTTCTTTTGTGCAGAGTACATTAATAGATTACTTGTATTTGTTTTTTGTTCGCAGGCCTTTAATTTTTTCTTTCAAATTTTTGACTTTGTACCGAATTATCGGTTCTTGTGACATCCCTAACTGTTACCGTAGCTGAATCTACTGATGTCAGTAGTTTAGCATCGCTCTCTCATGGGTTCAGCTATGCTTTACAGAAAATGATGGAGATTACGTTGCTTGTCTGGCCAGCTTTGAGTTTGTTTTTTTCCTTTTCCACATTAAATAGCAGTCCTTCTTATGCTGATGTATTTCTTGCCAATATTCTTTCATTAACAAGAGACTCTCCCTTTTGTAACCACAGCTGTGCCTTCACTAGTTTGTCTGAGATCCGCAGGACCCCTTTGACATAGCCACTGGCTGTGATCACAGCTCAAGAAAGCAGTCAGTTATGATTCTCTATATAACCATAGGTTGTTTGAGGATTATCACTCTGGATTTAGAGTGCATCATAGCACGGAGACAGCACTGGTGAAAGTTACTGCCAAACTTTTAATTGCATCAGACATTCAGACTAAGCCACACAACACTAACTTGATATTCCAGCTAGGAAGCACACAGGTACCTCACAGGAACAAACTACAAACAGCTGTGAAAGTGCTTCTACTGACTGTAAAAGCTCCAGTGCGGATACCTTATTCAGAGAGTCTGACAGCAGCTACTCACACAACTAAGAGTAAAAACAGTTTTTACTTAGTTGTGTTTGTGTGCTTGCACAACATTCGTTTGACATTATATATTTGCTTTGTTTCAGCTATGAGAAAGACACACCCACTGGTTGTTGCTAGTGGAGTTGCCTTTACAATGCAAATCCATGAACTTTGGGGGCAGAGCTTCTGAAGGAGCACTGAAGGGATGGATATATTTGTTTGACTGTTGAGTTCAAATATCTTATTCTCCAGAATCAGTAGTACTAGATAAAGTCTGTGAATACATACAATTTACATTTCTTGACAATTAATTGCAAAAAGTCAATTTAACTGATTTTTAAAATAAATTATAGTATTCTTTGGGCTGACAATTGTCCAAGTTCTCTGACCAGAGTTTATGATAGTCTATCACAGGCTGTCTGCCCTATATGCGCACTACGCATGCTGTGCAGGGCTCAGCAAATTTGCAAGGGCTCCGTCTCTCTCTCGTGTCAAAGCAAGTGTCAATGTTTACAACTTAGATGGGAGTCAGAAAACGAGTAAAAACACCATGAGGGTGAACTGTGGAACATGAGTCAGGTAAACTTGTGTTCTCTCCAAGTTTGATGTCAGTAAATAACAGTAACGTTAAGCAGCTCGCAGCGTCTGTCTGTCTGTCTGTCTCACTAACAGCTGGTAGTGCAGCTCTCTGTCTGTCTGTCTGTCTGAGCTCTTCTGTGACTGTTTCTGACAAAAGTGAGAAACTATTATGTTTGATAAACACTAACAGGTAAGTGTTTGGAAAAACTAACCATGCCACACATGCTGCATTCATATGCACGTGGAGGAAGTGAAACTCAAGCTTTCCAGCAGATAGTATATGTGTGCAATAGCACTTACCTTCTTGTCTGACTACCTTCTCTTTATTATAAGCAAAACCTAGTATAGCCCAGGTTGGGAAATCAGTTAATTGACTAAAGCTAAACTTCTGGCTTGAAAAAAGTATTAAAATGTATTATTAAGACGTAACACTCCTTTGAGAAGATGTGGAGAACTTTTTAAAATGTTGTTTGCACCGTCAAAGGTTTTGAGAATAAACGCATTTGTTTAAAGAAGCACTGCGATACTACTGAGAAGGTCAGAAATGTCTTTAAATGCATCCCTATGGATAAAGCTGTTGTGCTATTTTGGTCAAAGACTGAGAAAGCCTTTCTCCCCAAGGTCAAGGTCCATTTCTGGGAATGCAGTGTCATTTTTGATCACAATTCTCTTCCTCTGGCACTCATCCTAACTCTCTCCCTCCCACTTCAATCTCATCCTCCCTCTCTGTCTGCCTCCTTCCCTCTGTCCCCTATTCGCCTCCCTGTTGCTGGATCCTTATCCTCCCTCCTTTCCCATTCTCCCCTATCCTCTCCCCTGCGTCCTCCCCTTCTTTGCCTCTTTGTCCTCCAGGCTCAGTCAGCGCCAGTCGGTGCACGGATGCCTCAGCTGATGTCCCGGCTTCCAGCATCGCAGCCCCCCTCAGTTTGTCCCTCTCCCCAGCTCTCAGCCCAGAGGAGTTTGAGCGCCTGTGGCTGCAGCGACAGGTTTTGCATTCTGAGCAAGGTAATTAAATGGAAGGAGATTCTTTCAATGCTGCAAGCTTCCTCTTTGTGGGACAGGAATTGCGGTTGATTGACATTTTGTCTATCTGACATCAGTTTCTCTGACTTTGCTGTTGTTTCTAGGTGATGAGAAAATGGAGGAGGATTATATGTGCTTGGAAGAACAGATCCAGTTCCCCGCAATACCTCACTGTTCACCACAAAGCCTTCAGGCTGCGATGCAGCTGGTCAACATCCAGACTCTGGCCTTCACTCCACCGCACACACTCCCCTGGAGGGTCTACCTATACACACACACCCAGCATGCTGGCGATTCACCCCACATCACACTCATACTGGGGGAGCTGCTGTACACTGGAGAGGCAAATCAGAGAGCGGTATTAAAGAAAGGTGTGTGTGACAGAGAGTTGGCGGTGGAGGGAGGGGAGGAGGAGCAGGTGGAAGAGGAGGAGGAAGCCACAGCTGACGGGCAGAGAATTAGAGTGTCGATGAGAAAAGAAGGCGAAGAGGAGGAACTGAAAGTGACTCTTAAGCAGCAACCAAGAGATGACAAAGCTCTGAAGGGGTTTCTGTCCATCCTTACCACTGTACTGCACACACTGTCCTCAGAAAGAAAATAAATATACATTACATTGTACGGACTGCATATCCTTACACAGATGATTTGAAGTAGCCCTTGCAGGAGCGAAACCACACGTTAAACCTACACAGGGAGATTGCACAAAAGACAACATAGGAAGTCTATGTTTTCTTTTTCACTTACTTACACGCTGCAGTCTCTCTTTCAAAAAACGAAGCCTCTCAGCCTACTTGATGCATTGCCAACTATCCGACACATTAAAGATACATATTGAGTAACTACCAATGAGATACGATTCCCCCCTATTGCGATGCAGTGACACAATTTAATTCAACACAATGCGATGTGAAAGAACACAATGCTATGCAGTCTTTATGGTAACTATATTTTAATTTAATGTCTTCAGCAGCTTGCAATCGCATTTTAAACTTTTATGCCAGTGCACCAAAGCAAGTCAGTGAATCTTACCATTCCCACGTTGCACATTTTAAATTGTATCAGCTGAAATAATTGGCATCAGAGTGCAGTCTTTACAGGAGTGAAATGCAATTGAACAAGACCGCATTCAGCAAAGAAGTAACTTCTGAGGGGCTGTTCATCTGCTGTTTATTCACAGTTGAGCCATGTTGGGTAGATAAAGAATAGTTCAGGTCCGATAGGGTTAAAAAACAAACACATGCCCTGATGGAAGTAACCACCTTACTTGTTCACAGGATGCAGAGCTGTACAGGGATCCTGAAACTGAAAGGTATTATAGTCTTTTTTCATTTGTGTGCACCAGTCAGCTATTGTCAGGGGGAGCTAGGTTTGACAGATTGTTATGTACATTGGAGGCTGTAATGATAATAGCTTGCTGAAGGTTAATGCAAACACAAACTTGTGTCTCTGAAGCATAAAATGGTATTTCAGTGTAGTGTTACACAACTGGTTTGGTTTATTGCACGTTAAACATGATAGAAAAGGTATCATGCCATGAAGCTACAAGGGAAGAATCCACTGGGACACCTCTTGAAGAAATGGAGTAAGTAGCCAGTGATCTCATGGAAAATCCATCAGATGAACGTGATATCATGGGACGGCATATTGTAGCACATTTTAAGCTTTTCACACAAACGGCAGTCTCCTGGGTAAATGTGCTGTGATTGTTTGACCTATCCATTTACCCCAACTGTGGACTTTATTGCTCTTTGTACAAGGTCACCTGACATCTTTTTCTCTATCATGTGAAATGACATGCATCCTGCATAATATAAGGCAGTAGGGATTAAAGGACAGAAAATGACACAAGAAAAGCCAAAAATGTCTCATAATAACAACATGTGAAGTGACATTGGTGTGTTATTCATATGCCATTTTGGATACCAGGCTGATTAGATCAGTGGCAGAAGACTGAACCTGTGACGGGTCAGCCCTGCTGGATAAATAAGGGGGTAAAGAAAGAATAAAATATAATGTTGAAAAGTAGTTTTTGATTATGCTGTGGTTTTGAGGCTCCAACTGGTGGTTTGTTATCACAAGTTCAAGGAACTATAATGTAAACTACAGGAGAAACTACTGGAAGGAATAACTGGTTACACTTATTTTCTTTCAGCAGTGGCCAAACATGAAATTATTCTGAATATTAAGCTTTATTTTGTTGCTTTCATGTTTAAGTTAACTTTAAGAAAAACAAAAAATACCATTTGGTAAAGGAAACGTATTATTAGATAGTTTTTATAAGAGGTAGGTTATTCTTTAAATTATTCTCAGGTTTTCAAGACAGTCTTTCTATCTCATAGGTCTCTTTGGTGACTTTAGCCAGTTATGTACTGTAGGTGGGTCGGTCTGTAACCCCTGACAGTGCTACAGTCATTGTCAGGAGATATCTGTCATATCCTTTTATTCCTTCTGATAGGCCACCCAAAAAAAGTAACGCATGTTAAAGAAATCTGTCTCCAAAGAATATGCTGCATGCTTTTCCAAACACAACCCCAGAATAGTTGTCTCTCGAGGCAGGAGAATAGCCTCATCATCCCCGCATTTCCTCACCATTTAGGATCTGTTGTTGTTAGATATGTTATCATTTTATGAGTAGTAAAAGTTTCTTCTAACGTAATTCACGCCAACAGACAGTTACATTGCCAAGTCAAGTGTAAAATAGCCTATATGTGTATATACAGAGAAATACAATAAGAATAAGAATATAAACTAAAAGTTGACCTTTAGTTAAAAATACAAATAAGTGAGAACTCAAAATAATGATAGAGTTTTCAATATTTTGAGAATGTTTCTCATTATAATGACTTACACAATCTCTTTTTTTCGCGTCACATTGGCGGAAATGGGCTTCCATAGATAGGAGACTTCTTGAATTACAGATGTTTTACTGCACCTCTGTCTCATTGTTTTTCTTGCCTAGGGAGCAACATAAGTACAAACGGTCCCATCTTACCCGGCTCTCCCCCGGCTCTCCCCCCGCTCTCCCCCGGCTCTCCCCCGGCTCTCCCCCGGCTCTCCCCCGGCTCTCTCCCCGCTCTCTCCCCGCTCTCCCCCCGCTCTCTCCCCGCTCTCCCCAGGGATGTCAGTCCTCAGTGACAGTACGCCGGCTCATGAGAAGCCACGGCCACCTGGTGACACTCACGCCCTCACAGCGTGCAGCAGCGTGGAGGAAGAACCAGGAGGGGTATAAAGAGAGGAAGATGTACAGCGTTTACGGGAGAGTCGTTGTTTACTGTCTGCTGATGCCTTCTTTGATTCCCCGTGCCTTATAAGTGGACTCCACCGGTGTTAACAGTAAGTTACAGGAACGATATCTGACTCACAGCTGCTGCTCTGTAAGCACTGACTGCATTAGCCTCATACATTTGGCTAACTTTATTTATTTTTTCATTTCATTATGGTGGTGCTGGTGTTAGGGGAGACGGCCTCGGTTTATTTTCAACCCTTATATACTAACGATACCGCTAGCACGGCCGCTGTTCGGTGGTTATGCGTTAGTCAAACGTTATTAACTAACTAACTAGTCAGCTGGGTCCGCAGTGGAAAGTTAACAGTCGGAACTGAGCTTCAGTTGAACAAAAACCCGAGTAATATTACCCATTATTCCTTTTAAATAACCTTTACATACAGACTTTACTAACAGCCACCACGGAGTTAGTAACTTATTGAAACATTGTGCTCTCTTTATTCATTCTGAAGATATTCATTCATAAAAACTAAAAGCTAAACTCTTAAACACACACAGGCACACACGCACACACACACACACACACACACACACACACACACACACCTGTCCTGTCAATCATGGTTAGGTAACGCGGTATAATATCCACTCCTGTAAGCGGGGTGGCCATTGTTTTGATGTGGGGACATGAAGAAGCCCAGAGCAGCATTGATATGAAGTATAGGTGAGGGCTGTGTGGAATAGGGTCAGCAGTGGAGGCTCAGTGTACTTGTTGACAAAACCCAGGAAGTGTAGTTTGAAAATGTAACTGAGCCCCTACCGCTCTCCGGGGCTCACGTACACTAATGTGGAGTATGATGAAATCGAACCTGTGGGTTGTGTGTGGACAGAGGCCTGTCTTAATCTAAAGGTGACCTTCCATTCAGTTGCTCTTCTACGGTGTGTACAGCGGGGCGGCTGTGGCGCAGGAGGTTAACGGTTCGATTCACGGTTTCTCTCGCCACATGTCAGAAAAGTCCTTGAGCGAGACTCTGAACCCCAAAACAATGTGCTCAAATTGTATGTAAGTTAGTTTCTCTTTCTGATGAGCTGAGTGTTTGGAAGACAAGTGCTGTCCATTTACCATCTCCAGCACTTCCCCTTTCTCATTCACTGTAACCACCTGATTACTTTAATAATAAGAATAATATACTTTATTGTCCTTCACAGGAAATCTGTTACCGCAGTCTAACACATTTCCTGTGAAGGTCAATAAAGTCCTTAAATAAATACAGTGCAAACAGTGCAGTATAGCAATGGAAACAGGTAGTAATACTGAGAGAGAGACAGAGACAGAGAGAGAGAGGCAGCCTGCAGTGTAAAATGGCTGCTGTCGGTATACCTTTAAATTGTGAACATTATTTGACATCACAGTTATCCAGTTGTGTGTTTAAATCAGTAAAAAGAATTATTATAAACAATAATTTCTGTGTGTGCGAGAGATAGAGACATTTGGGGGCATCTACAGGCTGAAATGGAATATAGTACACACAGGGATGTTTTCATTAGAGCCCGACCGATGTGGGTTTCTGAGAAAAATGGCAGCCGATATAGAGAATTTCTGAACTGGAATGAAAATAGAACTTTTCTATGTGGATTGTGCGCTGATTTTGCACTGATATGACTCCTAACAAATAACCTTATTGAAGAATATTAAAATTAAATATTCTTTTACATGTAAAATAATTTAAAATTTCCATTGTCAACCTTTTCCAGTTGACATTGCACAATAAGGCTGTTATATACTCGTCGTTCCCAAGTCGCGCGACAATCTGACATCAAAATGACGTAGATCTCACTGGCGTGCCAGGATTTAGGCCAGGTCGCGCACCACTCTTTTTTTTTCAGCTGAGCGCACCAAAGCAGAAACAGGAAGATGGACGAGTTTGAGGGCAAGTTTTCTGAGCAAGTGCGCCTCTACAGGCATCTGTACGATCCTTCAGTGAAGGAACACAGAGGTGCCAGAAATCATGGCCAGAAATCGCCATGAATGTTGGAAAAGAGGAGGCCATATGCCGGAAAATTTGGAAGAGCCTCCGCAACGGATTTGGAAAATCAAAAAAGAGGTCGCCATTGTTTATCTTTCTCTTCTTCTTCTAGTGCGTAGAAATAGCAAAGTCGGTAGCCTTTCCTCAGTTGCGACACCTCTGTTCAGGAGAAGACTGCAACTAGTGGAGCGTCACATTGTCGCGCTACAGGTCGGGAACGGCGAGTATATAACAGCCTTTACTCTGTGCTGCTTGTCACAGTGTTGTAACTCACAGCGCACTCTGCTGGATAAACTTTGCACTGACACCAATGTATTACCAAGATTATTTTTTCTCCATTATATTCTGGAAAAAAAAACTTGTTTATATTAGACAACATAATATATCGTCTGACTGATTTATTGGTCAAGTTTACTTCATATCATAAATCATAATCACGATTGCATAAATGATTGCATAACTTGATGATTGCATAACTCAGTTCCATGTAATCCCCAAAATCTCAACTGAATGCTAGCATCACATTGTGTAATTGTGTAGACTTGTCTCCACTGAGTCAGTACAGGAAAGTTGAAACAGTAACTATTGTGTTACCACTGAACCAGGAGAGAAAATTAAACAATTGACTACAAGTCTGAACCATATAAAGGTATTATTGAAACTCGTTCTCAACTTATTGAATCAAGATTGTCTAATACCATTAGACTGAAGATCCTTTGCCACTGCATTACAGTTGATTTGTGGGATAATATATTATGAACAGCGCACACAGTAACAACATACAGCAACAGGCAGTGCACAATTAGGCAAACTAGGCCCTTCAACACACACACACAGTCCAGCCTGTTGCTGTGTCCGAGCCTTCTGAAACATTAATTAACCATTTGCTGAATTATTTACTAATGTGCTGACTGAGTAACACACCAGAACAATGGATGGATTATGTGTGTGTGTCCACCTGTATATCATAGGAAATGGGACATCTGATGAAGAAGAATGTTGTTTTGCTGTTGCTTCTTCTTATCTTGGGAATCTACTTCATTAGCCATTCTGCCCTCCTCACTCAGGTAAGTACACACACCAGCACATGCTCATTGTAACTGCTTATAGAAAAGTATACACCCATTACAAACAAACTTACCGGGATAGCTTTTATGAGAACTATACTTGCACTGCAAGCAGAGCAGGAAGTGCGAGGAGGGAATTTTATTAAAAGTTGGAATGTCGCCTTAGAAACAGGTTTTCAGTTTATTTCAGACTGCTGCAAAGCCCTATTGAAATGCAAGGAATTATTATTTTTCTGCCAAAAGGATTGCATTTTTGGATGGTATGAGAAATGTACACATTATATAGGTCCCACACATGGGTGTCGCAAAATGGCTTAACCAAGCCTCCCACAATCAGCCCCCAGTTATACATGATACATTTATTTTTGTATGAAAATTGCTATGTAAATGAATCATGATCAGACAAGCCAAAAAGGAAGTTGTCCTAACTTGTGTGTGTTTTGTTCAATCTCAATAAAACTTCACATGTTTAATAATAGTACCAACCTGAACACATCTACATGCCAATAGTCAGTCAGAGTCATAGCGCAACCTACTGGAAACAGGAAGTAAGGCTTTTGTGGCGATCATAATTAGATTTAGGTGAAATTTTCACGGTGTGGTCTTCATGTGATATGCTGGCACCTAACGTGACTGCCAGGGGCGGAGCTAGAGGGGTGGCCGAGGTAGCATTGGCCACCCCTGGAACCTGATTGGACACCCTAGGTGCCACCCCAGTTGATTGACAGGTCACTGCACGTCACGTCGAAAACAGCAAGAAGTCATTCATTAATTCTTATAATTCTCAGTTTTTATTTGCAGACCTTGTTTTTCTCCTCGTGTCTTTATTTGATCCTTGAGCTGAGTCTTGCGTCTAGTGTCCGTGATGTGAAGCCTTCTCTTTGTTTTGCCAAGACACAGACTTTTCCCACGGGTGTTTTTAATTTTCTGAATAAATGCCGGTGCGCCTGTTTAATTGGTGCGCCAGAAACTTCCCTCCAGCCACTTTCTGTCCGTCATAAAGCTTTTTTTCCTGAGTGATGAAGGCATGTTAACTAAGGTTAAATTATATCAGTGTCAGTGCCAGGTTAGCTCAGTCAGTAGAGTTGGCGATCCATGTACGGGGTTGCTGCAGTGGCCCGGGTTTGAGTCCGACCTGCTGGTCACCCCTTGTATAAAAGTCTAGTTCTGCCACTGGCGACCACAGCAAGCCCCAAAGTGCACTGACTGCGAGGGTCAGTCTGTCATCATCTAAAATAGTTGAAATGAACGAATATTTGCACAGCATTCATTTTCATTTTTTACTCAAAGAAAAAATCTTTTCTTTAAAGACGTATACGTTTTTCTTCCCAGCATTGATCCAATGGATCAGACAATTTGGAACCAGTTCTCAACTGGACCTGGAATGATGGGAGAGAGAGGGGGGTGACATGCAGCAGGGCCACAGGCGGTACATGGGGCGTGAGCTTCCAGGGCACAGCATATGTGCATATTCTAATTCTAATTAAATCTGTGTGTTTGTTTTGCAGGGCCCATCAAGGTCACATAAACTGATTCCAAATGAGTTAAGTTGGCAAGCAGAGAGGTTGGTCAATAAAGAAGCCTGGGTCGAACAGAGAGGTTACCTGCCTCTCAATGTGTCCTATCAGCTGCTTGCTGGAGCACCATCCACTCAACAAAGTGAGTGATACACTTTGACTGTCCTTTTTGTTATATTGAGCTCATAGCTGAACTGATGTAATGATTATTTCCAAGCTGGCACCTTGTCGCAGCAAGAGACCACTGAAAGCATACTGTGGCCCTGCATTGTAATGCACTTATAATATGAGCATGTGTCAAATAAAATCTTTAAATCTAATATCTGAATCCCTAACATGACTGTTTCTCTGTGCCTATCGTGACGTCATGCATTGGTTTATGGAGTTTCGTTTTGAAGCCTCAAGTTTGGCAGTATGGCCGTCGCCACAACGTCAACGGTCTGCTGCAACTCATTGTCATCCAGCAAAAGACAGGGCTGACTTTGCATTGCTAATTTTTGCATCCAAATTTTCATTTTCACAGAAAAAAAAAATGAAGATTAAAGTTGCAAGTGGCAATGATCTGGCCCTCGCACCTTGTACGCATTGGGGTGTGCTGTGGACGCGTCATACAGCAGCATCGTGTATGGACCACACCGTGAAAATATAAATCAGATGTAGGATTGCCAAACAATTGGGGGGGCTTCCTGTTGAATATTGGCATGTAGATGTGTTCAGGGTTGGAATCTTATCAAACATGGGAGGTTTGGTTGAGATTGGAAAAAATACACTAAAGTTATGACTTCTTGTTTCATGGTGATGCTTCGAAATTTGACGCCAAGCCACTTAATTTGAGGCCCAGTCACAAAGAACACAACTTTTAATCATGAAGGTCTTTAGATTGCCCTGACCAATTTGATCAGTTCCCTAGGAGGAGTTTGTTAAAATACAACGTGCAAAATCGCCAACTTCCTGTTGGGTTTGGGGTATGTGTCCTTGAGGGTTTTTGTTTTTCTGGTCATACATATTGGTTAAACGTACATCAAGGGCTGAGTTTGGGGGGCGCTGTCGAGCCATTTTGCCACACCCATGTGTGGGACCCATATAGTCAGTACATTTCCCCCACTGTTGAATTTTGTGCTGTGTTCAATGAGTTTTTGAGCATGTTGCGGCTTCCAAAAATGCGTTTATTTTGGCAGAAGAATAATAATTGCTTGCATTTCAGTATTGCGATTTTCATAGTATTTTAATTTATTGTGCAGCCCTAATTTTGGCACATTTCACAATTTGTATGGATAACATTAATTTGACAGATGCTTTTATCTTAAGGGACTTAGAATAAGTCATTCAACCTCTATAGGATAGTACATCCTAACCTTACTGCGCCATAGGGTTTGTTACACAGAACCATCTGGGAAGTCGTTGCTGGAAACTGTTGCTGGAAACTGGCCAGGTACTTTCACAAAATACATGGCAGGTGATTGGATGAACCATGTATCTATCACGGGTGTCAGATCAACGAACAGTATAACGTAGTCAAACTCAAACTCCAACCAAAGTCTTCAGTGCCGTTCTTTGTTCTGCTTTCACTGAAGAAATACTCTCCAGTTCTGATAGAACTGATGCTAGCAGCATCTATGCTAACCTCGTTAGCAGCTGCCATTGTAGTTTTGAGCAAACACTTCTCCACCAAGTGATAAAACTAAGAGAATGATTTGTGCTATTGCGAAAGTGCCTAGAATTTTTATTTGGTAGTAATAAACACATTTCCTTTTTCTGTCCTGACATGTTTCAGGGTATTTAACAGTTGGATTATCATCGGTGAAGAGGAACAAGGGCAGCTATTTAATCCCCACCTTGCAGTCGCTCTTCTCCCAGTCTTCTCCTGAAGAGCGTTATTCCATGGTGGTGGTAGTGCTGCTGGCAGACTTTGACGTCAGCTGGAGAATCATAACAGTAAGGGAGATCAAAACTGCATTTGCCTCTGAGCTGGAACAAGGCCAGCTGGTGGTGATACATGTTCCTCAGCAGTGGTACCCTCCTATTACAGGTGCAGTGCATGTTTGAGTCTACCACTGTACAGATTCATTTACATCCAACAAGTGTGCTCTGATACTGATATAAGTCTCTCTGGTTCTTCGGCAGGTCTAAAGAGGAACTACAATGACGCACCAGAAAGAGTAACGTTCCGGTCCAAGCAGAACCTGGATTACGCCTTTCTGATCCACTATAGTGCTGGTCTTAGTAGATACTACCTCCAGCTGGAGGACGACATCTCCTCTGCTAAGAACTTCCTTACAACAATCAAGAGGCGTGTTGAGGAACAAGAGGTGAAGAAGGCCACCTGGGCAATGCTGGAATTCTCCAACCTGGGCTACATAGGGAAACTCTACAAAGCAGCCCATATTCCTCTCCTGGCCCGCTTCCTCTTCCTCTTCTATCAGGAAATGCCCTGCGACTGGTTGATGTCTCACTTCCGAGTGCTGCTGACTCAGAAAGAGTTAATCCTCTTCAAACCCTCACTGTTCCAACACATGGGCACTTTCTCCTCGTTCAAAGGGACATACAACCATCTAAAGGACAAGGACTTTGAGGAGGGGTTCTACACCAATCCTTCAGCTGAGGTCTACTCTGATATGTCCAACTACCAGAAACACTTCCCCAAACTGGCCTGGGATGCAGGGGAGGGATTCTTCTGGGGACGCTCCCCAGAAAAGGGAAATTACCTGACTGTGGTGTTCAAAGACCCTGTAGTAGTGACAGGGATATTTGTAGAAACAGGGTCAGGGGGCAAAGACCTCCTGGAGTCAGCTCAGGTGGAGATAGGCCATGAAGTGGTTACTACCGAGAAAGTGGAGAAGAGTTGCAAAGAGTTCCAGTCAGTGGGGACCTTAGAGAATGGGAGGTTTGAAATGCAGGACATGGACAAAAAGTATAGCACTGCCTCTTCCTGTCTGAGGATACAAGTCACAGCTGGGCAGAAAGATTGGTTGATCATTAAGAAAATCAGGGTCTCAACAAAACTGAGTACACCTCCACATCAAGCAAAGGAGTAAACTCAGTCTCTCAGGATCTTTTGTGCTTTTTTAGGATTGTTGCGGTCTAAAATGCCTCATCTCACAGCAGCGTTACAAAACAAATAGCAATGCCTGTTGCAATGTTGTGAGAACTATTATTTTTGTATATTTTTTAAAAAATCGAAAGAATAAAACCACACTGTTTGGACAGGGTAAATGGGACACGTTTGTGCCCAGGAAACTACAATGCTTGGCCAAATTTACAAGGTTGCCCAGAATTCACAGGGATTGGTTGAATTTGCGTTAATTGCACTTTGTGGAGGGACTGTCAAATTGTTCTTCCTGCCAGATTAATCATTTCTCTTGGTTTGATCTGCTGGACCTTTATTAAAGGCTGAACATGTGACCTGTGTGCCTTGTTGAACAGTTTCTCTGATTGAAACAATAATCCAGTGCTTAAAGTTACTACAAGGAACTTTTATTTTGTGTTGATTTTGAAATCAACAAAAAGCGGTAGCGTTTCCGCTGCCCTGTGTCATAAAGATCTTTGTCATACAGATCTTTGTCTGCGTGTGCATTTTTGAAAATGGGTCAAAGAAAGAAAACTTATTTATGATACTATTTTTCATTTTTAAACAGCTGTTTGCAACATGCACAGCAATGAAGTAAGCCTAAAAGATGAATAACTAATATGTTGATATGTTGTTAAACAAAGTAAACTCCTAGATTCGGTTGCTCGGTCATAGTCATTTTGTTGAGAAAGCTAAAATGATCAAGATTTCCGTGTAATGTCATGTCTTCAAAATAAAAAGCTATCAGCACAGGAATTGGACCCGGTAAAAGGCATTAGAGGTTTTATATGTAACTTTCATGAAACTGTTAAATAGTGACACCAGTTGGTGTTAAGTGAACTGTAGTCAGCGTCCTGTTGCCCACACTTCGTCCACAGTCCGTAGGCGCGAGTGAGCATCTTCCTGGGCATCAGCCAAAAGTGATATACACCAGACTGAAAGCTGTAAAATAAATGACAATCCTATTTAGAATAATGTAAATATCTGCAATGTTCCCATATTTTATTTGGACCATTGACTCTACTACTACGCTACTAACTAGCTTGCTGTTTACAAATCACCTCAACAGCCAACCCCACGAAGCAACCAACCGCAGACCCACACCGTGCAGCCAACCACCGCTTATCTTAGGCTAACTTACAGCTCGTTGAATTCCCCTGCCGTGCATCACTTTTTAGTCGCTGGTAGCAATAGTTACCTTCGTACCGTTATTATTTATTGTTGGCTAAAATCAACACTGTTTGGCATAATACATAAGTTCATTGAAATCATGGATCATGTTAGCCGGGGAAGAAATTTTGCAAGCTAATGTTAGCCTACCAAAATATCCACTCAAATAGTATTTTGCTAGCGTTATCGTTAGCGAGCAAGCCAACCACGCTGAGTAACATTATTATTATTATTATTATTATTAACCGGGAGTCTGGATGAAGCTAGCTGACAGTATTTTGTTACATTGGCTAGACAGTCATTTGCTCGTGTTAGCTTTGAAGTAACAATAGCTATGACTTTTGACTTGTTGTGGTGTGGTTAGCGGACAAAATGTATAAGCTAATTTTAGCTGTCGCTTTGGATCCTTTGGATTTTCACAGAAATGCCTAACAATCAGTCCACATGCAACTGAGAAAGTTGGGGAAAGTCTAATTTTTTTATGTTACAAGCCCTTCCACACATTGGCAATAAAAAGTGATTCATAAATAAAAATCATTCCTATATAAGCTTCAGAATCTCATTTGCTTCTAATGCTCCTGTAGAGGCATCAGAATTACATTGAGACAGTTTAATAAAATCATTGTAGTAACTTTAATGAAACTGTGTGAAGCTACTGTCAATATGAAGAAAGAAGATATGAAGAATGTTTGATCATGCTCTGTGATAATTTGTGTCTCTTCAACATATTAAATAACAGTTTTGCAATAAGTTTAAATCAGCTACAGTATAACCAAACAACGTGTTATGTATTTTTTATGCACCTCAATAAATGCACTATGTATCAGACACACACAAGAGGTGGTTATTTGTGTTGTTCACTGTGTTTAAATGTTGAGGTAGAGGAGGGAATAATTAATGTGCTCATGAGTCATGGAGACAGGAGCCATTCTGTGTTGCAGAGGATTGTGCTGTGGTTTATTTGTCATAGTATGGAAGACGGGGGTTAGACTGTAAGACACAATGCCCTTAATCTGAAGAAACACGTTAGTCTGACCACACCTAGAGCCTTACAGTGTTCATGACTTTGTTCATGCCTTCACTTTGATTGTAAATTACAATATTATTACACACATATAATGGGAGCATGTATGGTTGTATGACAATTTACGTCAGAGGTCCAGTGTGTAACATTTAGGAGGAGCTATTGTCAGAAATGGAATATAATATTCATAGGTATGTTTTCATTTCTGAAAGTAAATGATAAATGGACCTGTACTTGTATAGTGTCTTTCTAGTCTTCCGACCACTCAAAGCGCTTTTACACTACGTACCACATTCACTCAGTGATGGCAAAGCCCATCAAACAGAAACTAACGCATTCACACACATTCACACACTGATGCACAGCATTTTGGGGAGCAATTCGGGGTTCAGTATCTTGCTCAAGGATACTTTGACGTGGGCGGAGGAGCCGGGGATCGAACCAATTCTGATTAGTGGACGACCCGCTCTTCCACTGCTAAGAAGCATTGTGTTTTTGTTACCTTAGAATGAGCTGTTTTTATCTACAGAGGGACAAGTCTTCTTCTGGCAGAGTCCGTCATGTTGAACCACCATGTTTCTACAGTAGCCCAGAACGGACAAACTAAACACTGACTGCCGATAGGGCCTTTCATGTTTTTCATGGGTTTTTACAGCCATCTCTTCTACGTACTTGGAAGGGGACTGGTATTCAGTTAGTTGCAATCTGCAACTTTACCTCTAGATCCTACACAAGTGGTTCCCAACCTTTTCCCCTTTTTTCATCATTTAGTAAACTGACGACTTAGTGACATATTTGCTATATATTTCATATTATATTCATAACTGATTTGGATTAATGAGCACATAGTTCCTGTTAAGAGAACTTTTTATACAACTCTGTCTGTATTATGATTTTTTAAATTAATAATTTTAATAAATAAGGCTTCTGTTTGATGCTTGGCCATAGTTCTATTGGACAATTTACTTAACAATTTACATTTACTTTTCTTCACAGAAATTAACGTAATATAAATATAGATAGGCTTGCTGTGTATATTTTACACCCCCCCCCATGAAGCTCTGGCAACCCCCAGGTTGGGAACCAGTTAGGTTGGGAACCACTGTCCCACACACTGGTCCTTTTGTAGTCTGTGTGTTCCTGGAGAAGCACGTTTACTTTTCCCATTTTTCATCAATGTGTTCTCCTGTATTTCTCAGATTCTTGTCTATATGTATATACTGCCCATCATGCTGTACAATGTTGGAAAGTCTCTCCAAGAATTTGAAAGGCCGCCAAATCAAACCACTGACAAACATATATCTATGGTCAACTTGTGTTTCCACAGAGGAGAGAACAACAGCTTATTCTTTTGCAATTTTTGTGCCTACGTGCCGGTAACAACTGTGGCATTATGTTTTTGGGTTGTCTCATTCTCGAACTCGATATCTCAGGAATGCCTTGAATGCCACTTGGACTCAAGGATAAACTGATTAGATTTTGGTGGTCAAAGGTCATGTGTTTTAGGCCATAACTCAAGGATTCACAAGTTAATTATGACAAAATGTCACACAGATGTTTAATAGGATAAAATTATGACATTTTATATCCAAAAGGTTAAAAGTCAACTTCACTGTGATAGCATAATGTTCTGCAAAAATCCTTATCTTTCCGTTAGGGCAGATTGTGGCCATATTTCACATTTGGTCAGATACTGCGTTTGTGTCCAACCTGATGACCTAGCAGCTCTTCCTTAACAGCTTGTGGAAAGTGCTAACCGGCAAACCTTGATGTCAGCACATCAGCGCGAAGAACAGAACACTGGCCCCTACAGACTGATCGAAGATCTGCCTGATGAACACAGTGAAGTATCCGGGTCTGTCCCTTCCTGAAGAGGGCTTCAGTGTAGTGAGTCTAGTCCAGTTTTTTATTGATTTGGACCACATGGTTAATTGACCCTCTTCACTTCCTCTCCCTGGATGGCAACCAGGACAGGAGGCCTCCTGTTTGCTGATATTGAGCTTCAGGTGATTGTTGTTGCACCAACTTTTATTTTTATTTTTTTATATTTATTTATAATTCCTTACAAGTATTCACTGCAGATATTATGAGTCTGGATAGGTATGGATGTAAACTGCACCTTGACTGGTTGGCAGAGGCAAACAAACGTGAGACAGTAATTCTTGTTAATGGCATCCTATCACTACTTTGTTGAGTTCACAGAACAATAAGTCACTTTCGTTTTGTATAATTCATTAAAAATCAAAGACAACTTGTGGGAATAAAATTAAGTATTGTTCCAAGTAACCTTAGCAAAAAAGGCTAATGAGGGTAAATGTGAGACGTTCGCATCACACATGTGTGCATGCTCTGCAGCTTCACAGCTACAAACAAGGATGTGAGTTTAGTGAAACTACAATGATTGGTCAAATTTGCAAAAAAGTTGCAGTGATTGGATAAAATTGCAAGGTAGCGCAGAATTCACAGGGATTGGTTGCGATTGTAACTTCTTGGGTTTGCCAAAAACAGTTAAAAGTGAGACCAGAAGTACAACTTTATACAAGTAATTATGAACTTTATTAATCCAATCGATAATCATCATTCATCTAAGACATTTCAATACCTAAATTTCAGATAATGAGCAATACACAATTTTCCCAGAACAGTCTCTCCAGGATTTTGTGGGTTTTTTTGGTATTGCCTTTAATGCCTGATTTCTCCAAAGCTTTTCTAAAAAAAAAATTGTGATGTTTTAGGCATTTTTTTGCAATTAAATTGTGAGAGAAAGTGAAACTTTTTTTCTATAATTCATTAAAAATGTAGGGCAACTTGTTCCAGTGAGAATAAAATATCACTGTAGGGAGTTCCATGTAACCGAGAAGGCTTCTTGAAAGGCTATCGTGTCCTCTTCACAACTAGAAGCAAGGAGGTGAGTTTGGTGACATGTGGCTCAATGTTTTGCAAAGGAAACTACAATGATTGGTCAAATTTGCAGAAAAGTTGCAGTGACTGGATACAATTGCAAGGTTGTGCAGAATTCACGTAAATTGGTTAAATTTGTGCTAATTGATCGCAACCTCCTGGAGGGGCTGCCAAGGGCAATTTTAAAAGCAAGACTGGAAAATACAACTTTTATACAAGAAACATTAAGTTCAATAGTCTGTCAAAATCACATTTAAGACATCTAAAGGCCTACATTTCAGATGATTGGATTTTAGACTTTTTAAGAACCTGCGGTCACTCCAAATAAACCACTCCGCAGGGACAAGAGAAAAAGTAACCACAAAAGAGGTAGAAAACACAGAGAAAGAGAGGAGGGAGGAGATGTGTGGCTATAGCCAGTGTAAAGTGGGTTTGGAAAAAGAAAAGCCTTCCAGTCAGTAGTCACAACAAACATCTATGACAAACAGGTATTTTAAGAAAACCTTTCTATATTTTTTTCACTGCTGACCATGATTAATGAGTTTGTAGTGGAAATTCTTCTCAAACGTGAGAGGTGCTAAGTCTCTGAAGAACTTTCAAGCCGGTGTGATAATCAAGTCACTTTAATTCATGCTGCATGGAGAGAAGGTCACGTCGTGGATGTTCTCTCTCGACTTCCAAAATGCTCTCCCTTATATACATTCCAGTACATCTCATTACATCACAAACAATAAAACCCCCTGTGTCTTGCAAATGTTACTCCTGTAACTCCAGGTCTCTCTCACCAAATGGTCCTTCCATCTGTGCCTTCCCCCTGGCTCTTCCTATCATAAAACTCAACCCTTTGACCAGGGGCACATCTATTTTATTACCCCCAAATCCTGTTTCTCTCCCACAAGTTAGTCTACCTCAGTACACTCAGCCATGCCACAATAAGTCAAAACTGGTACAGTTATTGGGTATTTATTTTTGTCTGGTTTTTTTTTCATCCACTAAGAACTCAATGAAGAAATTCACTGGTCTTGTTGTGCATCTCTGTGTGTTTGTTTGGTGGATGATGGTGCTCTTTGGCTGGCTACTTTCTCCGCCACATGGCTCACTGATCTCCCCTCTCCAGCAGCAGGCCTCAAAGCTGGATTCTCTTCAGCTGCAGAGCACTGACTCAGTGGCCTGACTTTCCCAGTAGCTTGATTAGCTCGTTTTTCTTCAGCGGGCTGACCGATGGATCCAACCACAACTGCCTGCAAGTCCTGGTTTTGGCTGGCAGATCTCTCGCCTTCAGTGACAGGGAGGTTCTGAGATGCTGGTCGGGCTTCAGCTGCAGAGGACAGGGCAGCATTGTCCAGCTGTACACCGCCATTGGTCTGAAATAATAAGAACAGACATGGGTTCGGGGGGTACAGTGTACATACAATAGTATCACAAAGAATATTACAAAATATATAAGAAAATGTAGAGATTGAACAGAGAAACTTTCCACTTTCAGCAGATGAATGTGAAAACTCTGCACATACAGCATTCAAACAGCACACTGTAGGGACAGGAAGAGACACTGGTTTGTGACTGGATGAGGACTAAAGTTTTCAGATGTATTGCTTTGTAGAGGACACACATTCAGTGAAATGTCAGTGAGGACTTTTATTCTTGACAATTCCCCTACATGCATAAGGAACAGTTGTTGAACTAGGTTAAATGAATCATACTAAATAAACACATACTGTAAGGAACAAGAAAGACAAAGACAGTCCATTAATCTGTTTGCTTTTCTTCCAGTCCTCAAGTACCATTAAGATTAGGCTAATCAGGAAGTGCCAGGAAAAGTGTGGTTATTGTGACCTTTAGACTTCTGATAAACCTGTTTCAGTGATTATATTACTATTAATATATTATTATTTAACTGCTACCCCCCGACCCGATCCCGGATAAGCGGATGAAGATGATGATGATTATTTTAAATGTGTCATTTAGAATCAGATGCACTGGCAGGCTCGATGTTCACACACAGAACTGTGCTCGTCATTGGTACAGGATTAACCAGTAACTGTATGAAAACATTTGCTGAACAGCAGCTACTGTGGCCATAAGGCACAAACATCGCAAATGCCAAAACGCTGCGAAACAGCAGGACACATAGAAAAAAGTCTTACCATCAACTGAATTACACATCCTCCACAAAAGTTTTTTTGGTACTTATCATCTTATTTATATATGGCTGGCTGGCTGGCAGCGGAATGGGCCGTGCGTCTGCTCCCCTTACTGTCAGGGGAAGACCAGACTGCGCCGCTCGGCCTACCAGCTTCTTCTCGGGGGGAATTCTGAACCATCAAGAGAGTTAATCTTGATCAGATGGGTTTCTCCCCCAAGGATCACTGTTGCCGGTTCTGGAACACCACAGTGGGACCCACCGACCATCCCTTGGTCTATGCTCAGCCGCTGAAAGTCACTGCTTCCAGGTGGCTACAGATGCTGGAGCAGATGGTAATGGAGCAGTTTGTGGAGGGGCTCCCGACCAGGACCCTAATGAAGGCTCATCTGGCTGTCCACAGCAGGGACCAGGTTCCGGAGAGGCCCCCACCAACCCCCTCCCGGTCCAGGAGGGACATACAGTGTTCCGGTAAGGATTTAAGGGGGTACACTTCAGGACAATGGTGGATTCAGGCTGTACGCAGTCTATGAATCATCAGAATCTGGTTCGATCCAGGGCTCTGGTGGAGGCATCATGGGTGGATATTAGGTATGTGCTGGGGAACCCACAGCTGTAGAGACTTGCTACAATATATATATATATATATTAATTTATTGTTTGTCTGTTTTCAACCCATTACTAATGTGTGTCTGTTTTTGTCATTTAATCTATATTTGTATGTAATCAGTTTGAGCTATTGGATACCTGAATTTCCCCAAGACGATTCATAAAGTCTCTACCTACTTACCCACATTACCTTAGAATGAGCCATTTTGTTCTACAGGTGGAGTGGGTACTCTTCTGGCGGAGTCCACCATGTTTAACTGCCATTTTTCTTTAGTAGCCCAGAACAGACAATCCAAATACTGGCTCTAGATAGGGCCTTTCGGAAGTTTCTCAACCACCGTAGTTTGTCCTACACACTTGGAAGACCAGCGGTATTCAGTTGTTAAAATCTGCAATTTCACCACTAGATACCACTAAATCCTACACACTGGCCCTTTAACCTATACTTTTTTTTTTTATTAAAGTTATTTTTTTGGGCTTTTTGCCTTTATTTGATGGATGCAGCTGGGGAGGGACGGGGGGGGGGGTGACACACAGCAGGTGGCCGCGGGTCGGAATTGAACCCTGGGTCGCTGCAGCAAGGGCTCATCCTAGGTACATGGGTTGACAGCTCCACCCACTGAGCTAACCGGGCGCCCAACCTTTACCTTTAAATAACTAATTTGATCGTAGTCCCTGGACATGTCATGCACACACTACTGCACGATATCATCAAACTTTGTCTTTTGTTATTGTTTTGATGTGACATATGTTTGATAATAGCTGTTGATGTAAGTAACCTCAGCAATTTGTTTCAATACTGCTCAGAAATGTGATGACTGGCACACCCTGTGAAAACCTTACAGGCTTTAAAAAAGATAAAGAAGATAAGGCAGAATAAAAAACAGAGCTCGCTGAGAAACTTCATGTGTATCCACCAGGTTGGATGTCAAGCATGCATGCATATTTTAGTTTGTTTGCTATAAACAGACTTCAGGCCTAACCTGTTCACCAACACTCTGCAGCCCATCTGGGGTTTTTCCGCCTCTGCGTGGCTGAGACTTGCCAGTGTGCCGTGGGTCAAAGCCCCAGGACTTCAGCCTGTTGAGACCCTCCAGAGAGCGGCCTGTAGGGTTGATGTTGTGGGCTGGGATACGAGCAGGTAGATCCCAGGTCCCCTTAAAGTCTGGCCATGCACTGCCCCTCTATAGCATCACACACACACATGGGAGTGGAGTCCTACATCAATTCACCATCACAGAAAAATATTTTAAATGAAGAGAGTTTTGGGTAAAACTTATATTAAAGTATATTCACCATTAACTATTTGCTTATTAACATATATATTAGTAGCATATTGACTCTTTATTAGTCATTAAAGGGCATCTATTAATGCTTCATTCTACATGACCATATTCTACAACTACTAGGCCATTAATTAAAGAGTATTCTCTCAAAAACCTCCAAATTACCACTTAGTAATAGTACATTAATTATGATCAAATTATGCTTTGCCCTTTGGCTTTATAAGATGGTAGTACCAAAATATTAGTCATTCTCCCTTAATAACACTTATATGGTCTATTTTTATGTAACAAAACTTGTGATTTCTCCACTGGAAGGGCACCCTAGAGGGCACTTTACCATGTTTTGTCTACCATAGGGGAGCCAAGAGGGCACTTTTGACTTTTATATTTTTTCACATTTGCAAGCACCCTGCCCCACTCTTGAGTCCCCCAGTGAGTTCAAAGTCTTGTAACTTTGACCCACACTAAGCAAAGCATATTAGTTATGAGCAAGAGCTCACTTTAGAATGAGAAAGCTTAGTTTACATAAGAATTGACCATATTTATTAATTGTTATTAAGCGGGAATGAGTATTCTTGTGGTACTACCACCCTATAAGGCCCTTATTGAGGGAAAACTCTTGGTTAATGGCCTGGTTGTTGTAGAATATGGCCGTGCAGAATAAGGTATTAATACATGTTTTATAATGGCTAATAAGCAACTAGTTAATGGTGAATATGTGTACCTTAATATAAAACGTTACCATGGTTTCATATGCTCTCACCTTTACCACTCCTGGGAGCAGATGTCCTCTATTATCGGCAATGAAGGTGGTGTGACCCTCCTGTGCAGTGGGCCTCTACATACACATAGGCTCAGTGAGCTGAACTCATTCATCAGATTTCCAGTTAACAATGCTTGAAAATACATGACAAAGTGAAACACAACTAATACAACAGGACAGGATTGCTGATATAATGTTAACTACCTCTTTGAAGTGCTTAGTCTCACACCAGTTCTGCAGCCTCTGCGACCGGAAGGCACTGTCATACTGAGGATGGAGATTTATGTCAGAATGTATGAGTGAAACTGAACAGCAAAATGTCCAATGCTCCCAGTTTTTAGAACAAAGATGTTTAGAAAAGAACAGGAAGAGAAGGGGGCACATGGATTTTTACATTTGATGTAAAGTTTCATATAGATGAGCTTCCTGGTGGCCTTCTGATTTGACTGTTACTTTAGTGTTTAAATTAGCCTACAGCCTTTATTTCCTGCTTGTGGTGAATATTGAGTTACCTTTCAGAGCATTGTAGACAATGCAGAATTGTTTCTGTGCCCGTATTACAGAATAAATAAGATATTTTTTAGAAAGTGGTATGTTGGATAGATTACGTGTATAATTTCAAAACCCATTAACTTTATTGTTAAGTATTTGTTATGGTGAGTCCAAATTCACAGTTAATGTTCTCAAAGTGAACCAACCAAGAAGTTGCAGGTCAGTGTCAGTTGTTGTTATCCTTCACGTTGATGCCATTCAATCTGTCTTGAACATTGACTGTCCATTTGCACCCACTGCATCCTTGCATGTAACAGTTACCTGCATGTTGTTATGGCAACGGCGGCGGCGTATGTAGACTGCTACTGCACTTCATCATGCAAAATAGTATTTTTTTACGAGTAACGTTAGCATAAAGGGAACTATAAACCAGTTATATACAACCCTGCGTTGTAAATGACAGTAAGTTAGAATCCTTGAATCAAATACTGTGCTAACTTAACGTTATATTCCTGCGCAGGGATACCAAACGTCTTTAAGAGTTCAGTGTCTGTGAGTAAGTCGTCGCTCTCATTGATCAATTGTGATATCAGCAAAATACAGATGTTTAAGTTACCTGGTTTGCTGAGTAACTGGACGACATTTCTGCATCTGTCTACAGCCTCCGCCTCTGTACTTTGTTGACTCGTTGCATAGCAACACCGGAACCGGAAGGTTATTTTTTTTCCCGGTAAGTGAATCTGATACGTGCCGACTTTTAAAAATTAAAATATCATAAATTGGCCTAAACTATTAGATTATTTATTTTTCAAATGTACTGACATTTTTTAACATTGTTGTTTTTTGTATTTGTTTTTCTGTCTTAATTTTCTTTAATTTGTTGGATAATTTAATTAAATCATTTAAATATTAATTTCAGCAGCACAACTATAGAGCATAAGTTCAGATTTTGGAAGTTATTTTTTAAACAAAGTTAATAAAATGGTAGTGGCGACTTTGCTAAAGAAATATAATAAAACAAATATAATATAATAAAGGAAAATCGTGTTTAGAAGCATATTAAAGTAATCTTCAATTTTATTACACAGCTTCCATTTCAATGTTTTGCGCACTGTACAAAGTAACCTGTACAAAGAAATCTCCTCTCTTCTCGAAAGGTAAGTTTTGCAAACGAAACATTTATTTTGGTATCGTTGACCGGAAGTCCCAGTATTTATCTTCCGGTAGCTAGCGTACACAGTAACTGTGGATGTAGCCGAAGATGCTATGCTAGCACCAATTGATACTGAAAACGACAGCTCACTTGAGCACTCTATTATATACTAACGTTAATACCTGTGAGTTTGTTCTCTATAATCAGCCGTAGCCGAGTGTAGCAGCTTTTGAAGGTGTAACGTTAAGTTAGCTCTAATTAACTAACGTTAGTTGCCTCTTTACAGTCTTTTCTTGTACCGGTCATCCTCCTGCTGATGGTCCACGAGCCATGGAGGGTCCGTCCTCTCGGCTGCCTGCCACCACCCAAGACGGACCGCTGTGGCTGGCGGGCAGGACAGACTCCGGCAGGGATGCAGAGTCTGACCCTGCCCGGGACATAAAGACACAGTTCCGAGTCTGTCGCTTCATAATGGAGACAGGTAACCAGCACGGGGCTGCTCGTGTCCTCAGGGTAAACAGTGTAGTATGGAAGACCATTTCTGCCAGGGTAAAAAAAGTTACGCATGATATAAAGAATTAAGATACAATTGTGAGATACTATGTCTAAGTTTTGCGTTATTATGGCAAAACCATAACAGACTTTTTCTTTCAGCCAACACAATATAAGTGTACCTGCTTCTGATTACCGATAAAATAACAGATATAACTTTTTGTAAGTTCATAACCTGTAGTTCTTACACACCTGAGGGTAAGATGGACGGTATTAATTCATTAATTAATATTTCATAGCTCTATTCTAACCAAATCGAACTATTGTTAACACAACAAAAACAAGCAACAGTTCTGACTCTGACTCTCTTCACAAACAGACTTTGGCTTTCAAAAAACATAAAGCCTATCAATCATTTTGCATATATTATAAACATCAACCAATAATGTATCCACTACAACTGAATCATCAAATGTATAATAATAAACATTTCCCATTATCCGTAGATAATTTATCTGTCCTGATAGTTTATCGTGCACCCCTATTATTGATTTATGTCAAGCTTGACATGGTAGGTCGACATTTGGACTGCTCTCATAATGTTTACTTATTATGTGTATTTTTATTTTTATCATTTTTATTCTTGTCCAGGTTAAAAAGGTCATCTATAATTGAGCTACATGCTATGCTGCTAGTAATTTAAAAATACTAATCACCAATTCCCCTGAAATCTTTCTCTCTGTACATAAAGAGATAATATATAATTTGTCAATTTAATGTGTGTTTGCTATTTCTAATCATTTAGTTAACATTTAGGTATAGTTCAGTTTACCACACATCGGATCCTGATGGTGAAACGGCAGATTTGATTTTGAATTGAGTATACTTCCTCGCTCAGGAGTGAAGCTGGGAATGCGCTCTGTACCCGTGGCCACAGCGTGTGTGTTGTACCACCGTTTCTTTGAGCGTGTCAACATGCGAGCGTATGAACCCTACTTGGTGGCCATGAGCTGTGTGTACCTGGCTGGAAAGGTGGAGGAGCAGCACGTCAGGACCCGGGACATCATCAACGTAAGCCACAGGTAATATGCATGCTCTATGGCCACATTTGAATCGTACTGCTGAGAGTCAAAATACTGTACTTAAGGTATTCTCTATCTCTATTATAAAGTAAACAAATTTAATTCACGTCCTGTGAGAAAGATTGCAGATTCAGGCCTCTCACATGGAAACACAGTCAGCTTTAAGATGTTAAATGTTACTTGAGAACTAAAGAGTTTTGTCATGAATGTCTGAACACTGTTGTCAGCGGTGAGGACATTTAATTAAAACCAATAACATCACTGATTTTCATCACATAGAACAAACCTATTAATTTGAGCAGTTCAGCTATCCTGGAAAGGAGAGTTCAGTGGGGTGGCGTTAGAGGATGTGGGTCAAAGTCCAACTACGTATTGCGCAGTTTGACACAAGTTGAGGGTAAGACAGGGTCTTTTTTAAAAATGCCAGTGGAGTGCCACAACAAGAGCGGACAACATTGTGCCTATTTTAATGTGCACATTAATACAACATTTCTGTAAATGCGCTTCAGATAGCCAAGAGGCTATTTTTCATCTGTAGTCCCTGGACAGATGTTACAAAGTCAACCTAAAAACATATGGTTCAAATAACAAAGTCTTTCAAAGTTAATCATTTACAAGCATGCAGTAATAATAAGAAAAAAGAAAATATTAATGTCGATTGAAGCGCCCTACTTGCCGAACAAAATTTTTTTCAGGGCTCAGTTTTAATTTTTCTTTTTTTCCACTTGCTGGAACCCTGAATTTCATTAGTGATTAGTCTGCAGAATATTTTTGCAATCATTCCATGAATCATTTAATCTGCAAAATGTTTTTTAAAAAAAAGTGAAAAATGTGTTTTCAGCAGTCCAAAAGCAGCAAATCATCACATTTGCATAGCTGCAACAATTTTTTTTATTTTAAATTGCTTAAACGGTCCAGTGTGTAACATTTAAGAGGATCTATTGTCAGAAATGGAATATAATATTCATAGGTATGTTTTCATTAGTGTATAATCACCTGAAAATAAGAATCATTGTGTTTTTGTTACCTTAGAATGAATTTATATCTACAGAGGAAATGGGTCACCCTCCATGGAGGGTTAGGGTTAAACCACTATGTTTCTACAGACCAAACACTATCTCTGGCTTTTCATGTTTTTCGTGAGTTTTGCAGCCACCATAGTCTCTCCTGGTTGTCAAATACAGATGCAAGCGGTGTTCAGTTAATTGCAATTCACAAATTCACCGCTTAGATGCCACCAGATCCTAAACACTAGTCCTTTAACAAAAAATGATTATCAGAATTATTGCAAATGAATTTTTTAGATGTTGTGTCTTTGAACAATGGCACAGCACTGCAGAAATATTGTTTTGAATGGAAAGTTGAAAAAATGAGGGAACCAATTTGGAAACAATTTCTGCTCAAGGTCCACTCACTTGTTAGCGCTGGAGCTTTCAGCTGTATTACATGACAGGCTTAAGCTGTACCTAATTTTTCATACCTTTGTGACAAGCAAGCTGTGCACTACAATACATCGGCTCAATACAGCATCTCTGGATCAGTTTGAGAAAGAGGAGCGCCTGTGTTTTTGACGGTACTAAAAATCATAGCTAAATACTCTTATACCATAATACCTTGATACCGGCCAATGCTATTACATGGTTTTCACCACCAGGTTTGATCAGTCTTCACTGAGCTGTATGTTCAAACTGCATTATTCTGACCACTTTTATCATTTCTCGTTCATGTTAGCTTAAAAGTTGAGCTTGACGATTGATTCTTGACACTTGAAACAGCAGTGAACCAGTCTCTTACCAGCTTCTACTGCAGCTTTTGAATATCTTCACCAGAAAGTTACCAGGAACATGACCTTGCTTCACGCTGTAGCTGAAAGGATTAGTGGATATATCCATCGACTAATGATTGTTTAGAGAATTGAGTAATCTAGTACTGCACAATATGGTAAAGACAAATTTCAATTATTTTGACAAATACTTGGGATATGATTCACTTTTTGGGTGGGAATGATCATTTTTGCATCACAGATATAATTTATAGAAATAGAAATGATAGAATAAAGCCTAGTTTTCCAGTCATTGAAACACCTGGAAAATGATTAAAATGACCAAATATCCTGGAAACAATCTATGTTGTCCTGAATTTAGCCCCATAGTCAGATCTACATATTCTGCATATTTTGTTTGAAAGTCAACAGTTGGTAGCTGCACAGTGTGACACTTCAGATTGGGTTAACTAAACATGAAACGGAACGGAAAAACGCTTTAAACGCTCTCTTTTTATTTCAGCCATGTTGGTCAATCTAGTTGTTCACACCAGACACAGCATGAAACGGACTTGCAGCAATCTTTTCTGCGTCGCAATGAACCTGATGTCCAGTCAATGCTGGGTCTACCGTCTGCCATCAGATGTGTCTGCAGTGGTTTGGATATAGTTGGTAATAAAGGGCCTCAGAGTACCTGGAGTGGTGATTCAGGAGTTTTACAGCAGGAGAACTTATTTTCGCTCATCACTCTTCACTCTTCAAAGTGGTCACCTTGAATGCTCCTCTCACCTCTTCCTTCCCCCTCTTCTTCCGTTCCTCCCTCATAGGTATTTCAACAGTAGCAGTGCTCCTCTAGAATGTGACAAGGAGTTCTGGGACCTGAGGGACAGTGTTGTGCAGTGTGAGCTCCTCATCCTCCGACAGCTCAACTTCCACGTCTCCTTTGAGCACCCTCACAAGGTAGGTGTGTGTGTTTGTCCACGTGCGCGTACTCCTGCCCCCCCTCAGTTGCGTGTCGGCTGTCTGTTGATGTTGTCAGTCCAATGTGTTTGTGTGCATAGCTGCTGTTGAAGTATTTCTGAAATGGGTCTGTGATCACTCTTCAAACAAATGAAATCGGTTTCTGACTCAAACATGTGTAATGTACAGGATTATATGTCTTCTCTTTGTCTCTTTCCCTCCAGTATTTACTCCACTACCTTTTGTCTGTGAAGTCGCTGGTGAACCGCCACGCTTGGTCTCGAACCCCTGTCGCTGAGACTTCCTGGGCTTTGCTTAGAGACTGTTACCACGGAGTCATGTGCATCCGCCACATACCCCAACATATTGCCATAGCAACGCTGTACCTGGCTCTAAACAGCTACGGAGTGGAGATGCCTGTTGGAGAGAGAGAGTGGTGGCAGGTGTGTGTTCACGCCAAAGTGTTGATAATTACAGACTGAAGAAAGGCACATGAGCAAAAATGCACATGTGAGGGAGGCTGTGTAAGCCTGTTTACAGCTGGTATTAACATGCATCTTGGGTGATCAAGTGGACAGCTTTAAATAAAAGTGTAAAGCACTGAGACCAAAACCACTTGCCCAGGTGGTCTGGTACTCATTTGACCACATATATATTTTGTAGTGTAAACACTAATGCATCCTTGGCCACATTGAAAGACTGCTTACTGGTGACCTGTAAGTACACACAAAACATGCTGTCTATTTGCTTCACTATAATGGAAAACTGATAAACTACTAACCGCATTATCCCCACCCTCCCTTAAATAATTACAGATTTTCTTGAGTCAGTAAACTGGTGTACTTTAAGCTGTACTAGCTTCAAGCTGTGCATGTTGATACCGGGTGTAAACTGGCTCTGTATGTATGTGGATTTATTCATTTGAGTATAAAATGTGACTTATTGTCATCTTATATAAAGTTCAGGCAACAAGTTAGTAAAACAGATGAATCATGCAGCAGTTAGAGCAACATTCATTTTGAGTCATGTCTCTGGCCTTCTCTTGAATGTAATTCTAAAGTAAACTCAGTTGAAATGTGATTTAATGAGTAAGCACTGAAAGCATTTGAAGTGTAACAGTTAATCAGCCATTTAAAGAGCATTGAAAGGACATTTGCACTGTAAGCAACTGAAGCAAACTTTATTTTAAGTTTAAGCGAGGTAGTTAAATTGAGTTGTGACAGTTATCAGATGAAGAAGCTGAACTGTAAATTTAAGAGTGTCATGTGTCACTTGAAGTGCAGAGGCTGAAAGCAGTTAAACTGTCAGTTGAAGATAAAGCATGGGGCTCCACTGGCTACATCCAGTTCCACCAGCTCCTTCACTAGGGGTCTCCAACCTTTTTAAAAGTGAAGGCAACATTAAGGGAGTCCTCTGGAAGGGGCTCCTCTGGGTTCAGGGTTGAACCAAATTCAGAATTTGATGGTGTGTAAATGATATTTTCTCTGGTTGTGGTATTATCACAAAAGGATCTCATTAGAAATATCTAGTAAGAAGATTTAAGAGTCAATTTACTGAGCCCACTTAATCAAGGTAAAACGATTAATTGAAAATGTTAAAGTGCAACTTAACGAACAGAGAATGGATGGCAAATGCAGAAGGACAGAATAGAGAAGGATGGTTTTAACTCAGAGCATGTAAGAAAGGCTGGTCTCAATTGACTTTTTTCAGGGTTCCCACGCGTCCTTGTCTCTAAACAAGGAAGTTTAGAGACTAGTTTTCCAGTCATGAAAACACCTCGAAATAGATCAAAATGACCAAATCCTGGAAATATTTTAATTGTATTGTACCCCTTTACTCCCCTACATAAACCTGGGTGTGTATTTTGTTTGAAACTGTTGGAAGGATGAACTGCATGAAAAATTTGTCGAAAGACTTTTTCAAAGTTGTCTGCCAGTGGGCAACACAGCCTTCCTCTTTCTTTCATTTAACCACCTTCTTCAAAAGGTCAGCATTGTGATATTTGCGCATACCCAGAAACCTGTTGATAGTCTTTCACCATGTTTAAAAGTACGTGTGTGGTAGTTGATTTGTTTCCAAGAGGCAAGAGGTTGCGTGTCACAAACTGCAATAAAACCTCAGGTGAAACGCATATTCCGAATGCGTTGTTTACATGTCCAGAGAATGGTCCTAAAACCTGAATAAGAAGTATCCTAACGGTTAGGCTGTTACATGACCCTTATCAAATGTGGAATATTGTCATGTTCGTAATGCCGTAAATCAATTAACAGCCCAGGTTCTCTTTACTTCACTCAACTGAACTCAACCTGCCTTTATTTGGAAAACAGGCCTCTATATGAAACGGCCCTTTAATTCCGTTTATACAGAACTCTAGCTAAGCAAAGATGGCAAATACTATCAGACTGTTTATTTAAACCCGTATAACAATTAGAATAACATATCAATTAGGAATCATTGATTTGATCATTTGATACTTTGGTGCTCATGGTTTCTGTAAAATGAACTAAACGAATGAGAATCAAAGTGTGCTAATGTCGGTTAACATCAAGCTCTCTGAATTCTTTGCTAATGTGCTGCCAAATCTCCATTCTGTCGGGATCTTATCTCACATTTACAGTAAATTTAATTAATGAATTTGCAGTATTCAAACTGGTCCATGACGGTTATTTTACTGCATGATTGACTCATTGAAAGAATATTAGTTAGCTTCTGGGTCCGAGAAGTGAGACCACTGAGGAAGTGTCTTAAACCTGCATTTTTAAAATGGCCAGAAGGGGGCAGCTCCACTGGCTGCAAAAATAAGTTTGTTTGTTTGGACTGTAATGGAGAAATGAGCCAACTTCTCACTTGATTTATGAGCTCAGTAAACAGTTTGCTAATGAGTTTCTGGTCTCAGTCTCTAGTTTCAGTCTTCTTCCATACAGCATGATGTTCATTTAGTAAACGATGGTCCCATTTAGAGTAAAATTGGCAATAAAGCACTACCCCTATTTGAGAAACTGCCTTACAACAGAGGTCTCCAACGTGGTGCCTTGGGGTACCTGGTAGCTCTCGAGTAGCCTTAAAGCTGCACTTGGTAACTTTTTATAAAAATAACAGCCATAATGCTAATATAAGAGCCTTCAAAACGGCTGTCTACAAACCAATAGGTTACATCACGATGGGTTTACACTTACAAACAGTAGCTGTAGCCTCGCATAGGTGTCTCTTTGCTTTTAGGGTCATGTCCACAGCAACCCTCTGGCTCTGTACATTTGTGCACTTTGACCAAAATTACATTACCGGCTGACCATTCAGCTCCAGCCAGTCTTCAAAGCAGAGGAACCTCTTGTAAGTGTGAAGTATTAATTTGAGGCTGGTGGCAATTATAGTTCCCCTTTGTCAAACAATTTTACAAATGAGGCCTCTTTTGTTGGAGTGACTGTATCCAAATGCAAATGGGAAGAGTCAGGATGGTTTTCCGCTTCAGTCCTCAAGGCAATAAAATCTAGGTCGTTTGAAATGGTGTGTGGACCTTTGATGTCCACTGTTTATTGAGGCCAGGTGTGGAGCTGAAGTCTGTGTTTGTGTGTGTTTGTTTGTAGGTGCTGTGCGAGGATGTGACCAAAGCAGACATCGAAGCTGTGATTTCAGACCTTCTTCAGCTCTACGACATGGAGGCCAAGTGTATCTGAAGGACATGCTACACATGGAAGACACATGAGAGTTGTTTTTTTGCTGCTTGTGTTTGTCTGTGCGGCATGAACGTGTGCCTGTGTGTGTGCTATTCTCTGCATGTAAGTGTCAGGGTTCAGGTGCGTTTGTGCACATGCGTCTGTGCTTGTTTGGGTGAGAGAGAGGAACACTTTGTATTGCCCTAGTTAGTCTGTGAGCCGTGACAAAAAACACACCTGCACTACCGCTTCCTGCCACCCTGGGGAGACATTTCTTGCTTTCTGGTCTCTGATCTCTCGGGCTGCAGAATACTGATGGAATGTATCATCAGCACCAGGATTCTGAAAAGAAAACACTCTCTCCACACAGATGTTTTAACTACAAATACCAAAGTCCGTCACCCAGTTGTTCTATCAGTTATACCAGCAAATCCGTAAAAATACATGGGAATGACGACCTCAGTTAGATACTTATTATTGAATGGCATTATACTAACACATTTATGCATTCGGAAAATACTAAAAATAAATATGTCGTTGAGGTTAAGTCCTGATTGTCTCAGAATCCAGACCACCTTGCTGCATAAATCTGCATGCCACAAAGAAAATAAGCTTGTCTCAACTAGATATTAATACGTCCTTAATTTTTAAAGCTGCAGTAGGTAATTTTTATAAAAAACCTTTTTAACTCTATCCTGACAGTAGTACAAAGGTAGATAATGAAAAAATCAGGTTCCAGATCTGGTTTCTCTGGCTCCTCCAAACTGAATGAATGAATGAATTTGCAAAAATCCACTGGGCCCAAAAGAAAACAACCAATCAGAACCGTGAAAAGTAGAAAGACGCTTTGGCCTGGTGGCTTGAAGATAGTTGATTGTTGAGTCTCATTCCCAGCATCGATATTTGACAGAGCAGATGAAAAGTACAGGGGGGATGTAATCTGCTGTATGTGTCAGATTGTTTCAGCTGTTAATTTGGACTGTGTGTAAAATAAACTCGACAGACCCTGCCCTGTCCTTTTTCAAAGATATGTGTGGTGATATTTTATATTTTCTTCACTACATCCCATAAATAATGAATGAATGAATAAATAAATGAATTGACATTACTTACAAGTTTAGTCCGTATCAAAGCCTGACATATGTCATTCCTCTGTGCCATAGCGCTCCATTGTTGTCCAAATCAGTGAGTCACACTGTTGCCCTGGGTGACATGTTCCTTTATTACCATGAACACACACTAGTTTTTTTTTTTTTTTACTCAATCCCACACACACTGTCCTGCAGCTGGAAACATCCACTGAGCACGGGTTCCCAAACTCTTTCACGACAAGAACACCCACAATAGATGCACCTTAGTGTTGGTTCCCAGATCCCTGTTTGAAAACTACTGCAATTGAGTACCAATTGTGGATTAATCCACTGCTGAAAATAGTCCCCAACAAATGCATTATTTCCTCCCGTTTACGTGGCATTTGATAAAAACTACAGTGAGCAGCTGTTTTCGGCTGAGGGTGACAGACAGGCACAAAAGTACCGAGAGACAAGCTAGGTAGATATAAAAAAAAAATCATTAATACAAAATGCTGAAACAGCATAACAAATCTAAAAAATCCACCATCTATCCTTTAATCATTTCTCTCTCCAACAAATCATCACAAAGTACAGTATAACCCTAGCTTGCAGTAATGATATTAGTGAACATATTTGTTTTAATCATCAATACCAGGCTCATATTTTAACAATAACAACAATGTAGGTGGTTAATGAACCTATTTTACTCCATTTAAGTTACATAACTTCAGGCATTCAAGAGCAGTGCATAGAGTGTGAGGACAATAGAGGGGCATTGTGACTGTTCATGGGAATGTCCTGTTTTAGAGATTTAAGATTAATGGAAAAAACTATTACTACTACTATTTTTTGTTCTCTTGTAGTATGATTTTCCTTTAAATCCCAAGTTTAAGTTTCCATGGTATATTTCCTTGTGTGTGTAACATAAGGAATGATATGAAAAATATTTTTATTATCAAAGTCAAATATGCAGCACAATTTATGTGTTAGGGAAAATACATCTAAAAGCATTAGGCAATGGTTATAATAAATGTAAAGAATGGAAAAGTTGACTTATTCTCTGAAGATCCAAAAAGACAAATTCTACCAGATTTGGAATAAAAGGAGTTTATAACCCCAATGCGAGCAGACTGTCTGACTCCACTGACATTTCATGCTCCGTCCCTGTTCTTGATCGGAATCATAGCATGTAAGCTCCCTTGGTTCTAATGTATATTGTTACATTTTTAGTTGAGTGCGAGATGTGCATATGTAAGAAGGGTGAGTATGAAAACTGCTGACAGACAGAAGTGTGCATAGATATTTAGGTTTTATATGTCTAGGATACAGATGTGTAAGTGTGCAGATGTGTTAAACCTGTATGTGAAAGGGTACACGTGGACTTACAGGCCAGTTTTTCAGGCCCAAAAGCACTGTGGCTTTTAAATGCCTCTTTTTGTGCACATGAGTACATGGTTGTGAAAAATGTGTCAAAAAAAGTAAACTAATATTTGCAATAAAGGGAAAGTCCATGGACTATACAGATGTGGGGATGATTCATGGAATCCTGAAAAATAACCCCACTGAGGACTGGTCAATACAAGAACTCTTGTAGAAGTTATGACAAGAATTAAAGTATGGACAAACTGGATGCTGTTATTAGATTTTAAAAATATATTTATTTAGTAAATTTTGTCGCCTATGTTTCTGTTTTTTCTATTTTGCTTATGAGTACGTGTGTACATTGCTATGTATGTGTACATAGTTTCCATGGTTTTTTCTTCACTTTTGACCATGTTTTTATGAGTCTGACATAGATACAAAACAGAATAAATACAATGGTTATGAAAACTCACATTGTTGGTTGCAGGGGCGGATCTAGAGAAATGTTCATTGGGTGTTTAAGGGCTGGCAGAAGTATATGCTGATTTAATCACAAACAATCACATATATCAATTTCTGCTTGGGAAAAGCCCACAAATGAAGATATTTATTTATTTATCAGATATTTCTATTCAGTAAAGCACTGAATAGAAATATCTGAAGGTGGCATTAGAATACAATGTCTTTTTTCATTGAACTGAAACCTATCACAGCCTCAGAAGTGGCCTTTATTTTTCCTTAGCATGTTATTTTTAAAATTAATTAATGTGTTGAATTTGACAACATTTGACACCAGATGGCCTTTTTTATGCCGCCCCTCTAGATCCATCCCTGGTTGGTTTCGGTCTTTCTTTTGACCTGATTTGTTGTTCACTGGGTTCTTAAAAAGTCTCAAATCCAATAATCTGAAATGTAGGCCTTAAAATGTCCTAGTTAGGTCTTAGAATTGAATTGATTATTGAAGTTAACAATGTGTTTTTTGTGTATTGATGATGCTGTAACAACTATAAAACAAAATTAAATTGCATGCATAATGGTAAGTCCAGTGTGTAACATTTAAGAGGATGTATTGTTCATAGGTATGTTTTCATTAGGGTATAATCACCTGAAAATAAGAATGAGTGTGTTTTTGTTACCTTAGAATGAGCTGTTTTTATCTCCAGAGGGAGCGGGTACCTTTCTGTGGAGTCCGCCATGTTGAACCGCCATTGTAGCCCAGAATGGACAAACGAAACACTGACTCTAGATAGGGGTGTTCACGTTTTTTCGCACATTTCACAGCCACCATAGTTTCTCCTTTGCACTTTGAAGGGGAGAGTGAAACCAATACTGATTTACCTTCATATCCTTTGTACTTTTTTCCCTCAGTGTAGATGGGAAATAGATCTTAAACTGTCTTCATAATAATACAGTTTAACCTGGTGAAAACCTGCAGAAACCCTGTTGTAGATGAGCTCACAGTCAGTCCATCTGTGAGCACAGCAGTGTGACAGCCCAGAGCTAAAAGCCCACATAGCCCAGAGGTAGCCCCAGCTCTGTGATAGGACTGGCTTGAGCGGAGCATGAGCACACAGTGAGTGTTGAGGTGACTCAAGGACACCAGATTTTTTAATACTGACAGCAAAGATATGTTAAAGCTGTATGAGTGGTGAAAACTCAGCCATCACTTTATCAGCACTGTTAAAGGTTGAATTCATTCTCTTATCTTTAGTGTACTAGGCAGCCCGGACTTGATATTTTTAGAAGAGGAGCGATTTGGCTTATTTACCTTTTTGTATTTATCTTGTAAAATCAGGTTCATTTGTGTGTGTGTGTGTGTGTGTGTGCGCGCGCAGGATAAAGGAGTCATAGTCCCATGATCAATCCTAGCACATCTGAGTCTCTTTCTGTCTTTTCCTCCCTCCCTTCTTGCTCTCCTCATACATTCTGCCTCTCTTCACGGGACAAGAGACATTGCGTGCATCCCAATAGCATCATGTGTCATACAATATTCCTCTTCCTGACACATTCTCTCTCTCCTCATTTGTCACTCCCTTCCAACTCTAGCCCTCCAGAAAAATCTGGCTGTCTATCTCTCTTCGTTTGATCTGTTCCTGCCCCCTTTTATTCCTTCCTTCCAAAATTCCTGGTCTTCCTTCCACTCCTTTTCTCCTCACCTTCTCCTGCATCTCTCCTCTTCTGTGTCTCCTCCCTCCGTCTCCCTAATGTTATATTAATAATGAAGAGGGTGCATGTTCAGCCAGACTTCATGAATTAACCATCGGATGGGAAGGAGTACTGAGGGAAGGAGTCTGAGGAGTAGGGAAAAAGAGAGGGACATGGATGGATGAGAGGTGGAAGGGGTGAGGAGAGGGATGGGAGGAGGAGAGGGAAAATGGCAATCGAAGGAGGGGAGCTAATCTTTGTATCACACTTCAACACTTTGCAGCCTGTTCCGATCGCCTCTCCTCTCCTCTGTGTGCTTCTGATCTGCTTACACATCACTTCAGCCTTTACTCTGGGCTTGAGGGGAAGTCAGAAGGTCACACACACAACCAGCTGTGTGTGTGTGTGTGTGTGTGTGTGTGTCTCCATGTGCTCGCGTGTTGGTATAGAAATGACAGTTTGGGATGTTAACGTTACATCAGGCCCGCAGTCTACGAGCTGAGTGCCCTTGAACTGATAAAAGCTCTGTAGCCTTCAGCCTCAGACCTATTAGACATCAACCAAGCACTCCTAAACACTCCACCTAAACACTCCAAATGCCTAATGCATAGACAATAGGTTTAAGAGAACAAGTGTGTGTGTATGTGTGTGAATGTGTTTTTGTGTGTGTGTTTGTGTGTGTGTGTGTGTGCGCGCGCGAGTGTGTGCGTGCGTGTGTGCGCGAGCAGTCTATTTGATTCATCCTCCATGGAAACGATGAGATGAAAAGATGGATGGGTCAGCAGTCAGAGAAAGTCATCAAACCATCAGTCAAAAGTCTATCAAGACCTTTCAAGATGCTCCCTTTCTTACTGGAAACATTAATACAAACATTGACTGAGTTGACATTGGTTCAGAAAGAACATCTTTAGTTTAAGCAGATACACAGCTAGCAGATATGTGTGAGGATTTAAGGTCTGTGTTGTTTCTTTCATAATTTTAAGTTTTAATGCATTTTATAACAAGACAAGGAAGCCCATTTCCACCAAAGTGACAGGGGAAAAGGGGATTCTGTACGCCATTGTAATGAGACACTTTAGCAAAATAATGACTTTGTGATAATGAGTCATTATTCTGATATTGATATTGATATATATATACCCTCTTTAGAATTGCTTCATTTTGCTATTAATTTTGCACTTTTAGATAAACATTCTTTGTTGCTATTGGCAACACCTTATGTCTACTACTGTGTCTAATAGAGCTCCATCTCAAGTCATAGGCTAACCTTCAATATGGATAAGAGAAAGAGAGTTGTGAATGCAAATCAGACATTAGACTTGCTCAATGCATTGAGGCAAGGAGAGTGTGATGGTCGGTTTCGTCTTGACCATATAAAGAAGTAAAGTCAAAAAAGGTGTTGGAAATGTCTGAGCAGTCTTACATATGTTCACCTCATTATTTGACAC